TGTCAAATTTTATATCAAATTTGATATAATCAATTGCTACAGGGTTAAAAATTCTCAAATACCAGCTTAAACAGCGATACATTCAAGTCCGGATAATCATTTTTCCCTCATTGTGCTACACACAAATAGGTTTTGACACGTTTTGAGCAACTGAATGACCTTTCTTCGTATGCGGAAAAAAGACAATGTTAAAATATGTCTTAGCAACGTTGTGATGTTTTGAAATTGAGCTGTCGATTTCTTCTGCATCAAACAAAATAAAAGATCTCCTACATCACGTGGAACTGTCTCATGCTCATCAGACTTCTTTACATCTTTTGTATTTAAAACAATAGCCATAGAAAAACAATCTCTACTTAAGGTAAGGGGTAGTGTTAGGATTCAGTTCAGACTTTAAAAGTTAAAGTATTTTACTCCTGAGCATTTAGTATATTGAATTTCCTTCCGTATATTTACTTATTACTGAACACTCACATCATTTGTGAATACTGTTCTATTTACACTACTATGTGCAGGTACAACGTACAATAATAGACGTACAACGTGAAACTTAAGCACATTGACGTAACTGTATATTGAGAAATGCATAACTTCCGAAATGTGTGACAATTTGACCAAAAAGCCGGTCTGTTTTTGTAATCTTCGTACACATGACATTAAAATTTTGGGGTGCTTTCATCAATAATGACCATTTAAAATTCCGACAACCCTCCAAAATTTTCCGACAGACATATATCCAACCGAAATTTGCCTTTAACAAAAGTAATGAATTTTATCAGTGAGCTTTTTAAACGAGCTGCATTTTTTACATACAAGGCTTTTCCTCTTCTCAAAATCAATAAACTCACTTTCCTTTTCTCATCGCAAGCAAAACAATTTCGTTTTAGTTTAGTACGGTTGGTAAACATCATCAAAAATAGTATTTTGTACTCACCTTTGTAACATTATCGATAAGTCCTTGTAAAAAAGAAAACAGTATAAAGTACCCAAAATGTTTTACATCAGATTGCATGACACGATAAAGAGCAATGGGTACTACGTGATTAAAATACACCAAAATATATGATCGTGAAGGATTAACATCGATGATATTTTTAAGAGGAACAAGCACTATGTATTTACTCATGGCCACTGGAATAGTTGCTATTAAAGGAACCATGGCAGCAACCAAGATTTTTAAAAGATCACTTGACTGATTATTAAACCAGGGGACAAAAAGTTCTCCATAAACAAAAGCGAACAGTGTAGCAGAACAAATAATCAGTCCAATTGTTAACAACATATTTTTCCGAAGATTCCGAATTTTATTAACTTTTGACGATGCCTGATATGATGTATTACAAAGACAACTAATGATGATGCCAATTAACACTATACCAGCTGTAATTAATCTTTTCCACCATCCAGTAATATCACCATCAAAGATTACGTACAAGCTTACCTTGTAAAACACAGCAATAATACCCGTGAAAATACAAATAACAAGATTGTTTATGTGAGCTTTTTCCCATCCCAACAGCAACACCATAGTGAAAGGGTACCATAAATTAAGGAAGACGACAATGAATACTTCTCCTGTTAATCGTGCTAGAAGAACAGAAGTTGTTGTTGAATAATTGGTTAAAAGGTGTTCAGTACCCACACATCGCTCGGTTGTAAGCTGGTCGAAATAAACAATTTGTCCACAAATCACAGTGATTAAGACGGCAAAGGCGAGTAAACAAATAGTTGCTACAAAAGATGAGCCGAATAAGATTTTACATTTTTTAAATTTTGATAATGCGTTTTCATCATTAGAATTTGATGTGGTGTTATCGTCGTTAGAACCAGATGTAGCATTCCTTATATTGGAGTTTGATGTAGTGTTATCGTCGTTAGAATCCGATGTAGCATTCCCTATATTGGAGTGTTCGTATTTTCATTATCTTGCGAGGAACTCTGCTTATCACATTTAAAACAAACACAACATTCAGCTATCCAAGAACATAAAGGCAGAACCCAAGAGTGTATTAACTGCTCCAATATCATTTTGTTTGTGAGGTTATTGAAGTTATGTTATATGACATGAGCCCTTGAAGCAGTAATTCTGTGATCCAGGGTTAGGCAAAATGAACCATAACTTCCAATTTAAATTTCAAATTACCTTTCATGACAATTACATTAGTTTGAAAAATATGTCTTACTAATCGATGGGCGGTAAAAGATCGATTGTTGGATTCACGTAACATTGAATAAAATCTTTATAATCAAATCCAGCTTTATAATCAAATCCAGTTATTAATGTTAGATTTTTTATCAGCCTGATGGCGTTGTTTTTAACCTTCGATATCAAATGAAACCTAGACATTTTTGATGATAATTAATAGAAAATTCCTTTCATTTTTTAATGCTTTGCAATATTGTGTGCTGTATTTTATATTTAGTAAACTATGCAGTTACCTGCTGGCAAAAATGAACCGAATTATTGGATCATCAGTCATCTGTGCATTCTTTTCAAGTCAGCCAATTATTAGACAAGTTTTGTTATGACAACAACAACAATATTTCACCGTTTCAAAAACATTTATTTTAGATTTTTGAGTTGCCTTTCTTACATTTTGATATTTCGTAGGAATTTGATGTAGTGTTTGCTTAGTTGGAGTTCCATGTAGCATTCTCATTCTTGTCGCTGGAAGTCAATAAAGATTTGACAATGCTGTAAAATCAATGTTCTTTGAAATTAATGCAGTTAACGATTTCTTTATTTCGACATCTTGTGAGGAACTATTATCTTATTAACAATCACAAGAAAAACAAAATTCAGAAACAAAACTACGAAAGATAATGTACACTTTCCTTACCTTTTGCATGCTTTGGAATTTTTTGCGAATTAGTTAAACTCCAATCGTTATATACTGCTCATTTGCGCGTCAGTATATAACGATTTAAGGCGTTTCTATTTAAGGCGAACAATTTCAATAAAATGCTTTTAAGTTTTGGCCTATGTGATATTCTGTAATTGAATTTGTATTTACCATTTTCTAGAATCACCTGCTGGTAAGAAGAAAAAAGTTCTTATTGGGTTGAGAATAAGTCATCTGTGCATTTTTTCCACAAGCAATTAAGCCAATATTCAACTTTTAATCTTTAATTGTCATCAGTATGTATACTCAGACAACTTTTGTGTAGAAATTATTAAAAATATTTAAAATCTTAGAAACATTTAAGGATATGCGTCTAGGCAATGTTACGTGTTCACTAAATTTGAACTGACTCAGAGATAAGCTTTTAAGACAGGGGATTGAAAATCGGGATTGTCGTTGGATATTTGTAATTGTAGAGGGTTCAGATTATAGCAGAGTTCTGAGAAGAAGAGCAATTTAACATCTGTTGAATGACGTATCGACAGCCTTAGTCCTGTAGTCATAAACATATCTTTAGTGATACACGTTAACAGTATACATAAAAAATGCGTGCATCATGTGTGTATCGCGTGCAAAGTTGCTTGCCAGTTGCAAAAGAACAAAGTGGCGCGACATCCTAAGAAAATCTCACAAACGTTATTTGAAGAGTATAAACGTCGAACACACAAGCAATATATTAAACTTATATTTATACTTCCGACTGATCAGAAAATGTCGACATACCATGGTATTTTTTATAATTATCGCAGTTGCTGTTTACTAATATTTATTTAAATGCAAATGCATCGCACATAGCAAATACTTCACTTTACTTTTTTTCATAGTTGACTAACAATTAACACGTAGTTATTTATGGTTGTCATTTTTGACGTTCAGTTAAATCGTCATCAACAAAAGAAAAATATATTTGTTCCGCATTACAGTCTCCTCACCTTAGCAGAGTAACTAGAGTGTTAGATGGACAATGCATATTTACAAACTGAGATGGACTAAACGAAAGCACAATGTATATATTTTTTTGTATTATTTGGGCCAGACTAGATAAATAATTGATGTCAGTTACTTTTGGAATCTAAACCCCAAGGATGTGAAAATGGCTGGATTGTTTGCGAACTATCGAAGTCATTCATTGTACCAAAGTCAGCAACAGCCTATATAGATCAGTTTATATCTGCATACGAGGATAATATATCTCATGAATATGAGATTCATTATATGAATATCACACAAATACTATTCAAAAGCCTTTGTAAGCGAAACGGAAGATGAATTTCGTAAAGGCTATATGAGAAAAAATGTAGCTTAAAAAAGATTTGGCGCTCTCCTTTGGCATAGTAGTTCGTTACCCTGCATGCTCTAAGTTACAAGCCCACGTGGATTAAAAACGACACAATTTTCTTATAAACTGCATATATTGACTCGAGTCGAGATATTCTCGTCACGATATCCGTTTTTTATGACACCGTTTGAGTTTCGACTTAATACCAAAGGGCCAGAACATGAATTCTAATTCTCGGAAGATGTCTTTGTATCTAAAGATACGAATTTTCAACATTTTGAAAAACGCACCGTGTAGCTACAATTTAAAAATGTACTCCTATACTATGGAATCCTTTTTTAGTAAGTTATATCATGTGTCACTATGAATTATATGAGGTATTAGCAAAAATTGGATATAAAGTTAATGTTTACGTTTGCGTAGCTTAACTCACGATATTATATAGTTTGGTCTTTTATGTTTGCGCTCATTTATCGCAACAGTAAATTGCCAATATATACACTTATTAAGTGCATATAGCTTTGAACAGTCTCATATATCATTTCGTAATCAAACAATATGTCGCCGAGAATTTTAAATAATACAAAATAAAAAAGTTCCCACTATAGACATCCTGTTTTCTTGATAATAAAGATAACAAAAGAGTTGAGACACATAGTATGTGTCTAAACTCTTGTATCATCTTGAATATAAAAATACGGATGTCCGTATTCGGAATTTGTTTTATTTTGTATTATATGTCGTTGAGAAGTTGGTATCTATGAGCAACGACTAATATATCTTCCATGAATATTGTTCTTATTGATATCAGCCATAATGATTTAGGATATTTCAATTGTTGGTGAGTGAATTCTTCGATGCATACTCTGCAAGTGACACGATTTAACAATCTTAAACAAAATATTTGGTAAGAATTTTATATTTCATTTTTGAAAGTGTATCTTTGTTTTTGTATTTGTATTTCTCATTTCGGTCTTTTTAATTGAGTTTATTGCCTATCAACAGTTGAAGACGTACAAGTTTTGCGTAAAAATGTCAAAAGCTGTTGTGAAAAGCTAAATGTCAAAGCAAATTTACCATAACTTTATATACTTTCAATACTTACATTGAAAAAGTTTACTTGTTTATACTCTCACTGTTTTCTGGGTTGTTTTTCTTACGAAAATTCAACACAAATATCTTAATAAACAGCTGTTAAGTGCAATTTTATTCATGTAGAAGATGCCAGCCAATTTGAAGATCATGTTCGTTGAAATAGTTTTTGTCATTGCTGGATATTCAATTGTTTCAAGTGTTCCTATTGTATCTGAGAAAAATATTTGCAATGAATGCGAACCTCTCATTGGTAAGCTGTTTTGACATGTTTCACGTAATTTCCATATCTTCTTGTAACAGCGTACGTGTTTGACAAGCATATTTCTTCATAAAGTTTCATCGCTTTGCCTTTTTGCTACTTCTGGGTCAAACAGCAATAGACGTCAAACTAACTGTTTTACCAAATCTCAATTAACCATTTTAATTTTTGCATACATTCTTTTTATTCTAAAAGCGTGGATTTTGACATATTTATTACAATGGACACAGTTCCTTCACTCGGTTATGGTTTTGTTTTAATATTTTAACTATAATTACAACAGCCAAACTGTTTATTATGTAAAAATATCACAAAGTTGAGACAGTAATGACAATAAGGGCATTTGCTGTTAAGTTTAATCGTTTGTCTACCAAATAAAATTCATTTTGTCATTCTTATAATCATGAAAAAAATTTGATACATGTAATTACTTAGCATGTTAATTGAATTGCTTCACATTTTTAAATGATTTCTTTGCAGAGGATGGCAACACAGCAAGCTTTTCAGGTAAGATTAACAAAGCAAAATTTTCTGCTCTTTCTTTCTTCTAAACCATGATATTTTCCCTTTTCATATCATGTTGAGCAATTAGAAGGTGTGGTAACATGGAATGACCTGATGCATGTATAAACAAAAGCTTTAAAAGTCCCCATGCTGGGTGAAGTAAATCGGCCACATAGCCGGAGGAAAATAGCTTTTATGACAGGTTGAACTTGTTGCTACAAGGAAGATGGTCATTTAAACTAAATTTTGTCCGTAAACATGTTGTAAAAAATAAGTGAAATTTCATGTACATTTTGCAGAGACGAAAATTTGTAATTGAACACGTTTTCGCACACACCCCACCTTTTGGTATCTTGAGATAATAAGTGCTACGCTTATGAATTCATAGAGCAAGCGAAACACATGTAATGCACTTTTTAATCATATTTACTACATATGCTTATGCGTTGGCGATAATGAAATCAATCCCAAATCGGTCAAAAACTCAAAAAATTCTAACTGTTGTGAACCTCAAACATTAAAATGGTTTTATCCTAATACTAATCACATTCTGACGAAACATATTATAGAAGACAGGTTATTTATTGAATATTCACCTCGCTTTGCGAGTCAAAGATAGCTAAATGGTTATAGTTTATTTAATATTTTATTCCTTTATTCCACTTTCTTAGTCATACTAATGACATCAATGCCAACTCTGCACCAAAGCCGAAAACCAACGTCAAAGGTGTGCTCAACAGTAGTTGACTTTAAAGACGGATTTCAAAATAGCAAATACCATGGTGAAGGGTAATAATAACAATGTAATAGTTCTTAAAAGAACTGTTTTAACCAGAACACTAACCCAACAATTCAAAGGAACCGTTATTTACAGCTAGAAAGAGACACAATGCATTTCGGCAGACTACTTGTCAAGTGTCAACGTCTGCTAACTGAGAACCTCCAAATCATGCTATATTTATGTTACAAAAGGTCAATGTCATCCCTATTTTTTAAGACGACATTTAAAACAAAGACAGATTAAACACGTGATCCTTTTGTCGGCAAAGGACAGGATTAGTCAATTTAATTAATAACTACTCCATGACGCGTAGCTGGAATAACGAGCGACATTTTTTAATAATTTTAAAGTTTTCATCAGAATAAGCATTGGCACAGCGAGTGTTGCTTAAAAGATGTTTTCCAGTCGCTGAATCACATAGAATCGGATTTTCACTTTTACACCCACGTTTTGGTAGTTGTCGTAAAGGAACAGTTTTAATCCTGACCGAAGCTGGTACATGCTGTTTTATTCTTTCACTCAACCTTTGAGAAGTCCTACCTACATAGCGAGCATCACACTCACATTTGAACTCGTAGACTAAATTGCTTGATATTTGAGCAGGGAGAAACTCTTTGGGAGTGGGTGGAAGAATAGTTCTTTTTGAGAATAAAAAGACCACATTGCATGCAAAAAACAAACTCTCAGTGATATTTTTAGTTTCCTTCTCGATGTCATTAGAGGCCTTACACATCCTGGGAAGTTTAATTTGTCGTCTTTAAAAATAGGGATGACATTGACCTTTTGTAACATTATAAATATAGCATGATTTGGAGGTTCTCAGTTAGCAGACGTTGACACCTGACAAGTACTCTGCCGAAATGCATATTGTCTCTTTCTAGCTGTAAATAAGGTTCCTTTGAATTGATGGGTTAGTGTTGTGGTTAAAACAGTTCTTTTAAGAACTATTGCATTGTTATTATTAGCATTCACCATGGTATTTGCTATTTTGAAATCCGTCTTTAAGTTTGTCACCACGACAAAGTCTCTGTTTCAGTAGTTGAATTATTTTTTTTTATTTATATGGAGCTTTTATTTATATGCACAATTTTCTTTTTAAAAGTTGGTGGATGTAGGCTAGGTCAAAATATATCATAAAATCTTATTTAAAATTTTTTCAAAGCTTTTAGTCGGAAAAAAAGAATGTATTTATGGGTAAAGCTTATTTTAGATTTCCTCTACTGTTTATTGAAGGAGTTGTACAAGAACAAAGGTGGTGAACAAACTCAAAAAATCAGATGAAATTGATTGTTTTGGTTGATCACGAGAATATTTTTGTTGGAAAGTTATCACAAGTCTTCAAAAAACTTTGTGAAAAATTCACTAACTAAATTCACTAACTAAATTACACATTTATATAATTAAAACCATCGTGGTGGGTAAAGTCTTCTTTAGAAAAATTTACAAAATTGTAGTGGATTTATATCTTCTCTTTTTTATCAAGCCGAAGATGATGACGAAGATAAGGATGACAATGAAGATAAGGATGACAATGAAGATAAGGATGACAATGAAGATAAGGATGATAATGAAGATGATGATGACAATGAAGATGATGATGAAAGCGATGATGACAGTAACGAGGAGAGTGACGGGATAATTGACAAGCAAAAAAATTAGTAATGCTGCCAAAAAAACTGTTATATCTTAGCAATAGAGAAACGCTAAAGTTGTTTTATAAAGTTTTGATGTTTTGAAAACAATGCTTGCATGAGAATTTTGTTTTTGTTAGAAGAATTATATGAGATTCACTTTCATAGAAGCTGTCCTGCGCAGTAAACAGGAAAAATAAGTTTTACATATTACATTAATTTAGCATAGGCTTTTGATAAATCTATAAAGTTCATTGTCACATAAATTTGAATACAGCAAGGTAAAATGTTTAAAAAGCTTTGTCAAAATTTGTTTCAAATATCAAAAAAATTTAACAGTAAATGAGCACATGATAAAATTCAAGCATTGGTCAGGTATAAAACAATATATGAGATACAAACCAAGTAAGTTTGGTATTAAGTTGTGGGTCAATGTGGATAGTCAGAATGGGTATTCATTAGACGTTGATGTTTACATCGTTAAAAAAGCGACCAATTGTTCTCCTTATGGATTGGGATACAATGTATATTCCAACAATATTTTAATCAGTGTTACTCTGTATTTTTGATAATTTTTACACTTCTCCTAGAATAATGCATGATCTGTTTTGCATTGTTTCTCCTCTTCGAGCATATGTAGGATAGCTAAGTTAAAACTCTCTAAAACTTCACAGAACTTTAGGGAATTTAAAAAATCTGAGCAAGTGGGCATTTGGTGAAGTGGTGGATCAATGATCTTTGCACTCCAATAGCATGATAGTAAGGTAATTTCCATTTTCAACATCGTTGACAATGCCAATGAATTGTCGTGGTATTTAAAAGAACAGTTAACCAGCTATAGAGAATTTCGGAAAGTAGAGATCCCCAACCTGTAGGTATGGATAATAACAATAAGATATGAATGGTTATATAGGTCTGATCAACTAATATCCTCGCAATAAACTTAAGAGAAACATATAAAAGTATCACGATTGACATTAGTTTTACAACTCTTGACTTTTTGGGGATGTTTATTGGTTTAGGAGTACATTGCATTTATATATATTTTGCAGTAGTGGATTCAGCGTTCGTCAAAATAAATTATAGCTCCTCATTTTAAATTCAAACTACTTTCAGAAAAGTACTATTGGTTATGTATTTATAAAGAATATAATTTGACAAATGGCTTGCCACATTGATCTGAATGCCCACTGGATAACGCAATCCACTATTTCTGTGAAGCCAGAGCTGCCATTTTGGAGGGTTCCACTTAATACAAAAAAGTAATCATAATATTAATCTATCACTTTTCCATAAAATCTTTTATGTTGATACATGGCTTTATTGAAATTCTGTCGTATATTAAAAGTGGGTTTCACTCCTCGAATGGAACCTAGTAATCGGGTGATAACATTGTACGCACACAATAACTTTGGATTCAACTTTTGATTGGGCGTTATATTGCAAAGTACTATATCTGGCTTATTATATATGTTTATAACTTGCTACTGAGATGCTTTGAAATGTAAATATTTGCCAGTAATTTATTTTGACGTACCTTTGATTGGCCACAAACTTTTGGCATCTTTAAAATTAAATTTGTTGTTTACTGAGAATTTAAAGCTTTGTGGTACTAAATCCCTCAAGACAATCATTGGCAGTGTCTTGTCAGTGCCCTGTCAGTGTCCGATTTTGATTGCAAAGTAATTTGAATTAGCTAGTGTGGGTAGTCTAGAAAAAGTATAACTGTCTAAAATACATAAAAAGACATTAACGGTTTCCAGTTTACTGGTTTTATAAATCTTATAGTGCTAATTCTGGCGGCCTAGTGACTAATTGTCTTTTCACCTTACAAGACGAGATCCGGGATTACATTCAGGGAAAATGCATGCCTTCTTCAGAAATGTTGTTATGTACAATAGCAATTTCATTAACAAGCTATTAAATTGTCAGATGTCATGAGTGTATGTGTGTGTGCCGTCTGTACTTATATGGATCAGTGGCAGACTGATGGTTGGCCAAAATTAAATATTAAATTTATCAAACTTGAAAGACTTTTTTAACAACGGTGTTTTTTTAAAAATTTGTAAAAAGAATATATAAACTAAAAAATACTTTGCTCAAAAAGTATTTCAAAAGGGAAATTTATTTTCATTAATGTTTCCTAATCTATCCTGGATCCGCTACTGCTCTAGTAAATGAGCTTATGATGTATTCTTAAAAAACCGTCAAAAAATTTACATTTACGAATGTATATTTATGGCTATAAAACCTGCATATTTATATACATGAACACAACACAAAAGCTCATATGTGCACTAAACTTGACAATCAGTACAAATTCACACCTAGTCTGGCCAAATATGGCTCTTTTCATGAAAGTAGCAAATACCTTTCTGTTCTAAAATTTCCACTGTTAATAATTAATTAATTAAAAGTGTGCTAATTAGTATTTGATCTTTTGGTTGCATTGCCAAACTTGTAGCCAGATGTACATAAAAAACGCGATAGTTGAGCAATCAACGTGGCAGTAAGTCAAATACAAACCCTAGTCATGTCGTGCACCTTAAATTTGACTAATTTACTGAGGTTAGTAGAGAGTCAATGTAATGAACAACTACCAACCCGCTCCTTATTTTTCTCTTTTATATGGTCGACATATGAAAATTCAAATTTAGATTGAGATAAAATGTTTTGTAAATTGTATATTGGCATAAACAAAGAAATTCGTGTATATTCGAGACATGTTGTTACCATGTATTTTTACTATTATGGCAATATCTTTTAAAAATCATTTTAGCCATTCAAGTCCGTTAAAAAACGTTTCCAATGTGCCTTGACACTCTCAACGAGCATTCGTTTTTTGTCTTTTTGATAACTAAGCACTTAAGTCTGTGACACACGACGTGGTCTCCAAGACTTTTTGTTTCCGACACCTTATCTCCAACACGAAATTTGCCAATTTGTTATCGGATATTTTCTGACTCAGAGACTTTCCGAGACTTGGTTTCTGAAAAAGAACGATGTTTTATTTCCATCGACATGCAAGTCTCCGACACAAAATGTTAGTGGCAAATAAAATCTCAGGAGTCAAGACGCGTTTTGCTTGATCAACAACAAAGATGGTGGTCAAAAGTTTTGCAAAAAGTTTTGCAATTAAATTTTTGTGAACTTTCGCAAGGGTGAACCCATTACAGGACAACGCTGTGAGAGTATCATAGCTACCAGAGTAAAACGTTAGTGTAGTAATACAAATGTGACAGGCGCAACTCTCTTAATTAAATGAGCCATGCTGCAATCATTTTTATACTATTGTAAATTCCAAACAGTTCTTTCTTCAGTGTAGTCTTCGATATTACAAGGTAAAACAATTGCAGCATTTGGAGCAGCGAAAAATCATCTCCAATCGTATTTAAAAAAACAACTACACAATGTAATTACTCGGCAAAGTTTCTAAATTCTTCGTTTCGTGTGTCAGGTAGAGTCTTCGATTATTTTGTATTGGAGACTTCATCTTGGAAACTTTTGTCTCGTGTGTCGCTGGCTTTGTTCGCTTGTAATTTCCCCTAGTGTGCGTGTGTGTTTATTATAATATTGCGCATGATATCAATGAAACATATATCTCTGACTTTTTTTATAATTGACTGGGTCTACTAAGGAAACCATTCTTTGTATACAAACAATTAATGCAAATTATGTCAGCAAAGTATATTAGCTCGAGACATAAGAAACCTGCTTTTGCAAACAAGCTCATTCAACAAAAACAATGGCCAAGCTTCTTGTCATTTTTTGGACTTTGAACTTTGTTGTTCGTCTTAGTAACTAAAAACTTGTGCCTTTTGTGATACAGTGAATAATATTACAAGATGTCGGACATTGTGACACAGAAATGTTAATTTTGAAATGAAATCAAATTATTTATTTTTGAGAGCTCACTATAGTATATGTGTTATGTGAAAGGTGGATCAATTTATTGCACTATTATCAATGAAACATACCTGATATATATTTTTGTAAATCATCGACAACCCGACCCACTCCTTACTTTTCTTTTCTATAAGATCGACATGTGGATCGTATTTTCACATAAACAAAGAAAGAAAGGCAACAATAGCTACGAATGAAAAAATGTAAATTATAACAGCTAGTAGTCTATGTATATTCGAGATATGTCGTTACTATGTATTCTTACTATTATAGCAACATCTTTTAAAAATCATTTCAGCTATACTTAATTTAATAAGTTTCCAGTTGCTATGACACAATCGACGAACATTCTGGTCTTTTGCGTTTTTTTTGTGAAAGTTGTATCAAAGTATTGCTTACATTACGAAAATAAAATATACCTGACATAGTTTTTGTAAATCATCCACAACCTAACCCATTCTATCGTTATTTTTGTATTTATCAGATTATCATGCCGAAAATCTAAATTTTCTCGAAAAACCAAGGTATAATGTATAATTGTATATTTAATTGGGCATGAACAACGAAAGAATTGAGAAAAAAGTAAATATGGAAAAATGAAAACTTTAATAGCATTTCATGTAGCTATATTCAAGATGTTGCCGTCACATAGCTTATTGCTGCCCATGTATTTTTACTATTAGTAACATCTTAAAAATAATCATTTTACCTATTTAAGGCTGTATAAGTATAAAGTTTGCAAATTGCTCAACGAACATTCGCGTCTTTTGTCTTTTTGATCAATTAAGCACTTAGAGTTTCAAAAATAGCTAGTCTGGCACTTACCACTGCTAATTCTTTGTGGTAATTTTCCGGTGTGCGTGCTTGTGCTTGTATGAAAATTGCCGAAAAATTTGTGTGATACAGTTGGTAATTTTAGAAGACGTTGAATATTGTAAAAGAAATGTTAATGTTTGAGATAAAATTATATTAGCTATTTTTGTGATGTTAAATAGTGTATGCATGTGCAATGTGAAAGTGCATGAATTTATTGGGTATATTCCTTCAATGAAATGTACCTAATATTTTTTCAATTATTAAGTCTTAGATAAGCTTACAACGTGTGGTTTTATGCATTACATGTATCGTTTCTTCCTAGTCTTTCAATTTTGATTCAAATTAAACAACTTATTCACGTCCAGACTAAATCACATGCTTTAGAATTCAATAACTGGCTGTATTTATGAAAGGAATTAAAGCATACACAATTCTTTTTTTCATTTATTCATTAAAAAAATCAATTGAAAGAAACTAAAATCAAACATACTTATTTAGCAAAATATTATTATAGCTAGCTCTTACGAAGGAATATTGAAGATTGTTTAGTTAGTATGCAAATGGCTGATTTTTTGTGATGACAACGTAGGCATATAATCCTCTTGAAAGTGATAATTGTTAATTTTTTTATACATGCAAAGTATGTGTCTAAAAGACTTTTTGATTATGTGTTCAATTTCCGACCACTTGATGTCTCTTACGTAGAGTGCAGATCAAAATCTGTGAAGAGGAACGTGTATAAATCCGAGTGTGGACGTGATATATGCTGTAGTTGGTCATGATATTTTATTAGATTTGTACATGTGTAATGTATTTGCACATATAGCTATTTTTATGTAGGATGCGGTTAACTTTTATATAAATTGAAAAAAAATTTGATAGAGATGAGCTATCAAAGGTGTAAGTACATGTATAAACAGGTCAACCAAGTAAAGAGATGATGGTACGACAAGAAATGCTTGTATGCTTTTGGTGATTATTATTATATATGTTGCGCTGTGAGGGCAACAAGTTACTGGATGAAGTAACTCGTTAATTAAAAAATAGATTTATTCCTTTTCTGTGCTGTTTTCCCTCAATTTAACTGTGTGTTAATTATATCCAGGACAGCCGCATTAGTCAACATACATCCGTACAAACAGATTTTTTATCTGTGTTTCTATATCAGACTGTTTGTTAATGACTATAATTCTAAATCAACCTTTCATATGCTGATAATCAAGTCTGTATAGAACTGTAGCTACTATATCATACTAGTAGGTTTAATACAAAGATATTTGCTCCTATTGCTTAGTTTGGGTTTTTTTTACTGAAAAATAAATTTTGAAATAATAACATGTGGAAAGGTATATAGTCCGTTTTTGGTATCCTGTTGATGCAAATATTTGTGTGTTTATATAGCTAATTGGCTAATTTTCTTAAGAAATGTATAAATATTTTGGTAAAAAATTTGCATCGATGACTAAAGTAAGGGTTCTACTAGCGTCTGAAATGAACTGTGCACACATTTTCAAACAAGATATTAATTGAAACCAATCTGCGAAATACGGAGGTGCAAAAAAAAAGCTTGACAAAATACTCTGTACATTTGGACGGGCGCCACCGCTTTCAATTACATTGCATGTAGGTTATAAGACAATCATTGACTGTATTTGCTATTAGTAAGATAAATGTTGATATACAAGCAAATGACGACGAAAAAATCACGTGGAGTAATTAGCTAATACTTTCTCATATCTCAGCCTGCTGTGAAGCAACACTCTATAATATTTGATTAACTTTATAAGAGACAAGCTTATGATGTTTAGGTTTGTATTTTTGTTGATTTTTGGCACACATGCCCAAACGAGAATCCTATGAAAGTTTATGAAAACTGACAGGTCGTCCGAAAAGAAAGAAAACTGCTGTTTGCTGTATAAAGTATAAACTCTATGTCTACGCCATACTTCCACTGTTAATCATAACGAATATATTGAAGATTGCGAGTTTGATGTTTGTGCATGCAACGATGGCTCAATATTTTGCCTTTGCCAAGCATTTGAAGCTTATGCTACTTCATGCTCTTTTGCTGGAGCTCCCATTACCTGGAAGGACCTTCCCCAGTTTTCTATGTGTAAAGGTCGTGTATAGTAAAAAGTAAGAGAAATTTCGACCTATTGAACAAATAGTTGATAGAATATATGGATGTGTGCAAAGAAAAAACAATTAGTTACTAATTATAATGAGCTTTTAATCTATTTGTATTTAAAGATTACGTTGAGATTGACCTAACTTTAAAAAAGAATAAGATAGTTGCAGTACTGTGTAAAGGTTTTTAGTTATATATCTTATAATTCTGTGCTCATCATGATTTTTTCATCTTTATGTGTTGAATACAAGTTTTTTCTCATTTTGTCAGCAAATAGATTATAGAGAATGCCTTATATGCAGACTGCTCATTTAAATATTCTCAAAATATATCGCAAATATATAGCTTCGCTAATCACAATATGTTCAAGAATATTTTGCTTGTAGTGTTCAATTTTGTTTGTGGATGACATATAGCTAAAATACGTAAATTTTCACAATAAAAGAAACCCCAGTTGTTAATTGTTTTGGAACGTATATAAAACGAGAGAAAGTGCTGTCGTTACATTAATTAATAATTTTTCAAGCTCATCCCTTGAAAAACAATATTTGTCAGGCGAGCGTTACCACAGATTATCTTCTTTCTAGGGGACCCAGAAAGCTCAACCAAAATAAAATGTTTCGAAACGCAAAACAAATTATTCAAACCTTAAAAAAGATTTATACAATGAATGAAATATTTCAAAGCACAAGCACAAGAAATACACAACGCAACTAATTGTTCATAGCACAAACAATGTTTCTCGCCACGCAAGCAGTAAAGTTGCAACGCAGGCACTAAAACTCGCAACGCAAACACAAAAACTCACGAAAACAAAATTTGACAAAACGGAAATGTTTTCACAACGTAAGTTAATATAACCGGAAATTAGACAAAGGCAATTGCAGACAGCGTACTTCGGGAAGATATTTCAAAATGTTTTGCTATAAATGTAGTATTGAGACCCCAGAATTTTCAACAAATTCACAACGCATTACATAGGCCTGCTCTAGCAATTCAAAATGGACGACATTAAGGAATTATTCGAACGTTATTTTCATCGCGGTAATGAAAATAAGGTTATTGTTAGAGCAGGCCTATATAATATATAACTTCTAGGCCACCTCATCTTTCTCATAGGACTATGAGTATTTTCAGCAAAGTTTGATAGTAAGCCTTTGTGGATAGAAGCCTCCAGTGGTTGATGGAATATTCAGCATTCAACATGTTTCTCATACCAGCATATTGTATAAAAACTTTTGTTCATTACCACCAACATGCCTTTGCTTGCTACACATATACTTAGAGCTAACACAAACGTATATAAGTATATAAACGCATAATTTCAACTGTTTTTTTTGTGGGAATTCATAGCCTTTTAACGAAATAAACATGCTGCATATGCTTATCTATTAAAAGCTTTTCATACACTTTAACAAAATTTATCGTAAATTTACACGATGTTGTTCAAATTAATACTGTGATACAATAGGTAACTAAACTTCTAATATGAGACGTTTCAAAATTATAAATGCGCTATACTTACAAAATATGAATCTTAGCATCAAAACCGCAAAAGAGGTAGAGAATCATATCCATATATAGTTACGTAAATTATAAAACATGCGTCACAGTAACTAAGGAGACAAAATGAAGAAAACAGGAATTTTGTGACATTGAAATACAGTTACATGAAGCTAAGTGTGAAAACGTGCTCATTATTTTGCAGTGCTCATGGTTTTCTTTTCTAATTTGTATCCGAGTAGTTAGCTAGAGTACTCACTTGTCAAGCACTTGACTACAGACAATTTGTTTTTATTTCTACTAAAGGTATTTTGGTTTTACTTTTTTTGCTTTTCTAAGCTTCATCTTATGACGTCATTTGTGTTGTTCTTACTTACAACATTATTAATCTAAAAAAGTCTGTGAAATATAGTTAAGCGAAGCAAATAAATTTTATAATTTTTACGAAAATCTCCAGTGCGTATAAAACGTATAAAACACAATGTATAAAACGAAATGGCAGAGTATCGGAGAGTGTTGCGAAACAAGGTTTTTGTATTAAACAAGGGGCATGCGATTGCTCTTTTATTAATATTACTTATCCAAATAAAAATTAAACATAGACGGATTTCATCTGAGGATCTTACATTTAAGAATGAAAGCACAAAAAAATGTTGTCAATGCACATGTCACAAACAGGGTGCATGTGATTTCCCTATTCTTGCAATTACTTAAATTCAACTTAAATTCAAACGGAAGAAATATACTTACTGTAATTCAGCAGAAAATTCAAACTCTTATTTTGTTTTGTAAACATTATTTACATGAGACAATCTTTTGCATATTAATTCGGAGATTTTTGATTCCAAAAACTGTTCCTGTTAATTTTTTCCAGCATTTCCTTTAAAAAATATTATCCATTATTTATACTTTATTCAATGAAATAACCTAAAAGCTGATATATGGCTGTCGTTCATGCAAAGAATCGAAGTGATGAAATAAATAAAAGAAAGAAAATTTGCCATTAAAAAAATTGCACAACAAATTTTAGCTCATTAAAATGCAATAGAAGTCAAAATATCTTTTTATCAATTTGCAGATTTTTTACACTTCTGCTTATAAGTATGTATTCAACACACCATTTTACGTCAATTTTTATTTAATTTGATTGATATAAAAATCATGATCCTGAACATTTCGTCTCAGATTATTCCATCAATCACAAATCAAATATGCTCTTAATTTGGTCAAGTTAACGATATCAATAGGAAATAAAATGCAAAATATTTGGTCCAAATCCAAATTTACAGAATATAATATTGGCGTTATATAAAATTGCCTAAAAAAGAAGCTTCGATTTCAATATCGTCTTCAAAATACATATAACATAACAAACAATGTATTTACTTCTTATGTGAGCGTTTGACGTGACTTTGATTGAAATTTTGGTAAGAGCTTCATTTTTAACATCATTATACCAATTATTAAATCATTTTTTTTGTTAGTAGTTATCTTTCATTATTATGTATATAAGTTACGTTGCATGTGCTATCTTGTACTTATTAACCTGATGAGTGTGACAGCTATGTATAATCCAATTAAATGCCATACGAAAATAAATTTAAGTTAAACAAAATCATAGCTCGTGTTTCAATCTCTATTTTACTTATTTCATCCGCTGTAACATTGCTTTAGCACACTGTTTTGAACACTCAATTTACTTAGGCTAGCTATGAATTTTCATAAACTCTGCAAATTATAATAATTAAATTTTATTCCGAATGAAATGTTTTATCATTTTAAAACATATTTCGAAGATTTTTACTGCTGTAATGTAAACATTTTATCAATACAGCTATTCTAATGTGTCTACATGTGTTTCTGTTTCAACATAGAACGTCATGTTTTTGACAGCAATACTTGTTTTTAATGGAATCCTGGTGGTTTCAAGTTATCCAATAGTACCTGAACAGATTGGATGCGATAAAGGAGAACCTTTAATTGGTAGTAAGAAATTATTTATGACATTATTTTTATAATCATTACAAAATTTATGCAAGATTCATATGGATTGGTTTCTAACTAACTAACTTCTAAATTACTGATTAGTTTCACGCAGATTACACATTTATATTATGGGAAAAAGTTGAGCATATGGGATAGCATGCTTAGACAAAGTGGTGTCAGCTAACTTTACATATCATTGCAGTTGTATTTATTTACAGACAGTACATCTCCTGATATCAACATAACAGTTCTACCGGAAGTGTTCATCAACAAATCAAGCCCAGTTATTGTAGTCTGTGACGCGGATTTTCCGCGCTTCCTGCCTCCTCAAACCAACTATTCGCTATTGCAAACGGTAAAAATTGATATTCATCTGGGAACTTTTCTACTCAAATCTTGTGATAAAAGTCTTGTTTCCCAATGTATTCATAAAATCAAAAATTTCTCTACTGGCTTACCGACCACATTCAGCTGTACAGCTACAAATGCAAGGAATGAATGTCGTTTCAAGTTTAAAGACATTTCAATTTTAGGTAAGTTAAACTGCTTACTCATCAGAAAGTGCTTAAATTAATGTATGACACAGAAACTGAGCATGCTAATCTTTCAAAATAGATTACTAAAAATCAGACATTTTCAACTCTATGATAATAAGATAAATATATTTCTGCCATTAAAATATGTGATCGTCAATTTTGTCCCATGATTTATCTTCTTAGTAGTAGTCATATTCAAAGCCATACTAGTCCTTGTAACGATACAATTAATTTGTATTTACTAAATCACAAACTTTAGTTTTTCTCGAATAATTTTTTTTAAACCATGTTTATTCACTAATGTCAACAATTTTGATAAATGTCGTAAAAATTCCTATTCAACCATCTTGTTTTTTCTTTCTTTCAGAACAGTATAGTACAACAAGTACAACACCAGGTAAGATACACATGAAACATTGCACACTATAAAAGTACTTGTGTAATACATGCATGAAGAAAAAAGTTTGTTTTTACTGGATTTCTGTTACGATAATTAGCTAATTGCCTTTCTTTCAGTTAATCAATAATATGGAATTGCTTACACCAAATTCAATAATTTTTATAGCTACTTTCAAATTACGTTTAAGTGGTGTAATAGTTGTTTGAACGCTATGCCATTTAGTCAACATGTTATTTCCTCCATCGAATAAGCTTAGAAACGAACAACTAAACATTAAAACGTATTATAAGATATTTAATATGAAATTATCTGTATATATTATACATTCTATTTTATTTAGCTATATCAACAACAATAATACCAGTGATAAAAACAACAAGTAAACCTACACAAACAGGTAATACAGAATCATTCTTACAAAAGAGTTTTTTAGAGAAGTAGCTAAAAAAAATGAGAAGTTATTTGTTTACAATGACTTACAGTCCAATTTCATCAGTCAAAATTTTATAGTTACTTGTGATTCGAGTGAGGCAAGTCACCAACTTCAAAAGGTGCCAAAACTGACAAGATGCATACGACTAAATTTTTTTCTCTTGCGTTGATATACAGTCGCAGAGTTATTATTCTTTGTTTTTGTTTTAAAAATGCTTGATAGGATTTGTTTTAAAACTATTTTTAGCAACTTTTCTCACTAAAAGTCATATTTTTGCACTTTTCAAAATGGCAGCATCTTTCCTTCCCTTTGACTTTTCCATTAGACGTCTATGAGATTTGATTAATATAATGTATGTGATGCAGTTCTTATGTATGTTGCTTGGTCAAAACATTTTTGTGAAACTGTATTATCTATCCGTAGACAAAAGAAATTAGGTTAGGGTACACCATTGAACTGAAGTACATGGAACGCAACCTGTAATACAAAACCGTAATAATTCTTTGAAGCCGTGACTTTACCCAGACTTGCTTGTATAGTACATCAATTTTTCCTCCACGAGAGAATCTCGAAAAACCCCACTCGTGTCTGTATTAAAATCTCGCGTGTCTGATGTAAGATTGGGCCTCAAATATTTTCTTCAGATAGCATTCTATGTATTTTAGTTCAATGGGCTACACAGCAAATTTTATCTGGCCAGGAAAAATTATGCGAAAAAGTTAACAATTTGTAAGTGTTTAATAAGTGTATTTTTTGATAAGCAGATAAAGATGATGACGATGATAGTGACATCGGTGATGACGACATTGATGATGACGACAGTGACAGCGATATTGATGACGATAGTGATGAAGAAAGCAATAGCGATTCAAATAATGATTAGAAATAAAGTTAACATGATTCTCATACCAGCATATTGCATTTAAACTTTGGATCATTACCACAAACACACCTTTGCTTGCTACATATATACTGTGAGCTAACACAAACATATATAAGTATATAAACGTATATTTTAATTGCTTTTTTGGTAGGAATTCATAGCCCTTTTACGAAATAAACATGTTTTTCATATACTTATCTATTAAAAACTTTTCATAGACTTTAACAAAATTCATCGTAAATTTACTCGATGTTGTTCAAATTGATACTATGGTATAATAAGTAACTAAACTTCTAATATGAGACGTTTCAAAATTATGAATGCGCTATACTTACACAATATGAATCAAAACCGCATCAAAACCGGCATCAAAACCAGCATCAAAACCGCAAATAAGTAGAGAATCATATCCATATATAGTTACGTCAAGTATAAAATATGCGTCAAAGTAACCAAGGAGACAAAATGAAGAAAACAGCAGTTGTTTTGCGATATTGAAATACAGTTACATGAAGCTAAGTGTGAAAACGTGCTCAATATTTTGCAGTGCTCATGGTTTTCCTTTCTAATTTGTATCCGAGTAGTTAGCTAGAGCACTCACTTGTCAAGCACTTGACTACAGATAATTTGTTTTTTCTATTAAAGGTATTATGATTTGATTTTTTTTTTCTTTTCTTAGCTTCGTCTTATGACGTATTTTCTGCTGTTCTTAGGAACAATATTATTAATCTAAAAAAGTCTGTCAAATATAATTAAGCTAAGCAACTAAATTTTATCACTTTTACGAAAATCGGCAGTGCAATCATAGAATGTCTACATACTTTCACAAATTCCGATCAAATTATTGCTCTTCACATAAATTAATTGAATTTTTTAAACCTTTTTAAATCCATAAGCATGCACTTACCACGTAATTTAGCGTATAATTTTAACTTTCTTTCTGTGGTCGGACAAAAGATTTTTAGTTTGTAATTAACCAATCATTGCTCGAATTTTATTCATTTCAATGTTTTGGCAATAGATGCAGGAATTTAATATTTGCTATTCAAAATAAACCAGCTTTGCTTTCTTTAAAGTCAAATACAAGCAATTCATGATAAAATCAATATTCAATTATTGTGTAAGATGAGTTAATATCTATAGTATAGTAAAAGCTGCATGTAGCCATTATAATTTGAGAACGTTGATCTTTTACTTGAAATCAACTCATCATAGATTCAAAATGACTACTCAAAAATATTAGAATAATGTTCATATCATGATAACTCTATTTCAGAAAAATATTTTTCATCAGTTTTTCATCGTCTTAGCGTGAGAAACCCGGGTACATTTATCAATATCGTTGTAGCGCATTGACGAAGCGTTTTTATGCACTATGATTCTAGTTGCCAAGGTAGAAAATCTAATGTTTAAAGCAAATCTAATATATTTTACCTTATAGAGAATGCTTATATATTGAACTGGGAATTTAACTAGCCTATAACATGTTTTCTTTACGTCAGTTTAAGATATTTAGATGTATACATTAGAGTTGAAATAATAATAATCTAAAGAACTCGTTATGAAGGGCGGAAACATTAAAAGATGCAATAACGTATTTTGAAATAATTGTTTTGTTTTATTGGACCTGCCATTTTAAAAAACCTCAACACGATTTGCTTGTTTGGATTTGCGAAATTAGACAGCTAAGCAACTGATTGTAAGGTACAGCTTAGTAATTTGTTCTTTTAATAATTCAATCAAAAAGGATCTTTAAAAATGTTTTGATATTTAATGTTGCTAATTACACTGTTAAATAAATATTATATATAGATTACTTATTAGTGCAGGTAATTGTATAGTTTCCAGTGCAATTATGGATAAACATGCACGAATGACTTTTTTAAAGACTGTAACGAAATAGTGAGAGTACAAAAAATGTCAAGTTGTCTTTGATGGGTTCCTGATACACACATTAAATGATAAGTTAAAACTTCGTCAAAATTGATTCGTGTCTCTTTTAAAGAAGGTTCTGGTACATATTAAGTCTTTACAAACTTGAGGTGTCCAGCCTTTACTTCCAAAATTGGAATGTAGTGATGAACGGTGTTGGTTTCAATGGCGTATTCTTTAATAGAGAGAAAATATGTTAACTATAGTATTTGAATGTGGGTCTTCCTTTAAATTTTTACTTATTTCACCCTCGGGTGAAAATATTTAGGAAGTCTGCCTGCTTTCTTCTGCCATCAGCAGAGATAAAAAAGTTAAACGCAATTTATGTACAAATCTCGCCGTTAGCGTAATGAAGCTAGTTGATCTTTTAATCAGTACAAAACTAATGATTATTTTGGTTATAACTGAATACGCATGTGTTTTGTTATGAATGGTTTGAAATGTGTAGAGCAATAATATTAATGAGGTCAGGCCTGTAACAACAGAGATGCGGTGCATTCACGTGCACCTCACCCCACATATCTGTAAGATCTATTTTTTTAACTTTTTATCAAGAAAGAAGAATAAACATTACAAAATAACAACAATAAAACACGCTGATTAGTCAACAGCAAAGTTTGCATTCGATTTTTGGTCTCAGATTTCCACTGATCAGCTTTCAAGTTCTCCCAAATATCTCCTCGGTTTGCAATAGCCTGTGCAAATAAAGTAAACATTTTTCAAATCTCTGACTAATTGAAGCTGTATGGTTAAATTGAAAAACATTTGAAATATTTCTCCTGCTAATCATTCACGTGTTTCTGTTCAATTTGCTTAAAGGATATTGGCAACGAAAATTTTTATGGCATATTTTTGAACCTTTGTGATGTCTAACAACTAAAATAGAAAAATTTTTTCTCAAAAATATTTTGTTGCTGAGATATTTGCAGCAAAAGTTTTATAAATTGCGCCATCTTGGATAAAATTTTGATAAAATTATCTCGAGCGGTAGTGACGTCATTGGCTGGTGAGCAGTCAAAACAACAATACAATATACTTTGTGATTGACTGCGTTACAACACATTTAAAGCGTATTTTACGAGGGTTTTTTGCTGTAATGGATGACATACACGAAAATCAACCGGGTGAGGTTCTGCCCCATCAATACGAACCTGAAGTGAAGGCCGAAACTAGTGAAGAAAGTGGTTCCGAACAAGAGAGTGAGCAGAGCGACTTGTCCTCGTCGGAGGATGAAATACATGCTGAATTTGAGAAAGCAAATGCTTGGCGCCTTCAAACTCTTTGTTGGTGTAAGTGTGGACATTGTACTTTGTCAAAAAAGCAATCGAGTGTTTTTGTTGCCACGAAAAAGCACTTGAATACGATGAGTATGAGGCTTTGCTAGGCCAAACAGAAACTCAAGGAGTAAATTGCTTGACAACACACCAAGAATTTAGGGGTAATATGCTCTCAGAAAGTGTGTTAAAGATAGACGTGTGTCGGCATCTTGAAGAAAACTGGCCCCTGTCTGATGAGGATCTAGAGAGAATACACAAGCTGTATCGATTAGTTGCCTATCAAAGATGTTCTAGGTGGATTTTTCAAATTTTGGGGAAGAAACATCGAAGACCAGTTCCTGCTTGTGTTTATGCTAGCATACGAAAACGCTTCGCGTCACCAGACGGACTTTATATACATTTTAAATACGCATATTATCACGAAAGACCGTAAATTTAAAGTCTTAGACAGACGCTCTTTGATGTTCTTTGTTATGATCTGCAATTGCGGTGCCATATCATTGTCAAAGGATTGTCACGAACAGCGCAAAAGCAAAATGCATGAGTGATCCACCCAAAACTTGTATTCATTCATAAGTTATAAAGTTAATCGAAAAGTGTACATGTACATTGTGCACGCAAACACGCACGTAAAACATTACGGATAAACGAAACTCAACAGTCAAGAACAAGACATAGCGGCTTAGAGCTTATCACCTATATAAAACTGCATAATCTTTCAAAGACTCTTATGTATACAAATAATAAATTAAACGTATAACTCATTTGTTGGTCACAGGTTTGTAATATGGGAAAATGAAATATTTCTATCGTACGAAATGTGCAGTGTATAAAACGCGCTTGTTGTCGTCTGGGCTTACACTTGGTATGTCGGCAAAACCTAGTTGTAAGATCTGCTAAATAAACGTTTCTACGTCTTATAACGACTATATATTGGAAAAATATATAAGCGTGATAAACTACACAACTTTTGTTAATCTTAACAACCGCCGACTGTTGTTTTTGTTTTAAAATTCCAGTGAACAAATGTGCTATATATTATTATAATACTATTATTTTATATTGTGTCATTCAGTGGATACCAGCCAATGACGTCAGTAATGTATTCCGGCATAATTTAGCATAAGGCTTTTTTCCAAAATGGCGGATAAGGATTCAACTTTATGTCAAATTTTCTCAACAGCAAAATTCAAAAGAGACGCGAAAACACGAAATTAAGTATTCCATAGCTATCTATGATAAACGTATGAAAAAAAAATTTTCGTTGCCAATGTCCTTTAAGCGCAAACCAATGTATACGTTAGAAGTCTAGGCTTTATTAGAATAAAGACGTAAGCAATCATGTTACTAGAAATTTTTTTATTTTAATAGTAAGACTAAGTAAATAAACAATTGCATTTGACATGCGATTTTTCTCTATAAACGAAACGAAAGAAACACTGACTAAAAGAATTCAAGTTGCTAACAAACAAAAATCACTTTGTTCATTATTATTTCAATGTTTCCTTCCAGTTACTGGTCGTGTTGACAATTTGTCAAGTGTTTTGTGCACTTGATGTACTTGTAAAAATTGTTATTGTGAGTAAACTATCACTTTGAATTCTCTTATAGAAAAGAAATTTCGTCATTTAAGTAAAGCTGATTTACACAGAAAAACTCAAAACAGTACAATAATTCCTTCAGTAACCTGCGGGAGTTAATATATTATCTAATATCATCTTCATACAACGAATGTTTACACAAAGGTTATGCTTGTATTTTTAAGCTCCATTATTACTGTTTGGGCCAACGTTAAAAAAACAATGAAAAAGAGCCATCTTAAAGTTCTGCTATTCATTAAAATTTTAAACTTGGTGCTAAGTGACCCCATAACCTCGGAGCAAGCTGGGTGTGTCGAAGGACCAGCCTTACCTGGTAAGTGAAGAAAAAACTTTGTAAATTAACAGAATGAGTTGCACACATTTAAGTAGCATGAAATAATTTCAATATTGGTAATGCAAATACAACTGAGATAGAAGGCATTCTTAAAATCGGAAAATACATACCTTTATCTAACATTTTTATTGTATTACAAGTCACTTTTTACAGCCATTAACATCTTTTGACATATCTCTGTGAAAATACGTTTACTTCAGAAATGAAAAAAGTGCAGGTTTTTGACTCTAGGTAACCTGCAACTTAGTTAAAATTCTTGACAAGCAAAGATTGTCTAATCTCTTTAAACATCATATGGACGAGAGATTTTCGCCACTGTAGCAGTTTACTGAATGGCACCGTGTTTCGCCTTTATTCCAAGGTAATCATCGGAGAATATATATAATATATTAATCCTAACACGGTTTTATTTGCACATGAAAAACATGTGACTTGGATGAGATTTGAGATTGCACCTTCAGGATACTAGTCTGAGTATCTGATATAGTGTTGAGAATCTCTCGTCCATACGCAGCTTAGAAAGAGATTTGACGCGTCTCCAATCCCTGCGGGCTTGGTAGCTGAACAGGTAGTGCGGCGGACTAGTATCCCGAAGGTGCGAGCCCAAATGTTTTTTATGTAAATATAATACCGTGTTAGGATTAATATATTATCTTCTCTTGCAAGTAAAGCGATTTTTGATTTCTCCGATCAAGGGGTGTACTGCATTAAAAACAGGAAGAATTATGTAAATTGCAAATAATATGCACATCTTCACCATTTTCATGTTACTTCTTTCATATAGGACAGTGGCAGCCTAAATTGAATATAACAGTTCTTCCATCGCAGTCCGTACCTAGCTTTTCTCAACTAAACATTGTTTGTGATGCAAGCGCGGCAAGAAAGATTAATGCCTGCTTGAAATTACCAAAACCACCTCTGCCCCCAACAAGAATTCTCATCAATATTGGAGTCTACCTGGTTAACGAATGTCTTTCTCCCACAATTGTAAACCAGTGCACATATAATCTGACAGCATTCTTTCAAGGCATACCACCAAGAATCAGTTGTACTGCTTTCGATGCTACTGGAGATTGCAGATTTAAAACAGTTAATGTCAGTCTTGTAGAAGGTGAGCTCGTTAGTACAACATATAAATTTTGAAATTTCCATAAAATTTGCAATTAAGGGTGCAAATCTTTTTTGATAAGTGCAGAGAGTGTCGATTAGCTATATGGTTCATAGTTTGTTGATAGTTTTACTATCATACTACAGTTATGTGCATCTTGGTTGAGAATAAATCATTTATTCGCTGAAAGATTAAACCAATATTTAAGTAAATATTTTGACCTTTGTTAATCATAAATACATAAATAACTCATAAGTAACTCATATGTTTTTGGAAAATGCAATTTTCATTTCGATACATTATCTGTGCCAAAAGTTAACAATTGGCTGGTGGGCTTGTTAAAAGACAAATAGAAATTATTCACTGACTGAACATAAATCATCTTATTTTAATTCTATTTTTCACACTTTTGATTTACTTTTTGCTTTTGTAAAGTAACGATCGTTTGCAACTTAAGGTGCCAAAAATGACCTGATAACTAGGATTTTTGTCGAAACGTTTGCTATCGTTATAAGTTTAGAGTTTAGACGAATATCAGATTGATGATACTGCACTACTTTATCTTTTAGTTAAAAACCAAATACGATTTCTCAAATTTCCGAGAGAACTTAATTTTTCATATTCAATAAAGACAACATTCAACATGATATTGGCTTGTGGCGAGAATGAAATAATCACTAATCAGTTATGCTGCGTACTTTTAAATATTTTGATAAGGACAGTCAAAAAAGAAATTTGAGTGAAATTTGATCCAAAGTCAACAATACTTTCAATGATAACTATTTGATGTTAAATCTTTAAAAAATATGCCAAAAAACGCTACAGAAATCTTAATCAAGTTTCTATTCGTCGTGTTTGTTTAAATTCCTAATATGTCATCGCATTGTATCCTATTTTGATATTTAAAATTTACATTAAATGATTTCAATAGTTTTAGAAGCAACTACACAGCATATTACGAGAAAGGAAACCTCCAAGAAAAACACAAAATGTGATTAGATATTACAGTGCCTCTTTAGCGGCATTTTACATGTTTTTTACGGTAATTTTTTACGAGATTTATTTCTTTTTACACAGGCAGCCAAAATGAGCTGCCCACATTTTGTCTATTAATGTTCGTTATTGATGATTGACACCCGCGCCAAAACTTTATTATAACTTAATAGAGAGAATAATTTAATTGTAAACAAAAATTTTACTAAAGCAAGAGAAAAACCCGCTAGTAGTTGAATTATTTCTTGTGCTATACTTTTTTGCTGTGTATACTTAAAAAGAAGAATGCATTTATTCACTTTCAACTGTTTTGAATGAAATTAATGATATTATTAAATAATTAAGTCGAATTCTTCTTTACTTATACTTCATATAGATTATTCAAAAACTAATACGAAAACATCAGGTAATGCAAAATATGTCTTAATAGTTATGTGATTTAAAGTTATAAAGTAATATACTGAAACCACAAAAATTCAATGCATGCGCTTATTTGTGTGTAGTTGAGTTTGTGTTAGGCTGTACAAAGTGATCTGGGCTCAATCAATTAAATCAAACAAGGAGAATTTTCAACTCAATCATTAACAAAAAGTTGGGGAGTTTCTCTTTTGCATTATTGTTATTTGAAAAAAAGTTATGTACTAACAGGGTAGTTCAGATTGAAAATTATCTTACCAAAATCTCAAAAGTGGCAAAGGCCGCAGGCCTAAAGACATTCTTGAGACCAAGGTGAATATTTTTCTATCCGGACTGACCTAAAATATAAATAATGTATCTGATCTACTCTCCAGTTCTTACAAATGGCTCCTCAGTTTTCATAAGCCTTAGAAACACAATAAGCATCTTTTATTTCTAAATAAAAAAAAATAAGATCTCATTACATATTTCTCCCTTTCCCTTGAGTTATGCATTTCACCTTAATATTTACATTAACTTCTATTTCATCCATTAGTTTTGTTGACGAAGTTGGTCCCAACAATGCCGACAACTGCATCAAAGAGCAACAATAAGAATGGTAAATGAAATCTTTTTGTTACCTTAAACTTTTCTTTTTTATTCTTCAGTTATATGATAATGGCATTACATTACATTAATGAACCTAGAAATGAAGTTTTCCAAGAGCATGTGCAGTTTCATTATATGTTCAAATACGATTTTCATTATTATTTTATCTGTATAAAGAAAATTAGCTAATATGCCCAATTTTTTTTCAAATGATGATGACAATGACAAGTCTAATGAAGAAAATGAAAGTGATGATAACAGTGATGATAGTGAAAATGATGAAAATGATAACGAAGACGGTGATGACTAAAGAACTAGATGAAAAAAACATTATGCTACTAAAAACTGCTTTACTTTTATGTATATAAACATTTAGTTTCCGAGAAAAAAAACTCCGCTTTTTTTACAAAAGGCATATAGTTGGGTGTTATGTCTGTTTGATCTTACGTAAGTGCATGTTCAACACAAAGCTTTCTTTTTCTAAACGGAAGAGATACAAAGCAAACTTTTTAGACACAAGACAAACTGTAGGGAAAAAAAGCAAATGAACGTGTAGAGCAAAAGGAAGCTTTTTACAAATTTTTCCATTGCAAAAGATCATTTTCATGAAATCATCAGTATAAAAACAAGTTTGTAGTTCTTGCGCAATTAGAGCCGTTCTATTCAAATTTTTTGACTAAGATTTCTGACAAAAAAATTAATGAAAAAAGAAAGCTGGATCTTATAGCTCTGACCATAAAAAGGTTACTTGTGCATGGTTTTCATTGGTTGCCTCACCATGGGTTAAACAGGGGTGGACATGTCCCAGTGATCATTTAGAATAAATTTTTAATTGTCTAAAACCGCAAAGCAAACATTCGAGGGTATGGGATAAAATCATTTACAATTTTTCCATGTAGAAAATGAACTGCTTGAATTTAGTTTTATTCAATTTCTTATGATTCTGATATGTCACTGAAGGCAGTAAAATTTACTATGCATATTAGCTACAGTGAACATGGCATGTTTGAAGGTACCATCTACAATTTTCTCTAAGAATTAGTTTTATGAATGTTTTAGGCCCATACCTTTGGTAACCAGCACAATCATTCCCTCTTTGCCACATGCTTCTGCTTTAGTAATGCACCACATCAAATATTGAATAAAAAATAACTATTTTTCTCCACGGCCAAGTTTTCTCCATTTTTCACTGCATAAAAGTTATCAAAAATATTCTAAAAAACTTGTATTGCAAAAATCTGAAAAAATCGAATAATTTTGTCCAAGAAAAGTGTAGTATTGTTATAGCAGACCAAGTACATTTTGCAAATGTTGAAATTATCAGAGCAACTTTCATAGGCATTGTCATAACTTTTTCTCATATCCCAACTGATATTTATTTATTAGCTTGTTGGGTTAAAAAAATTTTTGGCAGGTAATAACAAAATATCTATAGCTACGTATTTACTTTTATAATATACAGGTAGCCACATGATATTTAGCTTTATGAAAAATGTTTCGAATGATACTCGATGTCAACAGGCTACAAATTTTGCTAACGATGCTCATTATTGATGCTGCGAACTCATTGAAATTTTGAAGTCAAGATAACAAGTCAAGATAAAACAGTCCTTCTCAGGACTATACCAACCGGGACGATCTACATTTACAAACATGTAGCGATACTCCCAGGTTAAACCGTTTACTTTATTGCGGTTAATATTGTAATTGTTATCCACGCTCCACACACCAAGGGAAAGACCGTGATCAATTTGTTTCAGTGAGCCTGCAACCAAACGCCATTGCTCTGTTCATAAATGAAAAAAACAAAATTAACAAGCACTATTGTTGAAATAGCTTAAAATATTAAGCGCAATTTTGGTCCAGCATATTGCCCTGTGTACATTACAACAAGTTTGGTATTTTTGCACGTTTTTTTTATTAATTTCTTCGCACAGTAATGTCCACAGTATCGATCGTCAGTTTTTAATTTTATATGATCGCAATTCTTTTTAATGACAGAGAAATTAAGTCTAGGTAGATAGTTAACCAATCATATAAACAAAAAACTGACCATCACTAAACATATATGCAGTACGCTAATGTGTACATAACACTGGTTGCACTGATTAATACACATTAAAAATTGAAGCCAGATATTCACTAATTTGCTCATTAAATACAAAAGGACCATTGCATTATAATTACGTATTGCAAAACATTTCTTTGTTCCTTTTAATTAATTTTCATTTGGACAAAAATTTTATTGAAATGTGTAATCATGCAATAATGAGACATGAAAAAGAATCAAGAACGCTAGAGTAGTAGAGTGGAGAGTTCATGAAAAATAACGCACATATCTCTCTCTTTAAAGTATATTTTAACGTGACAAAAGAAAAGAGATTTTCATCATCGTAATAAGAATTTCAAATTATTTTGATGACATTAATTTTTTATTCCAGTCGATTGTCATTTAATGAGTTTTCGCGTTAAAAGATAACAACTGAAGAATAAAAAAATATTTATTCTTCTTTTTAATTATTTGAGAAATTAAAGATGTTTACTGTGTTTGCAAAGCCTTATGAAAACTGAAGGGACGACCATAACCCTATCAGCATTACACTTTTCTAACCGGTAAGACGCTCCTTTTCCAATTTGTAACTGACAGCCCATTGACTACCACCAAAAAGAACTGGTAGGCTGCTGGTAAACACAAAAAGATGTTAACCAAACATTCAAGACCGTGATCAATAAATGCTTTTTTGTCAATACTCCTGCATATTACTATGACACATAACGTTTTAAAGACTAATGGACGTAAACAGTTTTGAAACTCAAATACACATATCTGTTTATACCCGATTTAGTTATTTTTAACATAACATTATTCAATTTTCTGTTTTATTTTTACAGCTAGTTATTTTTTGCTCACAAGTGTACGAAAATATGAGCTATGAACAAGAACTATCTTCAAGTTTACAAAAAATTTCTCAGAAATCTTTCTCAGAAATCAAAGGTTTCTTGATTTTGGAAATTCGAACAAACTCTTAGCAACACATGCCAAAATAGACTGTGCTATTTTTTTAATTAATTGAGTTGAAAATCCATGATTTACTTGTACAAAAGTGCAATTACTGAAATAGAAGCGAAAGATTAAATAAAAATACTTTGCAAACTTTTCTATCACATGCAAGGTACAACATACCCTTTTAGTGTTTCAATGTTTTTGTAACAAATGTGCTGTCGTGAATTCTAGTATTTGCATACATTTATGAGAATATGGATTTTAATCAATCAATAAATGTCATATTTTTCCATGGACATAGATTTAAATATGTAACTTATTGAATTCCAAGAATCATGTTTCAAGAAAAAGGATTCTCTTTTAATTAAACGTATTAATTTCCATATTCGATTTAAATCATGTGCTTCCTCTCCTTGCTTAAATGGTGGAAAATTTAAAAATAATGGTAGCTCTTTCGAATGTAAATGCAAAAAGACTTTTTTATTAAAATGTTTTTGAAGAAAGAGGTAATGAATTGTACTCACTGATCATCTTTCATGGCTTTGAATAATCATATTAAAGGTGTCATTAAATTAACTTGAGAAAAGTTTACAAAATCTTAAAATTTCCGATTTTGTCATTGTAGATAAAGTTATTGTGGAATGTATTTCTATCAATATTTAGCTCAAAGACTGATTTATAATATACAATTTTTATCAGTAGTATTATGTATTCCTATACAAATCGTTTGTTTATACAGTGAATGAACACTATGGCTTTCAATATTTTAAGTTCTTCTGAAATGATTTGTTCTGATTTGTTCTTTCAGTTAAACCTTGTAGTTCTGCTCCTTGTTTAAATGGAGGAGCTTGTACAAATATTGGAAGGAGATTTAAATGTGAATGCACAAAAGGTTTTCGCGGAAGACGTTGCCAAAAGGAAGGTTCGTAATTCCCTTTGCTTTACTTTTACTGATGAAATAGAATAGTTTCGTTGCAAGTAACAAAGGTCATCTACAGTATTTAAGTTTTTACAATACAGTGGAAGCAGTTTGTAGTGCCACTGGTGACTCACACTACAGAACATTTGATGGCGAAAGATTTAACTTTGTGGGCACATGTGAGTATGTGCAGGCTGAAGAGAAAATGCTCTCGTTTACAGTTCTCACTCAAAACAAACGCTTCCATGGCATGCTAGTTGCATTTTTTCTGTCACTGTTTTTGTGAAAGGATTGTTCATTGTAATGCAAAATGGAGGATCTATTACAGTGCAGGGAAATACTGTTCAGTTACAATATCAAAAGCGAGGTATAGTTAAACTTAAGCACCTTCTCTTCTTTCTCTTTATACTCATTATGTCCTCTGGTTTTTCATTATTTCCATAGTGAAAACGATTGGTCGATCAATTGAAATCAACATCAAAATTGGTTTAAAAGTCATGTATAATGGTCAGCAGAATGTCTTTGTAACAGTAAAAACTCGATACATGAATAATATTCTAGGGTTATGTGGAAATTACAATGAAAACAAAAATGATGATTTTATAATGCCCGACAACATACAATGTAATAATGTTTTGGAATTTGGAAATTCGTGGAAAGTTAGGCACACATGTCCAAACGATAATCCTTGGGAAAATCCTTGTGTAAATGTGACCAGCATTGTCCGAGAAACAAGGAAGAAGTGCCATTTATTAAAAGAAAAGCCGTTCTCTACTTGCCATACTTCCACTGTTAATCATAAGGAATAGATTGAAGATTGCGAGTTTGATGTCTGTGCATGTAACGATGGCTCAATATCTTGCCTTTGCTAAGCATTTGAAGCTTATGCTACTTCATGCTCTTTTGCTGGAGTTCCCATCACCTGGAAGGACCTTCCCCAGTAAAGGTCGTGTATAGTAAAAAATAAGAGAAATTTCGACCTATTGAACAAATAGTTAAAGTAAATGGTTTGAACCCGGGAGTATCGTTATATGTTTTTAAATGATGATCGTCCAGGTTAATAATAAAGTCCTGAGAAGGACTGTTTTGACTCTGTCATTTGACTCTGAAGATGACTACCGCTAAGGTTGTCGAAACGTCAGTCAACAACAACAAAAACAGTCCTTCTCAGGACTTTATTATTAACCTGGACGATCATTTACAAACATAGAACAAATAGTTGATAGAATATATGGATGTGTGCAAAGAAAAAAAAAATTTATTAATTATAATGGGCTTTTAAATTATTTGTATTTAAAGATTACGTTGAGATTGATCTAACTTTAAAAAAGGATAAGATAGTTGCAGTACTGTGTAAAGGTTTTTAGAAATATATCATATAATTCTGTGCTCGTCATGATGTTTTCATCTTTATGTGTTGAGTACAAGTTTTTTTCCCCTTTTGTCAGCGAATAGATTATAGAGAATGTCTTATATGCAGACTGCTCATTTAAATATTCTCAAAATATATCGCAAATATATAATTTCGCTAATCACAATATGTTCAAGAATATTTTGCTTGTAGTGTTCAACTTTGTTTGTGGATGACATATAGCTAAAATACGTAAATTTTCACAATAAAAGAAACCCCAGTTGTCAATTGTTTTGGAACGTATATAAAACGGGAGAAAGTGCTGTCGTTACATTAATTAATAATTTTTCAAGCTCATCCCTTGAAAAACAATATTTGTCAGGCGAGCGCTACCACAGATTATTTTCTTTCTACGGTGACCCAGAAAGCTTGCCCAAAATAAATTGTTTCGGAGCGCAAAACAAATTATTCAAATTTAGAGATTTATACAATGAAAGAAATATTTCAAAACACAAGCACAAGAAAGCACATAATCAACGCATTACATATGCCTGCTCTAGCAATTCAAAATGGACGACATTAAGGAATTATTCGAACGTTATTTTCATCGCGGTAATGAAAATAAGGTTATTGATAGAGCAGGCGTATGTAATGCGTTGTGAATTTGCTGCAAATTCTGATTTCTCAATACCGCATATACAGCAAAACATTTTGAAATATCTTCCCGAAGCACGTTGTCTGCTATTGCTTTTGTCTAATTTCCGGTTGTATTAATTTCCGTTGCGAGTTTTTGTGCTTGCGTTGCGACTTTATTGCTTGCGTGGCGAGAAACATTGTTTGTGCTGTAAACAATTAGTTGCGTTGTGTATTTCTTTTGCTTGAGTTGTGAAATATTTCTTTCATTATTTAAGTCTTTTTTAAGGTTTAAATAATTTGTTTTGCGTTCCGAAATATTTTAGTTTGGTTGAGCCTTCTAGGCCACCGCATCTTTCTCATAGGACTATGAGTATCTTCAGCAATGTTTGATAGTAAGCCTTTTATATACGGTTGATGGAATATTCATCATTCAACATGTTTCTCATACCAGCATATTGTATTGAAACTTTGGTTCATTACCACCAACATACCTTTGCTTGCTACATGTATACTGTGAGCTAACACAAACGTATATAAGTATATAAACGTATATTTTCAACTGGTTCTTTTTGTGGGAATTCATAGCCTTTTGACGAAATAAACATGATGCATATGCTTATCAATTAAGAGCTTTTCAAACACTTTGACAAAATTTATCGTAAATTTACACGATGTTGTTCAAATTAATACTGTGATTTAATAGGTAACTAAACTAATATGAGACGTTTCAAATATATGAATGTGCTTAACTTACAATATATGATTCTTAGCATCAAAACCGCAAAAGAGGTAGACAATCATATCCATATATAGTTACGTCAAATATAAAATATGCGTCAAAGTAACTAAGGAGACAAAATCAAGAAAACAGGAGTTGTTTTGCGACACTGAAATACAGTTACATGAAGCTAAGTATGAAACGTGCTCAATACTTTGCAGTGCTTATGGTTTTCTTTTCTAACTTGTATCCGAGTAGTTAGCTAGAGTACTCACTTTTCAAGCACTTGACTACAGACAATTTGTTTTTTTTTTCTATGAAAGGTATTATGGTTTTACTTTTTTTGCTTTTCTAAGCTTCATCTTATGACGTCATTTGTACTGTTCTTACTAACAACATTATTAATCTAAAAATATTCGTCAAATGTAGTTAAGTGAAGCAACTAAATTTACAATTTTTACGAAAATTTCCAGTGCCTATAAAACGTATAAAACGTATAAAACACAACGTATAAAACGTAATGGCAGAATATCGGAAAGGGTGTTGCAAAACAAGGTTCTTGTATTAAACAAGGAACATGCGATTTCTCCTTTATTACTATTACTTATCCAAATAAAAATTAAACATAGACTGACTTCATCTAAGTAATTTACATTTAATAATGAAAGCACGACAAAAATGGTGTCAATAGTCATTTCACAAACAGGGTGCATGTGATTTCCCCTTTCTTGCAATTACTTAAATACAACTTCATCAATTTGCAGATTTTATACACTTCTACTTATTAGTATGTATTCCACACGCCATTTTACGTCAATTTCTATTTAATTTGATTGATATAAAAATCATGATCCTGAACATTTCATCTCAGGTTATTCCATCATTCACAAATCGAATATGCTCTTAATTTGGTCAAGTTAACGATATCAATAAGAAATAAAATGCAAAATATTTGGTCCAAATCCAAATTTACAGAATATAATATTGGCGTTATATAAAATTGCCTAAAAAAGAAGCTTCCATATCAATATCGCCAATATCGTCAAAATACATATAACATAACAAACAACCTATCTATTTCTTGTGTGAACGTTTGAAGCGACTTTGATTGAAATGCTGGTAAGAGCTTCATTTTTAACATCATTATACTTATTATTAAATCATTTTTTCTTTTGTTCGTAGTTATTTTTCATTATTATGTATATAAGTTACGTTGCAAGTGCTATCTTGTAATTATTAACCTGATGAGTTTAATAGCTATGTATAATCCAATTAAATGTCATACGAAGAGAAATTTGTGTTAAACAAAATCATAGATCGTGTTTCAATCTCTATTTTACTTATTTCATCCGCTGTAGCACTGCTTTAGCACACTGTTTTGAACACTCAATTTATTTAGACTAGCTATGAATTTTCATAAACTCTGCAAATTATAATAATTAAAGTTTATTCTGAAACAAATAATTTATCTTATTAAAACATAATTCGAAGTTTTGTCCTGCTGTAATGTATATATTTTTTAAATACAGCTATTCTAATGTGTCTACATTTGTTTCTGTTTCAACATAGAACGTCATGTTTTTGTCAGCAATACTTGTTATTAATGGAATCCTTGTGGTTTCAAGTGATCCAATAGTACCTGAACAAATTGAATGCGATGAAGGAGAACCTTTAATTGGTAGTAAGAAATTATTCATGACATTATCTTTTACGATCATTAAAAAATTTATGCAAGACTCAAATGGATTGGTTTCTAACTAACTAACTTCTAAATTACTGATTAGTTTCACGCAGACTACACATTTATATTATGGTTTGAGCATATGGGATAGCATGCTTAGACAAAGTGGTGTCAGCTAACTTTACATATCATTGCAGTTGTATTTATTTACAGACAGTACATCTCCTGATATCAACATAACAGTTCTACCAGAAGTGTTCATCAACAAATCAAGCCCAGTTATTGTAGTCTGTGACGCGGATATTCCGCGCTTCCTGCCTCCTCAAAACAACTATTCGCTATTGCAAACGGTAAAAATTGATATTCATCTGGGAACTTTTCTACTCAAATCTTGTGATAAAAGTCTTGTTTCCCAATGTATTCATAAAATCAAAAATTTCTCTGCTGGCTTACCGACCACATTCAGCTGTACAGCTACAAATGCAAGGAATGAATGTCGTTTCAAGTTTAAAGACATTTCAATTTTAGGTAAGTTAAACTGCTTACTCATCAGAAAGTGCTAAAATTGTTGTATGACACAGAAACTGAGCATGCTAATCTTTCAAAATAGATTACTAAAAAATCAGACATTTTCAAGTCTATGAAATATTGAAATAAAACTTGCCCCGCATACGTCAAATCCGTATGAGCTGACGTAAAAAATTTTTTGCTTTATTGAAGCTTACATGAACGGCTTCCAACTATGCTCTTATTTCATGTTTTGAAATGAGCTTGAAGATATATTATACATGCAAAATAAACGAAAAATACAATATCTAGCTGTAAATAACTCATTTTGCTATATCTTTTCAAATTAGACTTTTGCAAAATAAAATCACACAGTAAATAAATATTGAAAAAGCTGTATAATTTATGTGACAGCTCAAACATGTGTAGCGTATTCGGGGTATGGGTCTAAATATGCGACGAAAGCTAATTTTATGCAGTAGAGACAATATATCATCAACAGCATACGGAACATGTTTCCAATACGCAATAATATTTCGCAAATGCGGAATATCTAAAATGACGATACAGAGGCCTGTAGAGACTTGAAATTAGATAGATGCCCACACATGAAAATGGTTGAATTCTGGCTTAGGCTTTCCCTAATTTATGTATAAAGAAAGATTTGTTCAAGTATTTTCTATTTTTACGATGCGACTATCTATTTCCATAGCACCACTAACAACTAAGCGAACCATTGAATGTATTGCCCCTACTATCATCAGTGAAATAAAATCGAGTATCAATCAAGGTAATTATTAAACGTCAATATACCAAGCTGCGAACAAAAATACAATTGCACTTTCAAAACTTTAATGAATTTATTTGCATTGACTAACTATTGTAGGAAAAATTTTCCCACAAACTTCTGTCATAAATGTAACTATTCTACCACGACTTTCTTTGAACAGTTTTCTCACAAGCAACTTTTTGCATGGATGACTGTTTTACAAACATTTATACCACGAGCGATTCGTCTCACAAAGAACTGAATTATTGACATCTGGTTAATCATTAACAATGCCACGATCAACTCACTTATCACTTCAACTGCTGTACCACGTACACCAATTAGATATCAGTTGTTTAATTTATGCAAAAATTTAAAATATTATTAATGTTACAATGATGATGTTTTTTCTCAGGTGTCAATGAAACTACTTTAATCCCGCTCCTTATAAACGAAACCAAGTTTTATTCGACATCACTGCCAGTGAAATTAACTAGCAAAGGACAAACAGCTTTTCCACAAACAACGGTTGAAATAACAGCTGCTCCAATAACTACTAACACTTCAACAGATATTTTACGAGCAATTGTCCCATCGAAGATTTTGTCATCATCGCTCATTGAACTTTCCCCTATTACAACAACTGTGTCATCAACAACTGATGAAACAACAACTATCTCGTCAGTAAACGTTTCTTCAACTGCTGCCTCACTTACACCTTCAAGTAACTATAAGTTATTTTTCTTTTCGATCTAGATCTAAGTAAGAATTAACGGTCAGTGTGCCAAGCTTTAAATGGCTATATTTACGATTACTCTTTCACAACGTTATTATATGCATAGACTACCTATTGCACAAACAGTTTTCCAACAAACTGCTGTCTTAATTACAGCTATTCCACCAGCGAATTCTTTACAACAGTTTATTCTCGAGCAAATTTCTAATGGATGACTGCGCTACAAACATCTATGTCTCACAAATATTTGTCGCACAAAAGTCATCATTGAAATCTGTTTCATTAATAACAATGCTTTAATCAACTTTTATCTCTGTCTATATTTTTTAGAAACACTATCTTCAAATGGTGTGCCACATACACCAAGTAAATATCAGTTGTTTTATTTTTACAAAACATAAAAACATTATTAATACTGCAATGTTGTTTTTCTTTCTCCAGGTATCAATGAAACGACCATCAGCCCACTCCTTACAAACGAAACTAAGTTTTCTTCTACATCACTGCCAGTACTAACATTCACTACCTTTCAAAAATCTATTTTACAAACGTCGAGGATTTTGCCAACATCGCTTTTCGACCTTTCCTCTATCACAACAGCTGACTCATCAACAATTGTCGCAATAAATATCTCGTCAGTTAATGTTTCTTCAAAAGCAGTCTCAGTCACACCTTCAAGTAAGTATCAGTTATTTTTCATTTATCTATGTGAGAATAAGAAATAGATAGCAGAGGGTTTTTATTACTTAAGAAATAGAAAAAATTTTCCTCGTCGATATAGAGTTATTAAACTACGCGGGAAAGTAATTTTTTTTATCATCGATTTTCATAAAACGATAAATCTATTTCTGCCAATAAAATATGTGATCGTGAATTTTGTCCTATGATTTATCTTCTTAGTAGTAGTTATATTCAAAGCCAAACTAGTCCTTGTAACGGTACAATTAATTCGTATTTACTAAATCACAAACTTTAGTTTTTCTCGAATAATTTTTTTAAACCATGTTTATTCACTGATGTCAACAATTTTGATAAATGTCGTAAAAATTTCTATTCAGCCAGGGGCGGATCTAGGATTTTTCAAACATCAGTCATAAAACGTCAAAGGCGCTCCGCACCTTGAGGGGTCTGAGGAATTCTCCCCTGAGAAATTTTGAATTTCAGAGCCTAGAAAATGCCATTTTCAGCGTTTTAGAGCAATACAAAATGTATTTTTTGGGCATCGTTTTTTCTTAAAAACAACACATTTTGCTTACGTTTTTCTCAAAAGAAAAATGAAGTTAACAATACTTGAAGGTTTTGCTAAATATTTAGGCTTATTATCATGCCAAATATAGGGCTCATTACCATGTCTAGGAACGTAAAATTTATTTTACAATAATACTATTCAAAAACAGATATAGTCTTTAAAAATTTCTACTAAGTTGTCAGGCATAGACCCCCTAGAGACCCCCATTTAAACCTCTATGTAATGAGTTTAGTTAAGTTAGAAATTTGGTACTACAAGGGACAGTTCATAGATATAGAAAAGCTCAGACTTCAAACCATGCAAGTTTATTGTAACCCTTTACCCATCTCCACATCAGTGCCAGCAAATTCACCTTTTGAGAAAAAACTCAAAATTTTTTTCTGCCAAAGGTTAAGCAAAAATTATCAGAGTGAAAATTTGCAGTTAAGGATAGCTTAATGCCATAAATGTTTATTAGGCATCTCACTTGACTATTATTTTCTGCAAGGTGTGCTATATAGCAATCACTACTACCATTGTATTATCAAATACAAACAGAATGTAACCAACATGTCTTTAATTATATAATTACATGAATGTTAAAATTGGTTCATGTGTCATGCTTACTGCTTATGATAAATATATTTTCATATGATCAAAGCTCGTTTAAATGTAAATGTGAAATAATTTAGTTTAGAAATTATAATAATCATCAGAAAAATTACCTAGTGATCATGAAAAATACTTTGCTGTTTTGCCAAATTTCAAAGTTTATCTGCATACATAGGAAGACATTTTTACTTTATAGGAAATGCTTTTTATACATCAATAGCCCTTTGGAATTTATGGCAAACAATCTTTTATGAGCCGTAGATTAACACACCTTTACATGTCTACATGAGGTGTTCAGTTAGAAAAGGGGACAATATGTGACATGGGACAACATTTCATGTATGTGAAATACTCAGGTTTAACACCATTCCAGTCAAATTGTCAAAATAAAAAGCTTCATGGATCAGAAGACTCAAAATCACAGGTTATAGTAAACAACTTCTCATGTAATCAATGTTAGTTTTCTCAGATCTTAAACAATATGTAGTATAACTGTATAATGATTGAATGATCAATGATCATAAACTGAAAAGCCCCAAACATTCGTTTATGATAAAGTAAATAATAGTATGGCGCCTTATGGCTACAGATTTTTTGTCCATTGAAATATATTTGCAGGAATGTAGGATTTCGCTGCCATATAACGGCTACGATTCCCCAAGCACTAAAGAAATCATAGTTAAAAGTCCTTCATCAACAACGATTTTAGAAGCATCAATCTGCTTACCATACGCCATATTAACATAAATCGCATCACACACTCGCATAAATTGACTTTGATATATTAGATTCATGCTTACACGTCAGTTGTCCTTTACTTACGATTTTGGATGTAAATTTCTGCTGATAAAACTCAAAACAATGTTGGCTTGCTTTTTAACATCAAGGACTGAAATGTCGCTCGCGAGATCGTCTTTGCCAAGCATTTACAATTCATCCATAAATTTTTCGCCCTCTTGAAAAAATTCACAGTTTGGACAGCAGCATTCATGTCAATATATGAATTTGTAAAAGATTTCCATAAATTCCATCTGAAGCTCGAATTCCTATCATGCTTATAAAAATTACAATGAAACGATCAAACATTCAATTCAGACAGTGAGCTTGACTATGTTAGTTCAGTTGGCTATCAGTCGAAATCCGTCAAACCAATCACAATAAAACAAAAATTCAAATGAACCAATTGTAAGATAGCAATTGGACTCCCTTATACGTCCGGCCACCCTTATTATCAGTCGAGGCCATTCCAGAATGTCCACTGATCTGGCCATTGACCAATAAAATAAGCGTTTTTGGCGCTCATAGACTCCTTTATCCGTCGAACCAGTCAAGCCACCCCGCTTATCAGTCAGTTATTCCAGGTCAATTAAAATCAACTGATCTGGTTACCAAGGAGATATTCATTGGATTAGTCATTAGTTTTCAATAATAAATAAAGCTGGATTTTATCACGAAGTAAAAGCGATAATAAACTAAGAATAATTAATGATTTTTAACTAATATGAATAGGTAATTTTTGAATTTCAAACATCAGTCGCACGACGGATTTGACATACTCTAGATCCGCCCCTGGAGATCATTCCAGACTGTCCACTGATCTGGCTATTGACCAATAAAATAAGCGTTTTTGACGTTCATAGACTCCTTTATCCGTCGAACCAGTCAAGCCAGCCAGCTTATCAAAGGGTTATTCCAGGTCAATTAAAATTCAACTGATCTGGTTAACAGCAAGATATTCATTGGATTAGTAATTAGTTTTCCATAATAAATAATGCGGGATTTTTATGTAGAAGTAAATGGGATAAGAAAATAAGAATAATTAATGATTTTTTAATTAATATGAATAGGTAATTTTTGGAATTTCAAACATCAGTCGCGCGACGGATTTGACATACTCTAGATCCGCCCCTGTATTCAGCCCTCTTGTTTTTTCTTTCTTTCAGAACAGTACAGTACAACAAGTACAACACCAGGTAAGATGCACACGATTAAAGAACTTGTGTAGTATATGCGTTAAGAAAAAAAGTTTGTTTTTAATGGATTTCTGTCACGATAATTAGCTAATTGCCTTTCTTACAGTTAATCTATAATATGGAAGTGCTTTCACCAAACTCATAAATTTTTATAGTTACTTTCAAATTACGTTTAAGTGGTGTAATAGTTGTTTGAACGCTAATCCATTTAGTGAACATATTATTTCCTCCATCGAATGAGCTTAGAAACGAACAACTAAACGTTAAAACGTATTATAAAATATTTAATATGAAATTATCTGTATATATTATACATTTTATTTTATTTAGCTATATTAAAAACAATAATACCAAAGATAAAAACAACAAGTAAACCTACACAAACAGGTAATACGGAATATAGGAATATAAGAAATCTATTGCCCCTACTATCATCTGTGAAATAAAATCGAGTTTCAATCTAGGTAATTATTAATCGTCAGTATACCAAGCTGCGAACAAAAATACAATTGTTCTTTCAAAACTTTAATGAATTTATTTGCATTGACTAACTATTCTAGGAAAAATTTTCCAACAAACTTCTGTAATAATTGTAACTATTCTAAAACGACTTTCTTTGAACAGTTTTTTCACAAGCAACTTTTTGCATGGATGACTGTTTTACAAACATTTATACCACGAGCATTCGTCTCACAAAGAACTGAATCATTGACATCTGTTTAATCATTAACAATGCCATCATCAACTCACTTATCACTGTCTATCTTATTAAAAAACACCAGCTTCAACTGCTGTACCACGTACAGCAATAGGATATCAGTTGTTTAATTTATGCCAAACTTTAAAATATTATTAATGTTACAATGATGTTGTTCTTTCTCAGGTATCAATGAAACTATTTTAATACCGCTCCTTATAAACGAAACAAAGTTTTCTTCAACATCACCGCCAGTGAAATTAACTAGCAAAGGACAAACAGCTTTTCCGCAAACAACTGTTGAAATAACAGCTGCTCCAATAACTACTAACACTTCAACAGATATTTTACGAGCAATTGTCCCATCGAAGATTTTGTCATCATCGCTCATCAAACTTCCCCCTATTACAACAAATGTATCATCAACAACTGATGAAACAACAGCTATCTTGTCACTAAACGTTTCTTCAACTGCTGCCTCACTTAAACCATCAAGTAACTATAAATTATTTTTCTTTTTGATCTAGATGTAGGTAACAATTAACCGTCAGTGTGCCAAGCTGTAAATAGCTTAAAATACGATTACTCTTTCACAACGTTATTATATGCATACACTACATATTGCACAAACAGTTTTCCAAACAACTGCTGTCTTAATTACAGCTATTCCACCAGCAACCTCTTTCGAACAGTTTATTCACAAGTAAATTTCTAATGGATGAATGCGCTACAAACATCTATGTCTCACAAATATTTGTCGCACAAACTGAATCGTTGAAATCTGTTTCATTAATAACAATACCTTGAACATTTTTTATCTCTGTCTATATTTTTTAGAAACACTATCATCAAATGGTGTCCCACATACACCAAATAAATATCAGTTGTTTTATTTTTACAAAATATAAAAACATTATTAATGCTGCAATGTTGTTTTTCTTTCTCCAGGTATCAATGAAACGACCGTCAGCCCACTCCTTATAAACGAAACTAAGTTTTCTTCTACATCAGTGCCAGTACTAAGATTCACTACCTTTCCAAAATCTATTTTACAAACGTCGAGGATATCGCCAACATTGCTTTCCGACCTTTCCACTATTACAACAGCTGTCTCATCAACAATTTTCACAAAAAATATCTCGTCAGTTAATGTTTCTTCAAAAGCTGTCTCAGTCACACCTTCAAGTAAGTATCAGTTATTTTTCATTTATCTGTGTAAGAAGAGGAAATACGATAGCAGAGGGTTTTTACTCCTTAAGAAATAGAAAAAGTTTTCCTCGTCGATATAGAGTTATTAAACTAGGCGGGAAAGTAATTTTTTCTAGCATCGATTTTCATAATAAGATAAATATATTTTTGCCATTTAAATATGTGATCGTGAATTTTGTCCAATGATTTATCTCCTTAAAAGTAGTTATACTGAAAGCCAAACTAGTCCTCGTAACGATACAACTAATTCGTATTTACTAAATCACAAACTTTAGTTTTTCTCGAATAATTTTTTTTAAACTATTTTTATTCACTGATGTCAACAATTTTGATTAATGTCGTAAAAATTTCTATTCAGCCCTCTTGTTTTTTCTTTCTTCAGAACAGTACAGTACAACAAGTACAACACCAGGTAAGATGCAAACGATAAAAGTACTTGTGTAATATATGCATGAAGAAAAAAATTTGTTTTTAATGCATTTCTGTCACGATAATTAGCTAATTGCCTTTCTTACAGTTAATCTATAATATAGAAGTGCTTTCACCAAACTCATAAATTTTTATAGTTACTTTCAAATTACGTTTAAGTGGTGTAATAGTTGTTTGAACGCTAATCCATTTAGTGAACATGTTATTTCCTCAATCGAATGAGCTTAGAAACGAACAACTAAACGTTAAAACGTATTATAAAATATTTAATATGAAATTATCTGTATATATTATACATTTTATTTTATTTAGCTATATTAAAAACAATAATACCAAAGATAAAAGCAACAAGTAAACCTACACAAACAGGTAATACGGAATATAAGAATATAAGAAATCTATTGCCCCTACTATCATCTGTGAAATAAAATCGAGAAATCGAGTTTCGATCCAGGTAATTATTAATCGTCAGTATACCAAGCTGCGAACAAAAATACAATTGCTCTTTCAAAACTTTAATGAATTTGTTTGCATTGACTAACTATTGTAGGAAAAATTTTCCCACAAACTTCTGTAATAATTGTAACTATTTTATCACAACTTTCTTCGAACAGTTTTTGCACAAGCAACTTTTTGCATGGATGACTGTTTTACTAACATTTATACCACGAGCATTCGTCTCACAAAGAACTGAAAAATTGAAATCTGTTTAATCATTAACAATGATATCATCAACTCACTTATCACTGTCTATCTTTTTAAAAAACACCAGCTTCAATTGCTATACCACCTACACCAATTAGATATCAGTTGTTTACATTATGCAAAAATATAAAATATTATTAATGATACAATGATGTTGTTCTTTCTCAGGTATCAATGAAACTATTTTAATCCCGCTCCTTATAAACGAAACCAAGTTTTCTTCAACATCACCGCCAGTGAAATTAACTAGAAAAGGACAAACAGCTTTTCCACAAACAACTGTTGAAATAACAGCTCCTCCAATAACTACTAAGTCTTCAACAGATATTTTACGAGCAATTGTCCCATCGAAGATTTTGTCATCATTGCTCATTGAACTTCCCTCTATTACAACATCTGTGTCATCAACAACTGATGAAACAACAATTATCTCGTCAGTAAACGTTTCTTCAACTGTTGCCTCACTTACACCTTCAAGTAACTATAAATTATTTTTCTTTTCGATCTAGATGTAGGAAAAAACTAACCGTCAGTGTGTCAAGCTTTAAATAGCTAAAAATACGATTATTCATTCACAACGTTATTATATGCATACACTACATATTGCACAAACAGTTTTCCAAACAACTGCTGTCTTAATTACAGCTATTCCACCAGCGACTTCTTTCGAACAATTTATTCACAAGCAAATTTCTAATGGATGATTGCGCTACAAACATTTATGTCTCACAAATAATTGTCGCACAAACTGAATCATTGAAATCTGTTTCATTAATAACAATGCCTTCATCATTTTTTATCTCTGTCTTTATTTTTTAAAAACACTTTCTTCAAATGGTATCACACATACACGAAGTAAAAATCAGTTGTTTTATTTTACAAAATATAAAAACAAAATTAATGCTGCAATGTTGTTTTTCTTTCTCCAGGTATCAATGAAACGACCGTCAGCCCACTCCTTATAAACGAAACTAAGTTTTCTTCTACATCAGTGCCAGTACTAAGATTCACCACCTTTCCAAAATCAATTTTACAAACGTCGAGGATATTGCCAACATCGCTTTCCGACCTTTCCTCTATTACAACAGCTGTCTCATCAACAATTTTCGCAAAAAATATCTCATCAGTTAATGTTTCTTCAAAAGCTGTCTCAGTCACACCTTCAAGTAAGTATCAGTTATTTTTCATTTATCTATGTAAGAAGAAGAAATACGATAGCAGAGGGTTTTTACTCCTTAAGAAATAGAAAAAGTTTTCCTCGTCGATATAGAGTTATTAAACTAGGCGGGAAAATAATTTTTTCTAGCATCGATTTTCATAATAAGATAAATATATTTCTGCCATTTAAATATGTGATCGTGAATTTTGTCCAATGATTTATCTCCTTAAAATTAGTTATACTCAAAGCCAAACTAGTCCTCGTAACGATACAACTAATTCGTATTTACTAAATCACAAACTTTAGTTTTTCTCGAATAGTTTTTTTTAAACTATTTTTATTCACTGATGTCAACAATTTTGATTAATGTCGTAAAAATTTCTATTTAGCCCTCATGTTTTTTCTTTCTTCAGAACAGTACAGTACAACAAGTACAACACCAGGTAAGATGCACACGATAAAAGTACTTGTGTAATATATGCATGAAGAAAAAAATTTGTTTTTAATGGATTTCTGTCACGATAATTAGCTAATTGCCTTTCTTACAGTTAATCTATAATATAGAAGTGCTTTCACCAAACTCATAAATTTTTGTAGTTACTTTCAAATTACGTTGAAGTGGTGTAATAGTTGTTTGAACGCTAATCCATTTAGTGAACATGTTATTTCCTCCATCGAATGAGCTTAGAAACGAACAACTAAACGTTAAAACGTATTATAAAATATTTAATATGAAATTATCTGTATATATTATACATTTTATTTTATTTAGCTATATTAAAAACAATAATACCAAAGATAAAAACAACAAGTAAACCTACACAAACAGGTAATACGGAATATAAGAATATAAGAAATCTATTGCCCCTACTATCATCTGTGAAATAAAATCGAGTTTCAATCTAGGTAATTATTAATCGTCAGTATACCAAGCTGCGAACAAAAATACAATTGCTCTTTCAAAACTTTAATGAATTTATTTGCATTGACTAACTATTGTAGGAAAAATTTTCCAACAAACTTCTGTAATAATTGTAACTATTCTAAAACGACTTTCTTTGAACAGTTTTTTCACAAGCAACTTTTTGCATGGATGACTGCTTTACAAACATTTATACCACGAGCATTCGTCTCACAAAGAACTGAATCATTGACATCTGTTTAATCATTAACAATGCCATCATCAACTCACTTATCACTGTCTATCTTATTAAAAAACACCAGCTTCAACTGCTGTACCACGTACAGCAATAGGATATCAGTTGTTTAATTTATGCGAAACTTTAAAATATTATTAATGTTACAATGATGTTGTTCTTTCTCAGGTATCAATGAAACTATTTTAATACCGCTCCTTATAAACGAAACCAAGTTTTCTTCAACATCACCGCCAGTGAAATTAACTAGCAAAGGACAAACAGCTTTTCCGCAAACAACTGTTGAAATAACAGCTCCTCCAATAACTACTAACACTTCAACAGATATTTTACGAGCAATTGTCCCATCGAAGATTTTGTCATCATCGCTCATCGAACTTCCCCCTATTACAACAAATGTATCATCAACAACTGATGAAACAACAACTATCTTGTCAGTAAACGTTTCTTCAACTGCTGCCTCACTTAAACCTTCAAGTAACTATAAATTATTTTTCTTTTCGATCTAGATGTAGGAAAAAACTAACCGTCAGTGTGTCAAGCATTAAATAGCTAAAAATACGAATATTCATTCACAACGTTATTATATGCATAGACTACATATTGCAAAAACTGTTTTCCAACAAACTGCTTTCATAATTACAGCTATTCACCAGTGACCTCTTTCGAAAAGTTTATTCACAAGCAAATTTCTAATGGATGACTGCGCGATAAACATCTATGTCTCTCAAATATTTGTCAAACAAACTGAATCATTGAAATCTGTGTCATTAATAACAATGCCTTCAACATTTTTTATCTCTGTCTATATTTTTTAGAAACACTATCATCAAATGGTGTCCCACATACACCAAATAAATATCAGTTGTTTTATTTTTACAAGATATAAAAACATTATTAATGCTGCAATGTTGTTTTTCTTTCTCCAGGTATCAATGAAACGACCGTCAGCCCACTCCTTATAAACGAAACTAAGTTTTCTTCTACATCAGTGCCGGTACTAAGATTCACTACATTTCCAAAATCTATTTTACAAACGTCGAGGATTTTGCCAACATCGCTTTCCGACCTTTCCACTATTACAACAGCTGTCTCATCAACAATTTTCGCAAAAAATATCTCGTCAGTTAATGTTTCTTCAAAAGCTGTCTCAGTCACACCTTCAAGTAAGTATCAGTTATTTTTCATTTATCTATGTAGGAAGAAATAATACGATAGCAGAGGGTTTTTACTTCTTAAGAAATAGAAAAAATTTTCCTCGTCGATATAGAGTTATTAAACTACGCGGGAAAGTAATTTTTTCTAGCATCGATTTTCATAATAAGATAAATATACTTCTGCCATTAAAATATGTGATCGTGAATTTTGTCCCATGATTTATCTCCTTAAAAGTAGTTATACTCAAAGCCCAACTAGTCCATGTAACGATACAACTAATTCGTATTTACTAAATCACAAACTTTAGTTTTTCTCGAATAATTTTATTTAAACTATGTTTATTCACTGATGTCAACAATTTTGATAAATGTCGTAAAAATTTCTATTCAGCCCTCTTGATTTTTCTTTCTTCAGAACAGTACAGTACAACAAGTACAACACCAGGTAAGATACACACGATAAAAGTACTTGTGTAATATATGCATGAAGAAAAAAATTTGTTTTTAATGCATTTCTGTCACGATAATTAGCTAATTGCCTTTCTTACAGTTAATCTATAATATGGAAGTGCTTTCACCAAACTCATAAATTTTTATAGTTACTTTCAAATTACGTTTAAGTGGTGTAATAGTTGTTTGAACGCTAATCCATTTAGTGAACATGTTATTTCCTCCTTCGAATGAGCTTAGAAACGAACAACTAAACGTTAAAATGTATTATAAAATATTTAATATGAAATTATCTGTATATATTATACATTTTATTTTATTTAGCCATATTAACAACAATAATACCAGTGATAAAAACAACAAGTAAACCTAAACAAACAGGTAATACGGAATATAAGAATATAAGAAATCTATTGCCCTTACTATCATCAGTGAAATAAAATCGAGTATCAATCCATGTAATTATTAATCGTCAGTATACCAAGCTGCGAACAAAAATACAATTGCACTTTCAAAACTTTAATGAATTTATTTGCATTGACTAACTACTATAGGAAAAATTTCCAACAAACTTCTGTAATAATTGTAACTATTCTAAGACGACTTTCTTTGAACAGTTTTTTCACAAGCAACTTTTTGCATGGATGACTGTTTTACAAACATTTATACCACGAGCATTCGTCTCACAAAGAGCTGAATCATTGACATCTGTTTAATCATTAACAATGCCATCATCAACTCCCTTTTCACTGTCTATCTTTTTAAAAAACACCAGCTTCAACTGCTGTACCACGTACACCAATAAGATATCAGTTGTTTAATTTATGCCAAACTTTAAAATATTATTAATGTTACAATGATGTTGTTCTTTCTCAGGTATCAATGAAACTATTTTAATACCGCTCCTTATAAACGAAACCAAGTTTTCTTCAACATCACCGCCAGTGAAATTAACTAGCAAAGGACAAACAGCTTTTCCGCAAACAACTGTTGAAATAACAGCTCCTCCAATAACTACTAACACTTCAACAGATATTTTACGAGCAATTGTCCCATCGAAGATTTTGTCATCATCGCTCATGGAACTTTCCCCTATTACAACAACTGTATCATCAACAACTGATGAAACAACAACTATCTTGTCAGTAAACGTTTCTTCAACTGCTGCCTCACTTAAACCATCAAGTAACTATAAATTATTTTTCTTTTCGATCTAGATGTAAGTAACAACTAACCGTCAGTGTGCCAAGCTGTAAATAGCTAAAAATACGATTACTCTTTCACAACGTTATTACATGCATACACTACATATTGCACAAACAGTTTTCCAAACAACTGCTGTCTTAATTACAGCTATTCACCAGCGACCTCTTTCGTAATGTTTATTCACAAGCAAATTTCTAATGGATGACTGCGCTACAAACATTTATGTCTCACAAATATTTGTCGCACAAACTGAATCATTGAAATCTGTTTCATTAATAACAATGCCTTCAACATTTTTTATCTCTGTCTATATTTTTTAGAAACACTATCATCAAATGGTGTCCCACAGACACCAAATAAATATCAGTTGTTTTATTTTTACAAAATATAAAAACATTATTAATGCTGCAATGTTGTTTTTCTTTCTCCAGGTATCAATGAAACGACCGTCAGCCCACTCCTTATAAACGAAACTAAGTTTTCCTCTACATCAGTGCCAGTACTAAGATTCACTACCTTTCCAAAATCAATTTTACAAACGTCGAGGATTTTGTCAACATCGCTTTCCGACCTTTCCTCTATTACAACAGCTGTCTCATCAACAATTCTCTCAAAAAATATCTCATCAGTTAATGTTTCTTCAAAAGCTGTCTCAGTAACACCTTCAAGTAAGTATCAGTTATTTTTCATTTATCTATGTAAGAATAAGAAATAGGATAGCAGAGGGTTTTACTCCTTAAGAAATAGAAAAGTTTTCCTCGTCGATATAGAGTTATTAAACTACGCGGGAAAGTAATTTTTCTAGCATCGATTTTCATAATAAGATAAATATATTTCTGCCATTAAAATATGTGATCGTGAATTTTGTCAATGATTTATCTCCTTAAAATTAGTTATACTCAAAGCCAAACTAGTCCTTGTAACGATACAACTAATTCGTATTTACTAAATCACAAACTTTAGTTTTTCTGAATAATTTTATTTAAACTATGTTTATTCACTGATGTCAACAATTTTGATAATGTCGTAAAATTTCTATTCAGCCCTCTTGATTTTTCTTTCTTCAGAACAGTACAGTACAACAAGTACAACACCAGGTAAGATGCACACGATAAAAGTACTTGTGTAATATATGCATGAAGAAAAAAATTTGTTTTTAATGCATTTCTGTCACGATAATTAGCTAATTGCCTTTCTTACAGTTAATCTATAATATGGAAGTGCTTTCACCAAACTCATAAATTTTTATAGTTACTTTCAAATTACGTTTAAGTGGTGTAATAGTTGTTTGAACGCTAATCCATTTAGTGAACATGTTATTTCCTCCTTCGAATGAGCTTAGAAACGAACAACTAAACGTTAAAATGTATTATAAAATATTTAATATGAAATTATCTGTATATATTATACATTTTATTTTATTTAGCCATATTAAAACAATAATACCAGTGATAAAACAACAAGTAAACCTAAACAAACAGGTAATACGGAATATAGGAATATAAGAAATCTATTGCCCCTACTATCATCAGTGAAATAAAATCGAGTATCAATCCAGGTAATTATTAATCGTCAGTATACCAAGCTGCGAACAAAAATACAATTGCACTTTCAAAACTTTAATGAATTTATTTGCATTGACTAACTATTGTAGGAAAAATTTTCCAACAAACTTCTGTAATAATTGTAACTATTCTAAAACGACTTTCTTTGAACAGTTTTTCACAAGCAACTTTTGCATGGATGACTGTTTTACAAACATTTATACCACGAGCATTCGTCTCACAAAGAACTGAATCATTGACATCTGTTTAATCATTAACAATGCCATCATCAACTCACTTATCACTGTCTATCTTTTAAAAACACCAGCTTCAACTGCTGTACCACGTACACCAATAAGATATCAGTTGTTTAATTTATGCCAAACTTTAAAATATTATTAATGTTACAATGATGTTGTTCTTTCTCAGGTATCAATGAAACTATTTTAATACCGCTCCTTATAAACGAAACCAAGTTTTCTTCAACATCACCGCCAGTGAAATTAACTAGCAAAGGACAAACAGCTTTTCCACAAACAACTGTTGAAATAACAGCTGTTCCAATAACTACTAACACTTCAACAGATATTTTACGAGCAATTGTCCCATCGAAGATTTTGTCATCATCGCTCATCGAACTTCCCCCTATTACAACAACTGTATCATCAACAACTGATGAAACAACAACTATCTTGTCAGTAAACGTTTCTTCAACTGTTGCCTCACTTACACCTTCAAGTAACTATAAATTATTTTTCTTTTCGATCTAGATGTAGGAAAAAACTAACCGTCAGTGTGTCAAGCATTAAATAGCTAAAAATACGAATATTCATTCACAACGTTATTATATGCATAGACTACATATTGCAAAAAACTGTTTTCCAACAAACTGCTTTCATAATTACAGCTATTCACCAGTGACCTCTTTCGAAAAGTTTATTCACAAGCAAATTTCTAATGGATGACTGCGCGATAAACATCTATGTCTCACAAATATATGTCGCACAAACTGAATCATTGAAATCTGTCTCACTAATAACAATGCCTTCAACATTTTTTTTCTCTGTTATATTTTTTAGAAACACTATCATCAAATGGTGTCCCACATACACCAAATAAATATCAGTTGTTTTATTTTTACAAAATATAAAAACATTATTCATGCTGCAATGTTGTTTTTCTTTCTCCAGGTATCAATGAAACGACCGTCAGCCCACTCCTTATAAACGAAACTAAGTTTTCTTCTACATCAGTGCCGGTACTAAGATTCACTACATTTCCAAAATCTATTTTACAAACGTCGAGGATTTTGCCAACATCGCTTTCCGACCTTTCCACTATTACAACAGCTGTCTCATCAACAATTTTCGCAAAAAATATCTCGTCAGTTAATGTTTCTTCAAAAGCTGTCTCAGTCACACCTTCAAGTAAGTATCAGTTATTTTTCATTTATCTATGTAGGAAGAAGAAATACGATAGCAGAGGGTTTTTACTCCTTAAGAAATAGAAAAAGTTTTCCTCGTCGATATAGAGTTATTAAACTACGCGGGAAAGTAATTTTTTCTAGCATCGATTTTCATAATAAGATAAATATATTTCTGCCATTAAAATATGTGATCGTGAATTTTGTCCCATGATTTATCTCCTTAAAAGTAGTTATACTCGAAACCAAACTAGTCCATGTAACGATACAACTAATTCGTATTTACTAAATCACAAACTTTAGTTTTTCTGAATAATTTTATTTAAACTATGTTTATTCACTGATGTCAACAATTTTGATAAATGTCGTAAAAATTTCTATTCAGCCCTCTTGATTTTTCTTTCTTCAGAACAGTACAGTACAACAAGTACAACACCAGGTAAGATACACACGATAAAAGTACTTGTGTAATATATGCATGAAGAAAAAAATTTGTTTTTAATGCATTTCTGTCACGATAATTAGCTAATTGCCTTTCTTACAGTTAATCTATAATATGGAAGTGCTTTCACCAAACTCATAAATTTTATAGTTACTTTCAAATTACGTTTAAGTGGTGTAATAGTTCTTTGAACGCTAATCCATTTAGTGAACATGTTATTTCCTCCTTCGAATGAGCTTAGAAACGAACAACTAAACGTTAAAATGTATTATAAAATATTTAATATGAAATTATCTGTATATATTATACATTTTATTTTATTTAGCCATAGCAACAACAATAATACCAGTGATAAAAACAACAAGTAAACCTAAACAAACAGGTAATACAGAATATAGGAATATAAGAAATCTATTGCCCCTACTATCATCAGTGAAATAAAATCGAGTATCAATCCAGGTAATTATTAATCGTCAGTATACCAAGCTGCGAACAAAAATACAATTGCACTTTCAAAACTTTAATGAATTTATTTGCATTGACTAACTATTGTAGGAAAAATTTCCATCAAACTTCTGTAATAATTGTAACTATTCTAAAACGACTTTCTTTGAACAGTTTTTTCACAAGTAACTTTTTGCATGGATGACTGTTTTACAAACATTTATACCACGAGAATTCGTCTCACAAAGAACTGAATCATTGACATCTGTTTAATCATTAACAATGCCATCATCAACTCCCTTTTCACTGTCTATCTTTTTAAAAAACACCAGCTTCAACTGCTGTACCACGTACACCAATAAGATATCAGTTGTTTAATTTATGCCAAACTTTAAAATATTATTAATGTTACAATGATGTTGTTCTTTCTCAGGTATCAATGAAACTATTTTAATACCGCTCCTTATAAACGAAACCAAGTTTTCTTCAACATCACCGCCAGTGAAATTAACTAGCAAAGGACAAACAGCTTTTCCACAAACAACTGTTGAAATAACAGCTGCTCCAATAACTACTAACACTTCAACAGATATTTTACGAGCAATTGTCCCATCGAAGATTTTGTCATCATCGCTCATCGAACTTCCCCTATTACAACAACTGTATCATCAACAACTGATGAAACAACAACTATCTTGTCAGTAAACGTTTCTTCAACTGCTGCCTCACTTAAACCTTCAAGTAACTATAAATTATTTTTCTTTTCGATCTAGATGTAGGTAAAACTAACCGTCAGTGTGCCAAGCTTTAAATAGCTAAAAATACGATTATTCATTCACAACGTTATTATATGCATACACTACATATTGCAAAACTGTTTTCCAAACAACTGCTGTCTTAATTACAGCTATTCACCAGCGACCTCTTTCGAACAGTTTATTCACAAGCAAATTTCTAATGGATGACTGCGCTACAAACATCTATGTCTCACAAATATTGTCGCACAAACTGAATCATTGAAATCTGTTTCATTAATAACAATGCCTTCAACATTTTTATCTCTGTCTATATTTTTAGAAACACTATCATCAAATGGTGTCCCACATACACCAAGTAAATATCAGTTGTTTTATTTTACAAAATATAAAAACAAAATTAATGCTGCAATGTTGTTTTTCTTTCTCCAGGTATCAATGAAACGACCGTCAGCCCACTCCTTATAAACGAAACTAAGTTTTCTTCTACATCAGTGCCGGTACTAAGATTCACTACATTTCCAAAATCTATTTTACAAACGTCGAGGATTTTGCCAACATCGCTTTCCGACCTTTCCACTATTACAACAGCTGTCTCATCAACAATTTTCGCAAAAAATATCTCGTCAGTTAATGTTTCTTCAAAAGCTGTCTCAGTCACACCTTCAAGTAAGTATCAGTTATTTTTCATTTATCTATGTAGGAAGAAGAAATACGATAGCAGAGGGTTTTTACTCCTTAAGAAATAGAAAAAGTTTTCCTCGTCGATATAGAGTTATTAAACTACGCGGGAAAGTAATTTTTTCTAGCATCGATTTTCATATTAAGATAAATATACTTCTGCCATTAAAATATGTGATCGTGAATTTTGTCCCATGATTTATCTCCTTAAAAGTAGTTATACTCAAAGCCCAACTAGTCCATGTAACGATACAACTAATTCGTATTTACTAAATCACAAACTTTAGTTTTTCATGAATAATTTTATTTAAACTATGTTTATTCACTGATGTCAACAATTTTGATAAGTGTCGTAAAAATTTCTATTCAGCCCTCTTGATTTTTCTTTTTCAGAACAGTACAGTACAACAAGTACAACACCAGGTAAGATACACACGATAAAAGTACTTGTGTAATATATGCATGAAGAAAAAAATTTGTTTTTAATGCATTTCTGTCACGATAATTAGCTAATTGCCTTTCTTACAGTTAATCTATAATATGGAAGTGCTTTCACCAAACTTATAAATTTTTATAGTTACTTTCAAATTACGTTTAAGTGGTGTAATAGTTCTTTGAACGCTAATCCATTTAGTGAACATGTTATTTCCTCCTTCGAATGAGCTTAGAAACGAACAACTAAACGTTAAAATGTATTATAAAATATTTAATATGAAATTATCTGTATATATTATACATTTTATTTTATTTAGCCATATTAACAACAATAATACCAGTGATAAAAACAACAAGTAAACCTAAACAAACAGGTAATACGGAATATAAGAATATAAGAAATCTATTGCCCTACTATCATCAGTGAAATAAAATCGAGTATCAATCCAGGTAATTATTAATCGTCCGTATACCAAGCTGCGAACAAAAATACAATTGCACTTTCAAAACTTTAATGAATTTATTTGCATTGACTAACTATTGTAGGAAAAATTTTCCAACAAACTTCTGTAATAATTGTAACTATTCTAAAACGACTTTCTTTGAACAGTTTTTCACAAGCAACTTTTGCATGGATGACTGTTTTACAAACATTTATACCACGAGCATTCGTCTCACAAAGAACTGAATCATTGACATCTGTTTAATCATTAACAATGCCATCATCAACTCACTTATCACTGTCTATCTTTTAAAAACACCAGCTTCAACTGCTGTACCACGTACACCAATAAGATATCAGTTGTTTAATTTATGCCAAACTTTAAAATATTATTAATGTTACAATGATGTTGTTCTTTCTCAGGTATCAATGAAACTATTTTAATACCGCTCCTTATAAACGAAACCAAGTTTTCTTTAACATCACCGCCAGTGAAATTAACTAGCAAAGGACAAACAGCTTTTCCACAAACAACTGTTGAAATAACAGCTGTTCCAATAACTACTAACACTTCAACAGATATTTTACGAGCAATTGTCCCATCGAAGATTTTGTCATCATCGCTCATCGAACTTCCCCTATTACAACAACTGTATCATCAACAACTGATGAAACAACAACTATCTTGTCAGTAAACGTTTCTTCAACTGCTGCCTCACTTACACCTTCAAGTAACTATAAATTATTTTTCTTTTCGATCTAGATGTAGGAAAAAACTAACCGTCAGTGTGTCAAGCATTAAATAGCTAAAAATACGAATATTCATTCACAACGTTATTATATGCATAGACTACATATTGCAAAAACTGTTTTCCAACAAACTGCTTTCATAATTACAGCTATTCACCAGTGACCTCTTTCGAAAAGTTTATTCACAAGCAAATTTCTAATGGATGACTGCGCTATAAACATCTATGTCTCACAAATATTGTCGCACAAACTGAATCATTGAAATCTGTTTCATTAATAACAATGCCTTCAACATTTTTTCTCTGTCTATATTTTTTAGAAACACTATCATCAAATGGTGTCCCACATACACCAAATAAATATCAGTTGTTTTATTTTTACAAAATATAAAAACATTATTCATGCTGCAATGTTGTTTTTCTTTCTCCAGGTATCAATGAAACGACCGTCAGCCCACTCCTTATAAACGAAACTAAGTTTTCTTCTACATCAGTGCCGGTACTAAGATTCACTACATTTCCAAAATCTATTTTACAAACGTCGAGGATTTTGCCAACATCGCTTTCCGACCTTTCCACTATTACAACAGCTGTCTCATCAACAATTTTCGCAAAAAATATCTCGTCAGTTAATGTTTCTTCAAAAGCTGTCTCAGTCACACCTTCAAGTAAGTATCAGTTATTTTTCATTTATCTATGTAGGAAGAAGAAATACGATAGCAGAGGGTTTTTACTCCTTAAGAAATAGAAAAAGTTTTCCTCGTCGATATAGAGTTATTAAACTACGCGGGAAAGTAATTTTTTCTAGCATCGATTTTCATAATAAGATAAATATATTTCTGCCATTAAAATATGTGATCGTGAATTTTGTCCCATGATTTATCTCCTTAAAAGTAGTTATACTCGAAACCAAACTAGTCCATGTAACGATACAACTAATTCGTATTTACTAAATCACAAACTTTAGTTTTTCTCGAATAATTTTATTTAAACTATGTTTATTCACTGATGTCAACAATTTTGATAAATGTCGTAAAAATTTCTATTCAGCCCTCTTGATTTTTCTTTCTTCAGAACAGTACAGTACAATAAGTACAACACCAGGTAAGATACACACGATAAAAGTACTTGTGTAATATATGCATGAAGAAAAAAATTTGTTTTTAATGCATTTCTGTCACGATAATTAGCTAATTGCCTTTCTTACAGTTAATCTATAATATGGAAGTGCTTTCACCAAACTCATAAATTTTTATAGTTACTTTCAAATTACGTTTAAGTGGTGTAATAGTTGTTTGAACGCTAATCCATTTAGTGAACATGTTATTTCCTCCTTCGAATGAGCTTAGAAACGAACAACTAAACGTTAAAATGTGTTATAAAATATTTAATATGAAATTATCTGTATATATTATACATTTTATTTTATTTAGCCATATTAACAACAATAATACCAGTGATAAAAACAACAAGTAAACCTAAACAAACAGGTAATACGGAATATAAGAATATAAGAAATCTATTGCCCTTACTATCATCAGTGAAATAAAATCGAGTATCAATCCAGGTAATTATTAATCGTCCGTATACCAAGCTGCAAACAAAAATACAATTGCACTTTCAAAACTTTAATGAATTTATTTGCATTGACTAACTATTGTAGGAAAAATTTTCCAACAAACTTCTGTAATAATTGTAACTATTCTAAAACGACTTTCTTTGAACAGTTTTTTCACAAGTAACTTTTTGCATGGATGACTGTTTTACAAACATTTATACCACGAGAATTCGTCTCACAAAGAACTGAATCATTGACATCTGTTTAATCATTAACAATGCCATCATCAACTCACTTATCACTGTCTATATTTTAAAAAACACCAGCTTCAACTGCTGTACCACGTACACCAATAAGATATCAGTTGTTTAATTTATGCCAAACTTTAAAATATTATTAATGTTATAATGATGTTGTTCTTTCTCAGGTATCAATGAAACTATTTTCATACCGCTCCTTATAAACGAAACCAAGTTTTCTTCAACATCACCGCAAGTGAAATAACTAGCAAAGGACAAACAGCTTTTCCACAAACAACTGATGAAATAACAGCTGTTCCAATAACTACTAACACTTCAACAGATATTTTACGAGCAATTGTCCCATCGAAGATTTTGTCATCATCGCTCATCGAACTTCCCCCTATTACAACAACTGTATCATCAACAACTGATGAAACAACAACTATCTTGTCAGTAAACGTTTCTTCAACTGTTGCCTCACTTACACCTTCAAGTAACTATAAATTATTTTTCTTTTCGATCTAGATGTAGGAAAAAACTAACCGTCAGTGTGTCAAGCTTTAAATAGCTAAAAATACGGTCATTCATTCACAACGTTATTATATGCATAGACTACACCTGTTTTCCAACAAACTGCTTTCATAATTACAGCTATTCACCAGCGACCTCTTTCGAAAAGTTTATTCACAAGCAAATTTCTAATGGATGACTGCGCTATAAACATCTATGTCTCACAAATATTGTGTCATTGAAATCTGTTTCATTAATAACAATGCCTTCAACATTTTTATCTCTGTCTATATTTTTAGAAACACTATCATCAAATGGTGTCCCACATACACCAAGCAAATATCAGTTGTTTTATTTTTACAAAATATAAAAACATCATTAATGCTGCAATGTTGTTTTTCTTTCTCCAGGTATCAATGAAACGACCGTCAGCCCACTCCTTATAAACGAAACTAAGTTTTCTTCTACATCAGTGCCAGTACTAAGATTCACTACCTTTCCAAAATCTACTTTACAAACGTCGAGGATTTTGCCAACATCGCTTTCCGACCTTTCCACGATCACAACAGCTGTCTCACCAACAATTTTCGCAAAAAATATCTCGTCAGTTAATGTTTCTTCAAAAGCTGTCTCAGTCACACCTTCAAGTAAGTATCAGTTATTTTTCATTTATCTATGTAAGAAGAAGAACTACGATAGCAGAGGGTTTTTACTCCTTAAGAAATAGAAAAAGTTTTCCTTGTCGATATAGAGTTATTAAACTACGCGGGAAAGTAATTTTTTCTAGCATCGATTTTCATAATAAGATAAATATATTCCTGCCAATAAAATATGTGATCGTGAATTTTGTCCCATGATTTATCTCCTTAAAAGTAGTTATACTCGAAACCAAACTAGTCCATGTAACGATACAACTAATTCGTATTTACTAAATCACAAACTTTAGTTTTTTTCGAATAATTTTATTTAAACTATGTTTATTCACTGATGTCAACAATTTTGATAAATGTCGTAAAAATTTCTATTCAGCCCTCTTGATTTTTCTTTCTTCAGAACAGTACAGTACAACAAGTACAACACCAGGTAAGATGCACACGATAAAAGTACTTGTGTAATATATGCATGAAGAAAAAAATTTGTTTTTAATGCATTTCTGTCACGATAATTAGCTAATTGCCTTTCTTACAGTTAATCTATAATATGGAAGTGCTTTCACCAAACTCATAAATTTTTATAGTTATTTTCAAATTACGTTTAAGTGGTGTAATAGTTGTTTGAACGCTAATCCATTTAGTGAACATGTTATTTCCTCCTTCGAATGAGCTTAGAAACGAACAACTAAACGTTAAAATGTGTTATAAAATATTTAATATGAAATTATCTGTATATATTATACATTTTATTTTATTTAGCCATATTAACAACAATAATACCAGTGATAAAAACAACAAGTAAACCTAAACAAACAGGTAATACGGAATATAAGAATATAAGAAATCTATTGCCCTTACTATCATCAGTGAAATAAAATCGAGTATCAATCCAGGTAATTATTAATCGTCAGTATACCAAGCTGCGAACAAAAATACAATTGCACTTTCAAAACTTTAATGAATTTATTTGCATTGACTAACTATTGTAGGAAAAATTTCCAACAAACTTCTGTAATAATTGTAACTATTCTAAGACGATTTTCTTTGAACAGTTTTTTCACAAGCAACTTTTTGCATGGATGACTGTTTTACAAACATTTATACCACGAGCATTCGTCTCACAAAGAACTGAATCATTGACATCTGTTTAATCATTAACAATGCCATCATCAACTCACTTATCACTGTCTATCTTTTAAAAACACCAGCTTCAACTGCTGTACCACGTACACCAATAAGATATCAGTTGTTTAATTTATGCCAAACTTTAAAATATTATTAATGTTACAATGATGTTGTTCTTTCTCAGGTATCAATGAAACTATTTTAATACCGCTCCTTATAAACGAAACCAAGTTTTCTTCAACATCACCGCCAGTGAAATTAACTAGCAAAGGACAAACAGCTTTTCCACAAACAACTGTTGAAATAACAGCTGCTCCAATAACTACTAACTCTTCAACAGATATTTTACGAGCAATTGTCCCATCGAAGATTTTGTCATCATCGCTCATGGAACTTCCCCTATTACAACAACTGTATCATCAACAACTGATGAAACAACAACTATCTTGTCAGTAAACGTTTCTTCAACTGCTGCCTCACTTAAACCATCAAGTAACTATAAATTATTTTTCTTTTCGATCTAGATGTAAGTAACAACTAACCGTCAGTGTGCCAAGCTGTAAATAGCTAAAAATACGATTACCCTTTCACAACGTTATTATATGCATACACTACATATTGCAAAAACTGTTTTCCAAACAACTGCTGTCTTAATTACAGCTATTCCACCAGCGACTTCTTTCGAACAGTTTATTCACAAGCAAATTTCTAATGGATGATTGCGCTACAAACATCTATGAGTCACAAATAGTTGTCGCACAAACTGAATCATTGAAATCTGTTTCATTAATAACAATGCTTTCATCAATTTTTGTCTCTGTCTTTATTATTTAAAACACTATCTTCATATGGTGTCCCACATACACCAAGTAAATATCAGTTGTTTTATTTTTACAAAATATAAAAACATCATTAATGCTGCAATGTTGTTTTTCTTTCTCCAGGTATCAATGAAACGACCGTCAGCCCACTCCTTATAAACGAAACTAAGTTTTCCTCTACATCAGTGCCAGTACTAAGATTCACTACCTTTCCAAAATCAATTTTACAAACGTCGAGGATTTTGTCAACATCGCTTTCCGACCTTTCCTCTATTACAACAGCTGTCTCATCAACAATTCTCTCAAAAAATATCTCATCAGTTAATGTTTCTTCAAAAGCTGTCTCAGTAACACCTTCAAGTAAGTATCAGTTATTTTTCATTTATCTATGTAAGAATAAGAAATAGGATAGCAGAGGGTTTTTATTAGTTACGAAATATAAAAAGTTTTCCTTGTCGATATAGAGTTATTAAACTACGCTGGAAAGTAATTTTTTCTAGCATCGATTTTCATAATAAGATAAATATATTTCTGCCATTAAAATATGTGATCGTGAATTTTGTCATATGATTTATCTCCTTAAAATTAGTTATACTCAAAGCCAAACTAGTCCTTGTAACGATACAACTAATTCGTATTTACTAAATCACAAACTTTAGTTTTTCATGAATAATTTTATTTAAACTATGTTTATTCACTGATGTCAACAATTTTGATAAGTGTCGTAAAAATTTCTATTCAGCCCTCTTGATTTTTCTTTCTTCAGAACAGTACAGTACAACAAGTACAACACCAGGTAAGATACACACGATAAAAGTACTTGTGCAATATATGCATGAAGAAAAAAATTTGTTTTTAATGCATTTCTGTCACGATAATTAGCTAATTGCCTTTCTTACAGTTAATCTATAATATGGAAGTGCTTTCACCAAACTTATAAATTTTTATAGTTACTTTCAAATTACGTTTATGTGGTGTAATAGTTCTTTGAACGCTAATCCATTTAGTGAACATGTTATTTCCTCCTTCGAATGAGCTTAGAAACGAACAACTAAACGTTAAAATGTATTATAAAATATTTAATATGAAATTATCTGTATATATTATACATTTTATTTTATTTAGCCATAGCAACAACAATAATACCAGTGATAAAAACAACAAGTAAACCTAAACAAACAGGTAATACAGAATATAGGAATATAAGAAATCTATTGCCCCTACTATCATCAGTGAAATAAAATCGAGTATCAATCCAGGTAATTATTAATCGTCCGTATACCAAGCTGCGAACAAAAATACAATTGCACTTTCAAAACTTTAATGAATTTATTTGCATTGACTAACTATTGTAGGAAAAATTTTCCAACAAACTTCTGTAATAATTGTAACTATTCTAAAACGACTTTCTTTGAACAGTTTTTTGACAAGCAACTTTTTGCATGGATGACTGTTTTACAAACATTTATACCACGAGCATTCGTTCACAAAGAACTGAATCATTGACATCTGTTTAATCATTAACAATGCCATCATCAACTCACTTATCACTGTCTATCTTTTTAAAAAACACCAGCTTCAACTGCTGTACCACGTACACCAATAAGATATCAGTTGTTTAATTTATGCCAAACTTTAAAATATTATTAATGTTACAATGATGTTGTTCTTTCTCAGGTATCAATGAAACTATTTTAATACCGCTCCTTATAAACGAAACCAAGTCTTCTTTAACATCACCGCAAGTGGAAATAACTAGCAAAGGACAAACAGCTTTGGCACAAACAACTGATGAAATAACAGCTGTTCCAATAACTACTAACACTTCAACAGATATTTTACGAGCAATTGTCCCATCGAAGATTTTGTCATCATCGCTCATCGAACTTCCCCCTATTACAACAACTGTATCATCAACAACTGATGAAACAACAAGTATCTTGTCAGTAAACGCTTCTTCAACTGTTGCCTCACTTACACCTTCAAGTAACTATAAATTATTTTTCTTTTCGATCTAGATGTAGGAAAAAACTAACCGTCAGTGTGTCAAGCTTTAAATAGCTAAAAATACGGTCATTCATTCACAACGTTATTATATGCATAGACTACATATTGCAAAAACTGTTTTCCAACAAACTGCTTTCATAATTACAGCTATTCACCAGTGACCTCTTTCGAAAAGTTTATTCACAAGCAAATTTCTAATGGATGACTGCGCGATAAACATCTATGTCTCACAAATATATGTCGCACAAACTGAATCATTGAAATCTGTCTCACTAATAACAATGCCTTCAACATTTTTTTTCTCTGTTATATTTTTTAGAAACACTATCATCAAATGGTGTCCCACATACACCAAGTAAATATCAGTTTTTTTATTTTTACAAAATATAAAAACATTATTCATGCTGCAATGTTGTTTTTCTTTCTCCAGGTATCAATGAAACGACCGTCAGCCCACTCCTTATAAACGAAACTAAGTTTTCTTCTACATCAGTGCCGGTACTAAGATTCACTACATTTCCAAAATCTATTTTACAAACGTCGAGGATTTTGCCAACATCGCTTTCCGACCTTTCCACTATTACAACAGCTGTCTCATCAACAATTTTCGCAAAAAATATCTCGTCAGTTAATGTTTCTTCAAAAGCTGTCTCAGTCACACCTTCAAGTAAGTATCAGTTATTTTTCATTTATCTATGTAGGAAGAAGAAATACGATAGCAGAGGGTTTTTACTCCTTAAGAAAGAGAAAAAGTTTTCCTCGTCGATATAGAGTTATTAAACTACGCGGGAAAGTAATTTTTTCTAGCATCGATTTTCATATTAAGATAAATATATTCCTGCCAATAAAATATGTGATCGTGAATTTTGTCCCATGATTTATCTCCTTAAAAGTAGTTATACTCGAAACCAAACTAGTCCATGTAACGATACAACTAATTCGTATTTACTAAATCACAAACTTTAGTTTTTTTCGAATAATTTTATTTAAACTATGTTTATTCACTGATGTCAACAATTTTGATAAATGTCGTAAAAATTTCTATTCAGCCCTCTTGATTTTTCTTTCTTCAGAACAGTACAGTACAACAAGTGCAACACCAGGTAAGATACACACGATAAAAGTACTTGTGTAATATATGCATGAAGAAAAAAATTTGTTTTTAATGCATTTCTGTCACGATAATTAGCTAATTGCCTTTCTTACAGTTAATCTATAATATGGAAGTGCTTTCACCAAACTCATAAATTTTATAGTTACTTTCAAATTACGTTTAAGTGGTGTAATAGTTGTTTGAACTCTAATCCATTTAGTGAACATGTTATTTCCTCCTTCGAATGAGCTTAGAAACGAACAACTAAACGTTAAAATGTATTATAAAATATTTAATATGAAATTATCTGTATATATTATACATTTTATTTTATTTAGCCATATTAACAACAATAATACCAGTGATAAAACAACAAGTAAACCTAAACAAACAGGTAATACGGAATATAAGAATATAAGAAATCTATTGCCCTTACTATCATCAGTGAAATAAAATCGAGTATCAATCCAGGTAATTATTAATCGTCCGTATACCAAGCTGCAAACAAAAATACAATTGCACTTTCAAAACTTTAATGAATTTATTTGCATTGACTAACTATTGTAGGAAAAATTTTCCAACAAACTTCTGTAATAATTGTAACTATTCTAAAACGACTTTCTTTGAACAGTTTTTTCACAAGTAACTTTTTGCATGGATGACTGTTTTACAAACATTTATACCACGAGAATTCGTCTCACAAAGAACTGAATCATTGACATCTGTTTAATCATTAACAATGCCATCATCAACTCACTTATCACTGTCTATATTTTAAAAAACACCAGCTTCAACTGCTGTACCACGTACACCAATAAGATATCAGTTGTTTAATTTATGCCAAACTTTAAAATATTATTAATGTTATAATGATGTTGTTCTTTCTCAGGTATCAATGAAACTATTTTAATACCACTCCTTATAAACGAAACCAAGTCTTCTTTAACATCACCGCAAGTGGAAATAACTAGCAAAGGACAAACAGCTTTGCCACAAACAACTGATGAAATAACAGCTGTTCCAATAACTACTAACACTTCAACAGATATTTTACGAGCAATTGTCCCATCGAAGATTTTGTCATCATCGCTCATCGAACTTCCCCCTATTACAACAACTTTGTCCTCAACAATTGATGAAACAACAAGTATCTCCTCAGTAAACGCTTCTTCAACTGTTGCCTCACTTACACCTTCAAGTAACTATAAATTATTTTTCTTTTCGATCTATATGTAGGAAAAAACTAACCGTCAGTGTGTCAAGCTTTAAATAGCTAAAAATACGGTCATTCATTCACAACGTTATTATATGCATAGACTAGAGAAAAACGACGATTTTTTTGAGACCAAACATGTTTCGACATTATCAGAATGCCATCTTCAGTGCAGAATGGTTAGTGTTAGGTAATATGATACGTAATATGATATAAACTGTTTTCCAACAAACTGCTTTCATAATTACAGCTATTCACCAGCGACCTCTTTCGAAAAGTTTATTCACAAGCAAATTTCTAATGGATGACTGCGCTATAAACATCTATGTCTCACAAATATTTGTCATTGAAATCTGTTTCATTAATAACAATGCCTTCAACATTTTTTATCTCCGTCTATATTTTTTAGAAACACTATCATCAAATGGTGTCCCACATACACCAAGTAAATATCAGTTGTTTTATTTTTACAAAATATAAAAACATCATTAATGCTGCAATGTTGTTTTTCTTTCTCCAGGTATCAATGAAACGACCGTCAGCCCACTCCTTATAAACGAAACTAAGTTTTCTTCTACATCAGTGCCAGTACTAAGATTCACTACCTTTCCAAAATCTACTTTACAAACGTCGAGGATTTTGCCAACATCGCTTTCCGACCTTTCCACGATCACAACAGCTGTCTCACCAACAATTTTCGCAAAAAATATCTCGTCAGTTAATGTTTCTTCAAAAGCTGTCTCAGTCACACCTTCAAGTAAGTATCAGTTATTTTTCATTTATCTATGTAAGAAGAAGAACTACGATAGCAGAGGGTTTTTACTCCTTAAGAAATAGAAAAGTTTTCCTTGTCGATATAGAGTTATTAAACTACGCGGGAAAGTAATTTTTTCTAGCATCGATTTTCATAATAAGATAAATATATTCCTGCCAATAAAATATGTGATCGTGAATTTTGTCCCATGATTTATCTCCTTAAAAGTAGTTATACTCGAAACCAAACTAGTCCATGTAACGATACAACTAATTCGTATTTACTAAATCACAAACTTTAGTTTTTCGAATAATTTTATTTAAACTATGTTTATTCACTGATGTCAACAATTTTGATAAATGTCGTAAAATTTCTATTCAGCCCTCTTGATTTTTCTTTCTTCAGAACAGTACAGTACAACAAGTACAACACCAGGTAAGATGCACGATAAAAGTACTTGTGTAATATATGCATGAAGAAAAAATTTGTTTTAATGCATTTCTGTCACGATAATTAGCTAATTGCCTTTCTTACAGTTAATCTATAATATGGAAGTGCTTTCACCAAACTCATAAATTTTATAGTTACTTTCAAATTACGTTTAAGTGGTGTAATAGTTGTTTGAACGCTAATCCATTTAGTGAACATGTTATTTCCTCCTTCGAATGAGCTTAGAAACGAACAACTAAACGTTAAAATGTGTTATAAAATATTTAATATGAAATTATCTGTATATATTATACATTTTATTTTATTTAGCCATATTAACAACAATAATACCAGTGATAAAAACAACAAGTAAACCTAAACAAACAGGTAATACGGAATATAAGAATATAAAAAATCTATTGCCCTTACTATCATCAGTGAAATAAAATCGAGTATCAATCCAGGTAATTATTAATCGTCAGTATACCAAGCTGCGAACAAAAATACAATTGCACTTTCAAAACTTTAATGAATTTATTTGCATTGACTAACTATTGTAGGAAAAATTTCCATCAAACTTCTGTAATAATTGTAACTATTCTAAGACGATTTTCTTTGAACAGTTTTTTCACAAGCAACTTTTTGCATGGATGACTGTTTTACAAACATTTATACCACGAGCATTCGTCTCACAAAGAACTGAATCATTGACATCTGTTTAATCATTAACAATGCCATCATCAACTCACTTATCACTGTCTATCTTTTTAAAAAACACCAGCTTCAACTGCTGTACCACGTACACCAATAAGATATCAGTTGTTTAATTTATGCCAAACTTTAAAATATTATTAATGTTACAATGATGTTGTTCTTTCTCAGGTATCAATGAAACTATTTTAATACCGCTCCTTATAAACGAAACCAAGTTTTCTTCAACATCACCGCCAGTGAAATTAACTAGCAAAGGACAAACAGCTTTTCCACAAACAACTGTTGAAATAACCGCTGCTCCAATAACTACTAACTCTTCAACAGATATTTTACGAGCAATTGTCCCATCAAAGATTTTGTCATCATCGCTCATGGAACTTTCCCCTATTACAACAACTGTATCATCAACAACTGATGAAACAACAACTATCTTGTCAGTAAACGTTTCTTCAACTGCTGCCTCACTTAAACCATCAAGTAACTATAAATTATTTTTCTTTTCGATCTAGATGTAAGTAACAACTAACCGTCAGTGTGCCAAGCTGTAAATAGCTAAAAATACGATTACCCTTTCACAACGTTATTATATGCATACACTACATATTGCAAAAACTGTTTTCCAAACAACTGCTGTCTTAATTACAGCTATTCCACCAGCGACTTCTTTCGAACAGTTTATTCACAAGCAAATTTCTAATGGATGATTGCGCTACTAACATCTATGAGTCACAAATAGTTGTCGCACAAACTGAATCATTGAAATCTGTTTCATTAATAACAATGCTTTCATCAATTTTTGTCTCTGTCTTTATTATTTAAAAACACTATCTTCATATGGTGTCCCACATACACCAAGTAAATATCAGTTGTTTTATTTTTACAAAATATAAAAACATCATTAATGCTGCAATGTTGTTTTTCTTTCTCCAGGTATCAATGAAACGACCGTCAGCCCACTCCTTATAAACGAAACTAAATTTTCTTCTACATCAGTGCCGGTACTAAGATTCACTACCTTTCCAAAATCAATTTTACAAATGTCGAGGATTTTGCCAACATCGCTTTCCGACCTTTCCACTATTACAACAGCTGTCTCATCAACAATTTTCGCAAAAAATATCTCGTCATTTAATGTTTCTTCAAAAGCTGTCTCAGTCACACCTTCAAGTAAGTATCAGTTATTTTTCATTTATCTATGTAAGAAGAAGAACTACGATAGCAGAGGGTTTTTACTCCTTAAGAAATAGAAAAAGTTTTCCTTGTCGATATAGAGTTATTAAACTACGCGGGAAAGTAATTTTTTCTATCATCGATTTTCATAATAAGATAAATATATTTCTGCCATTAAAATATGTGATCGTGAATTTTGTCATATGATTTATCTCCTTAAAATTAGTTATACTCAAAGCCAAACTAGTCCTTGTAACGATACAACTAATTCGTATTTACTAAATCACAAACTTTAGTTTTTCATGAATAATTTTATTTAAACTATGTTTATTCACTGATGTCAACAATTTTGATAAGTGTCGTAAAAATTTCTATTCAGCCCTCTTGATTTTTCTTTCTTCAGAACAGTACAGTACAACAAGTACAACACCAGGTAATTGCACCTGATAAAAGTACTTGTGTAATATATGCATGAAGAAAAAAATTTGTTTTTAATGCATTTCTGTCACGATAATTAGCTAATTGCCTTTCTTACAGTTAATCTATAATATGGAAGTGCTTTCACCAAACTCATAAATTTTTATAGTTATTTTCAAATTACGTTTAAGTGGTGTAATAGTTGTTTGAACGCTAATCCATTTAGTGAACATGTTATTTCCTCCTTCGAATGAGCTTAGAAACGAACAACTAAACGTTAATATGTATTATAAAATATTTAATATGAAATTATCTGTATATATTATACATTTATTTTATTTAGCCATACCAAGAACAATAATACCAGTGATAAAAACAACAAGCAAACCTAAACAAACAGGTAATACGGAATATAAGAATATAAGAAATCTATTGCCCCTGCTATCATCAGTGAAATAAAATCGAGTATCAATCCAGGTAATTATTAATCGTCCGTATACCAAGCTGCGAACAAAAATACAATTGCACTTTCAAAACTTTAATGAATTTATTTGCATTGACTAACTATTGTAGGAAAAATTTTCCAACAAACTTCTGTAATAATTGTAACTATTCTAAAACGACTTTCTTTGAACAGTTTTTTGACAAGCAACTTTTTGCATGGATGACTGTTTTACAAACATTTATACCACGAGCATTCGTTCACAAAGAACTGAATCATTGACATCTGTTTAATCATTAACAATGCCATCATCAACTCACTTATCACTGTCTATCTTTTTAAAAAACACCAGCTTCAACTGCTGTACCACGTACACCAATAAGATATCAGTTGTTTAATTTATGCCAAACTTTAAAATATTATTAATGTTACAATGATGTTGTTCTTTCTCAGGTATCAATGAAACTATTTTAATACCGCTCCTTATAAACGAAACCAAGTTTTCTTCAACATCACCGCCAGTGAAATTAACTAGCAAAGGACAAACAGCTTTTCCACAAACAACTGTTGAAATAACCGCTGCTCCAATAACTACTAACTCTTCAACAGATATTTTACGAGCAATTGTCCCATCAAAGATTTTGTCATCATCGCTCATGGAACTTTCCCCTATTACAACAACTGTATCATCAACAACTGATGAAACAACAACTATCTTGTCAGTAAACGTTTCTTCAACTGCTGCCTCACTTAAACCATCAAGTAACTATAAATTATTTTTCTTTTCGATCTAGATGTAAGTAACAACTAACCGTCAGTGTGCCAAGCTGTAAATAGCTAAAAATACGATTACCCTTTCACAACGTTATTATATGCATACACTACATATTGCAAAAACTGTTTTCCAAACAACTGCTGTCTTAATTACAGCTATTCCACCAGCGACTTCTTTCGAACAGTTTATTCACAAGCAAATTTCTAATGGATGATTGCGCTACAAACATCTATGAGTCACAAATAGTTGTCGCACAAACTGAATCATTGAAATCTGTTTCATTAATAACAATGCTTTCATCAATTTTTGTCTCTGTCTTTATTATTTAAAAACACTATCTTCATATGGTGTCCCACATACACCAAGTAAATATCAGTTGTTTTATTTTTACAAAATATAAAAACATCATTAATGCTGCAATGTTGTTTTTCTTTCTCCAGGTATCAATGAAACGACCGTCAGCCCACTCCTTATAAACGAAACTAAATTTTCTTCTACATCAGTGCCGGTACTAAGATTCACTACCTTTCCAAAATCAATTTTACAAATGTCGAGGATTTTGCCAACATCGCTTTCCGACCTTTCCACTATTACAACAGCTGTCTCATCAACAATTTTCGCAAAAAATATCTCGTCATTTAATGTTTCTTCAAAAGCTGTCTCAGTCACACCTTCAAGTAAGTATCAGTTATTTTTCATTTATCTATGTAAGAAGAAGAACTACGATAGCAGAGGGTTTTTACTCCTTAAGAAATAGAAAAAGTTTTCCTTGTCGATATAGAGTTATTAAACTACGCGGGAAAGTAATTTTTTCTATCATCGATTTTCATAATAAGATAAATATATTTCTGCCATTAAAATATGTGATCGTGAATTTTGTCATATGATTTATCTCCTTAAAATTAGTTATACTCAAAGCCAAACTAGTCCTTGTAACGATACAACTAATTCGTATTTACTAAATCACAAACTTTAGTTTTTCATGAATAATTTTATTTAAACTATGTTTATTCACTGATGTCAACAATTTTGATAAGTGTCGTAAAAATTTCTATTCAGCCCTCTTGATTTTTCTTTCTTCAGAACAATACAGTACAACAAGTACAACACCAGGTAATTGCACCTGATAAAAGTACTTGTGTAATATATGCATGAAGAAAAAAATTTGTTTTTAATGCATTTCTGTCACGATAATTAGCTAATTGCCTTTCTTACAGTTAATCTATAATATGGAAGTGCTTTCACCAAACTCATAAATTTTTATAGTTACTTTCAAATTACGTTTAAGTGGTGTAATAGTTGTTTGAACGCTAATCCATTTAGTGAACATGTTATTTCCTCCTTCGAATGAGCTTAGAAACGAACAACTAAACGTTAAAATGTATTATAAAATATTTAATATGAAATTATCTGTATATATTATACATTTATTTTATTTAGCCATACCAAGAACAATAATACCAGTGATAAAAACAACAAGCAAACCTAAACAAACAGGTAATACGGAATATAAGAATATAAGAAATCTATTGCCCCTGCTATCATCAGTGAAATAAAATCGAGTATCAATCCAGGTAATTATTAATCGTCCGTATACCAAGCTGCGAACAAAAATACAATTGCACTTTCAAAACTTTAATGAATTTATTTGCATTGACTAACTATTGTAGGAAAAATTTTCCAACAAACTTCTGTAACAATTGTAACTATTCTAAAACGACTTTCTTTGAACAGCTTTTTGACAAGCAACTTTTTGCATGGATGACTGTTTTACAAACATTTATACCACGAGCATTCGTTCACAAAGAACTGAATCATTGACATCTGTTTAATCATTAACAATGCCATCATCAACTCACTTATCACTGTCTATCTTTTTAAAAAACACCAGCTTCAACTGCTGTACCACGTACACCAATAAGATATCAGTTGTTTAATTTATGCCAAACTTTAAAATATTATTAATGTTACAATGATGTTGTTCTTTCTCAGGTATCAATGAAACTATTTTAATACCGCTCCTTATAAACGAAACCAAGTCTTCTTTAACATCACCGCAAGTGAAAATAACTAGCAAAGGACAAACAGCTTTGCCACAAACAACTGTTAAAATAACAGCTGTTCCAATAACTACTAACACTTCAACAGATATTTTACGAGCAATTGTCCCATCGAAGATTTTGTCATCATCGCTCATCGAACTTCCCCCTATTACAACAACTGTATCATCAACAACTGATGAAACAACAACTATATCGTCAGTAAACGTTTCTTCAACTGCTGCCTCACTTAAACCATCAAGTAACTATAAATTATTTTTCTTTTCGATCTAGATGTAGGTAACATTTAACCGTCAGTGTGCCAAGCTGTAAATAGCTAAAAATACGATTACCCTTTCACAACGTTATTATATGCATACACTACATATTGCAAAAACTGTTTTCCAAACAACTGCTGTCTTAATTACAGCTATTCCACCAGCGACTTCTTTCGAACAGTTTATTCACAAGCAAATTTCTAATGGATGATTGCGCTACAATTATCTATGAGTCACAAATAGTTGTCGCACAAACTGAATCATTGAAATCTGTTTCATTAATAACAATGCTTTCATCATTTTTTGTCTATGTCTTTATTATTTAAAAACACTATCTTCATATTGTGTCCCACATACACCAAGTAAATATCAGTTGTTTTATTTTTACAAAATATAAAAACATCATTAATGCTGCAATGTTGTTTTTCTTTCTCCAGGTATCAATGAAACGACCGTCAGCCCACTCCTTATAAACGAAACTAAATTTTCTTCTAAATCAGTGCCAGTACTAAGATTCACTGCCTTTCCAAAATCTATTTTACAAACGTCGAGGATTTTGCCAACATCGCTTTCCGACCTTTCCACTATTACAACAGCTGTCTCATCAACAATTTTCGCAAAAAATATCTCGTCAGTTAATGTTTCTTTAAATGCTGTCTCAGTCACACCTTCAAGTAAGTATCAGTTATTTTTCATTTATCTATGTAAGAAGAAGAAATACGATAGCAGAGGGTTTTTCCTCCTTAAGAAATAGAAAAAGTTTTCCTCCTCGATATAGAGTTATTAAACTACGCGGGAAAGTAATTTTTTCTAGCATCGATTTTCATAATAAGATAAATATATTTCTGCCATTAAAATATGTGATCGTGAATTTTGTCCCATGATTTATCTTCCTAAAAGTAGTTATATTCAAAGCTAAACTAGTCCTTGTAACGATACAACTAATTCGTATTTACTAAATCACAAACTTTAATTTTTCTCGAATAATTTTTTTTAAACCATGTTTATTCACTGATGTCAACAATTTTGATAAATGTCGTAAAAATTTCTATTCAGCCCTCTTGTTTTTTCTTTTTTTAGAACAGTACAGTAAAACAAGTACAACACCAGGTAAGATGCACATGAAACATTGCACACGATAAAAGTACTTATGTAATATATGCATGAAGAAAAAAGTTTCTTTTTAATAGATTTCTGTCACGATAATTAGCTAATTGCTTTTCTTTTAGTTAATCAATAATATGTAAGTGCTTTCACCAAACTCAATAATTTTTATAGTTACTTTCAAATTACGTTTAAGTGGTTTAATAGTTGTTTGAACGCTAATGCATTTAGTGAACGTGTTATTTCCTCCATCGAATGAGCTTAGAAACGAACAACTAAACGTTAAAACGTATTATAAATTATTTAATATGAAATTATCTGTATATATTATACATTTTATTTTATTTAGCTATATCAACAACAATAATACCAGTGATAAAAACAACAAGTAAACCCGCACAAACAGGTAATATAGACTCATTCTTACAAAAAACTAGGTAAAAAAAATATGAAAAGTTATTTGTTTATAATGACCTACAGCCAATTTCATCATTCAAAATTTTATTGTTACTTGTGATACGAGTGATGCAAGTCACCAACTTGAAAGGTGACAAACTGACAATATGCATACGACTAAAATTTTTTCTCTTGCGTTGATATACAGTCACGGAGTTATTATTCTTTGTTTTCGCTTTAAAAATGCTTCATAGGATTTGTTTTAAAACTATCGTTAGCAACTTTTTTCACTAAAAGTCTTACTTGGGCACTTTTCCAAGTGGCAGCATCTTCCCTCCCTTTGACTTTTCCATTAGACATCTATGAGAATTTATTAATATGTTGTATGTGATGTAGTTCTCATGTATGTTGCTTGGTCAAAACATTTTTGTGAAACTGTATTATCTATCCGTAGAGAAACGAAATTAGGTTAGGGTACGCCATTGAACTGAAATACGTGGAACACCACCTGTAATACAAAACTGTAATAATTCTTTGACGCCGTGATTTTACCCGGACATGCTTATATAGTAAATCAATTTTCACTCCACGAGAGAATCTCGAAAAACTACACACGTGTCTGTAGTAAAATCTCGCGTGTCTGATGTAAGATTGGGCCTCAAATATTTTCTTCAGATAGTATTCTATGTATTTTAGTTCAATGGGCTACACAGCAATTTTTATCCTGCCAAGAAAAATGATGCGAAGAAGTTAACAATGTGTAAGTGTTTAATAATGGTATTTTTTTGATAAGTAGATAAAGATGATGACGATGATAGTGACATCAGTGATGACGATAGTGGTGATGAAGACAGTGAGCGATATTGATGACGATGGTGATGAAGATAGCAAAAGCAATTCAAATGATGATTAGAATTAAATTTAACATGTTTCTCATACCAGCATATTGTATAGAAACTTTGGATCATTACCACAAACATACCTTTGCTTGCTACATATATACTGTGAGCTAACACAAACATATATAAGTATATAAACGTAAATTTTTAACTGCTTATTTTAGTGCGAATTCATAGCCTTTTTACGAAATAAACATGTTGCATATACTTATACATTGAAACCTTTTCATACACTTTAACAAATTTCATCGTAAATTTACTCCATGTTGTTCAAGTTGATAATGTGGTATAATAAGTAAATACACTTTTAATATGAGACGTTTCAAAATTATGAATGCGCTATACTTACAAAATATGAATCTTAACATCAAAAGCGCAAAAGAGGTAGAGAATCATATCCTTATATAGTTACGTCAAATATAAAATATGCGTGAAAGTAACCAAGGAGACAAAATGAAGAAAACAGGAGTTGTTTTGCGACATTGAAATACAGTTACATGAAGCTAATGTGAAAACGTGCTCAATATTTTGCAGTGATTATGGTTTTCTTTTCTAATTTGTATCCGAGTAGTTAGCTATGCTCAAATGGTTTTTCTCGTAGTTTGTAAGAAAACTTGATAGTAAATCTCAGAGTGCTGCAAAGAGACCCAGTTTATTTGTTTAACTCCATTAATTTATCAAGTGATAAAGTTATCAATATCAAGTTCTTAAAAGAACTGTTTTAACCAGAACACTAACCCAACAATTCAAAGGAATCGTTATTTACAGCTAGAAAGAGACACTATGCATTTCGGCAGACTACTCGTCAGGTGTCAACGTCTGCTAAATGAAAACCTCCAAACCAGAACCCTGAATAGTTCTTTTTGAGAATATAAAGACCACATTGCATGCAAAAAACAAACTCTCGGTGATATTTTTAGTTTCCCTCTCGATATCATTAGAGGCCTTACCCATCCAGGGAAGTTTAAGGAAAACAGGGCACTTGGCCGGCCCGAAAAGTTCATTCCGTTCATTGTTAGTGGATAAGAAAAGTTTGTCTAGCAACTTCTCCGGATATCCATTTAACACAAAAATATTCTTCAGTGAGATAACATCACTATCAATAAACTCTTTTGAGGACAATCTATGCGCTTGCTTTATCAAACACTTCACTAAAGAAATCTTTTCTTTATGCGAAGAGAAAGAGTCAAAGCGTGTGTACAAACCAGTGAAAGTTGCTTTGCAATGAATGCTTTTTAAGAACTGACCATTGCGTTTGTGTACAAGAACATCTAAAAAAAAACATTCGTGACCTGAATAAATTGGTGAGGCTTAGGAGTAAGGTTCTCTCGGTTGAAAGCCGAGTTTCTTCTCTAGTCGGTTGTTTGAATGCCTGGGTCGTTCCTAATGATGTGGCTACTAGCATAGCAAGTAGTAGGGCAAGGCATATTTTATATATGGAAAGGGCTTTTCTGATGGATGATATTAATAAGGAGAAATGCAAATGTGATTATTTAAAGAGTTGTCTTGTGAAACAAATGGTGGTTGTTAAGGGTTTTCTATCAAAGTATGATTACATACGGTATTGTGCGTATTTAAGAGATATTAGATTCAAAAAATGGGCTGTTGAACGGGCAGATAACGAAGAGAAATTGAAGCGGCTATCACGCAAAAGATACGGTCACATCGATGCTGCTGCATCACATGTAACAAATCTTTCGTCGTATCAACTCTCTGCAGTCGAATTAGATGTACTATCTAGAGGTCCTAAATTTGGAATTCCCCCCCGTAAGTTAAATAAAGAAGATACGTTTTCTAAGTTTGAAATGTTTTGGTCGCACTTGGGAAAGTTTCAGCCAAATGATAGCGAAGCAGAGCCGGGCTTTAAGAGTAAACTATAAAGTCTTGCACACGATTATTCTGAATGCAAGGTTGATTCGAAACAATTTTCTCTTACAATAGAGCACATAATCGCACTGTCTAATTTGAAAAAGAATAAGAACATTATTATACGTAAACCAGATAAAGGCTCTGGTGTAGTAATTCTTGACAGAGAAGATTACAACAGCAAAATGCTAAATATTTTGAAAGACAACAACAAGTTCTGCGCGCTTGGAAAATTGCCAGAGTGCGATAAAACTAGTACATTAGAAAGGAGTTTGCAAACACTTCTTCTAAACTTGAAAAAATCAAACCAAATTAATGAAACTTTTTATAATTTAGTCCGCCCAACGGGGCAGAGAGAGCACGTATGTATGGTTTGCCAAAAATTCACAAGGAAGGCGCTCCACTTCGACCAATTGTACCCATGATTAACTCAGCTCAACATTAGCTAGCCAAACAACTGTCAGTGGTACTTTCGCCCGTTTTGGAGAGGTTTTCAGCATACGCTTTAAAGGACTCTTTTACTTTTACTGATGAGCTTTAACAACAAAATTTTTCAATGCATTCTAATGTAACGATGTGTTCTTTCGATGTAACTAGTCTCTTCACTAATGTGCCCCTAGAAGAAACCATTGAAATTTGTGCACAAAATCTTTTTCACATGGACATGACTTTGCCGGACATGTCTGAGAATGCCTTTAGAGAACTAATGATGGCTGCTACAAAGGGTGTAGAGTTTAGTTTTGATGACAACATGTATAAACAAATTGACGGGGTGGCTATGGGTTCTCCACTTGGACCGGTTCATGCGAATATTTTTATTGGCTATCATGAATGCAAAATGCTTGCATCTTCAGATTGTCCGGATGTGCTGTGGTATAAGCGTTATGTGGATGACACCTTTTCTTTGTTTCATAACGATAAAAATCGTGAACTTTTTCTTAATAAACATTAATCTCTTCACCCTGCACTAAATTACACCTCTGAACTAGAGTCAAACAATCAATTAGCTTTTTTAGATGTTCTTATACACAAACGCAATGGTCAGTTCTTAACAAGCATTCATCGCAAAGCAACTTTCACTGGTTTGCACACACGCTTTGACTCTTTCTCTTCGCATAAAGAAAAGATTTCTTTAGTGAAGTGTTTGATAAAACGAACGCATAGATTGTCCTCAAAAGAGTTTATTGATAGTGATCTTATCTCACTGAAGAATATTTTTGTGTTAAATGGATATCCGGAGAAATTGCTAGACAAACTTTTCTTATCCACTAACAATGAACGGAATGAACTTTTCGGGCCGGCCAAGTGCCCTGTTTTCCTTAAACTTCCCTGGATGGGTAAGGCCTCTAATGACATCGAGAGGGGAACTAAAAATATCACCGAGAGTTTGTTTTTTGCATGCAATGTGGTCTTTATATTCTCAAAAAGAACTATTCTTCCACCCACTCCCAAGGAGTCTCTCCCTGCTTAAATATCAAGCAATGTAGTCTACGAGTTTAAATGTGAGTGTGATGCTCGCTATGTAGGTAGGACTTCTCAAAGGTTGAGTGAAAGAATAAAACAACATGTACCAGCTTCTGTCAGGAATAAAACTGTTCCTTTACGACAACTACCAAAACGTGGGTGTAAAAGTGAAAATCCGATTCTATGTGATTCAGCGATTGGAAAACATCTCTTGAGCAACACTCGCTGTGCCAATGCTTATTCTGATGAAAACTTTAGAATTATTAAAAAATGTCGCTCGTTATTCCAGCTACGCGTCATGGACTCGGTATTAATTAAATTGACTAATCCTGTCCTTTGCCGACAAAAGGATTACGTGTTTAATCTGTCCCTGTTTTAAGTGTCATCTCTAAAAATAGGGATGATATTGACCTTTTGTAACGTTATAAATATAGCATGGTTTGGAAGTTCTCATTTAGCAGACGTTGACTCCTGACGAGTAGTCTGCTAATATGCATAGTGTCTCTTTCTAGCTGTAAATAACGGTTCCTTTGAATTGTTGGGTTAGTGTTCTGGTTAAAACAGTTCTTTTAATAACTATTAGATTGTTCTTATCACCATTCACCATGGTATTTGCTATTTTGAAATCCATCTTTAAGTTTGTCACAACGACAAAGTCTCTGTTTCATTAATATCAGTATATATCAAGTTATAACCAAGTTAGTTGATCACTCTCAGAGTACTGCAAAGAGATGCAGATGATTTTTATGAACTCAATTAGTTGTTCGAGTTGACTGCACAAAGTGTTGAGTCGTATGTTAATGATATTTTGTCTGCCAAATTCTTTCAACTCATAAATAACTTCTATCAAACAGGCCTGCAACCTTGATTCGTCAAAGCAATGTAGCCAATGCACAACTATGTATATATAATGGACATAAAAGAAAAATAACGTAACTTCCTTGTTAGCGATGCCACTGAGTTAATGGAGAACGTAAATAGATGTGTGAAACATTTCAATGCACATTCAAAGAACTCGTTGAAAGACAGTGCTAGTTAAGTCAACTAAGGATGCCAGGATGATGCAAATATTCAAGAAATTGTTTAGATTTACTCATAACACATCAAAGATAAACAATTGATGCAATGTCAAACCATTTTTGTGGTGAACAGTGATCAAAAGCTCACCTTCAGATCATAGCACCTCAAAAAAACCCTAAACATAGTTTTGAATACTCCTGCATGGATTTATGAAGAAAAATGATTCAGATTATTGTCTTCCAATTAAACAAAATACGTTACCCGTTCTAGTTCAACCGTGTGATTCCTCGCCTTGTAAAAATAATGGAAGGTTTAAAAATTTTGCTAACTCATTCAAATGCAAATGCACAAAAGATTTTGTTGGGGATCATTGTCAAAATAAAGGTAATCAATTACGCTTAATAAATCCATAAAAATAATTTGTAAGTATGGCTTGAATACCACTGGATCAATTAGGTTAATACACTTACGAATATCATATTTACATCAAATGAAATAACTGCAACTCATTATTTGAGTTCAATCGTGTGATTTCTCACCGTGCTTAAATGAAGGAGAATGTAAAAATGTTCCTGAAAAGTTTGAATGTAAATGCTCCAAAGATTTTGCAGGAAATCTTTGTCAAAAAAGAGGTATTATCATATTTATTTACTGGTTATTTCACAGGTTTCTATCCATATTTTTATGACACAAAGTCACAAACAGTATAAATTTAAATATGCAACTTAATGAATTACAAGAATCATGTTTCAAGAAAAGGATTGTTTTTGAATTAAACGTATTAATTTCCATATTCTAGTTAAATCATGTGCTTCCTCTCCTTGCTTAAATGGTGGAAAATGTAAAAATAATGGTAGCTCATTCAAGTGTAAATGCAAAAAGACTTTTATTAAAATTGTTTTGAAAAAAGAGGTAATGAATTATACTCACTGATCATCTTTCATGGCTTTGAATAATCATATTAAAGGTGTCAATAAATTAACCTGAGAAAAGTTGATAAAATCTTCAAATTTCCGGATTTCGTCATTGTAGCTAAAGTTAATGTGGAATAACTTTCTATCAACTCTTAGCTCAAAGATTGATTTAAAATAAGCAATTTTTTATCAATAGCATTATGTATTCCTTCACAAATCTTATGTTTATACAGTGAGTGAACACTATGGCTTTCAATATTTTAAGTGCTTCTGAAATGATTTGTTCTGATTTGTTCTTTCAGTTCAACCTTGTAGTTCTGCTCCTTCTTTAAATGGAGGAACTTGTGCAAATATTTAAAGGAGATTTAAATGTGAATGCACAAAAGGTTTTCTCCGAAGCCGTTGTCAAAAGGAAGGTTCGTAATTGTCTTTGCTTTACTTTTACTGATGAAATAGAATAGTTCGTTGCATGTAACAAAGGTCATCTACAGTATTTATGTTTTTACAACACAGTGGAAGCAGTTTGTAGTGCTAGTGGTGACCCACACTACAGGACGTTTGATGGCAAAAGAATTAACTTTATGGGCACATGTGAGAATGTGCTGGCTGAAGAGCAAATGCTCTCGTTTACAGTCCTCACTCAAAACAAACGCTGCCATGGCCATGCTAGTTGCAGAGGATCTATTACAGTGCAGGGAAATACTTTTCAGTTACCCTATAAAAAGCGAGGTATAGTTAAATTTAAGCATCTTCTCTTCTTTCTCTTTATATTGATTATTTCCTCTGGTATTGTTTTAAAATGCATAGCACATTATGCGAGTTCATTTGCAATTGTTATTTGTTTTGCACAAATCTACACTTTTCTTTTAAATTTTATCTAGGAATAAACATAATGAAAACGAATGGTCGATCAATTGAAATCAACACCAAAATTGGTTTAGAAGTCATGTATAATAGTCAGCAGAATGTCTTTGTAACAGTTAAAGGTTGATATATGAACAATATGCTGGGGCTATGTGGAAATTACAATGAAAACAAAAATGATGATTTTATAATGCCCGATGAGAGACAAGCTAATGATGTTTTGGAATTTGTAAATTCGTGGAAAATTGCCCAAACAAGAATCCTCGTGAACATCCTTGTATAAACGTAAGCAGTATTGCCAGAGAAATAAAGAACAAGTGCCATTTATTAAAAGAAAAGCCGTTCTTTACTTGCTAAACTTCCACTGTTAATCATGACATATATTAAAGATTGCGAGTTTGATGTCTGTGCATGTAACGATGGCTCAATATCTTGCCTTTGCTAAGCATTTGAAGCTTATGCTACTTCATGCTCTTTTTCTCGAGTTCCATCACCTGGAAGGACCTTCCCCAGTTTTCTCTATGTAAAGGTCGTGTATAGTAAAAAATAAGAGAAATTTCGACCTATTGAACGAATGGTTGATAGAATATATGGATGTGTGCAAAGAAAAAACAATTATTTATTAATTATAATGAGCTTTTCATCTATTTGTATTTAAAGATTTCGTTGAGATTGACCTAACTTTAAAAAATGATAAGATAGTTGGAGTGCTTTGTAAAGGTTTTTAGTTATATATCTTATAATTCTGTGCTCACCATGATGTTTTCATCTTTATTGGTTGAGTACAAGTTTTTTTCCCCTTTTGTCAGCGAATGGATTATAGAGAATGCCTTATATGCAGACTACTCATTTAAATATTCTCAAAATATATCGCAAATATATAGCTTCGCTAATCACAATATGTTCAAGAATATTTTGCTTGTAGTGTTCAAATTTGTTTATGGAAGACATACAGCTAAAATACGTAAATTTTCATAATAAAAGAAAACCCCAGTTGTTAATTGTTTTGGAACGTATATAAAACGGGAGAAAGTGCTGTCGTTACATTAATTAATAATTTTTCAAGCTCATCCCTTGAAAAAGAATATTTGTCAGGAGAGCGCTACCATAGGCTATCTTCTTTCTACGGTGAACCAGAAAGCTCAACCAAAATAAAATATTTCGGAACACAAAACAAATTATTCAAACCTTAAAAAAGATTTATACAATGAAAGAAATATTTCAAAACACAAGCACAAGAAATACACAACGCAACTAATTTTTCGCAGCACAAACAATGTTTCTCGCCACGCAAGCAATAAAGTCGCAACACAAGCACAAAAACTCGCAACGCAAACACAAAAACTCACAAAAACAAAATTTGAAAAAACGGAAATGTTTTTACAATGGCAGTTAATACAACCGGAAATTAGACAAAAGCAATTGCAGACAGCGTGCTTCGGGAAGATATTTCAAAATGTTTTGCTATAAATGTAGTTTGAGACCCCAGAATTTTCAACAAATTCACAACGCATTACATAGGCCTGCTCTAGCAATTCAATATGGACGACATTAAGGAATTATTCGAACGTTATTTTCATCGCGGTTATTTTCATCGCCTATAAAATGCGTTGTGAATTTGCTGAAAATTCTGATCTAAACCGCAAAAGAGATAGAGAATCATATCCATATATAGTTACGTCAAATATAAAATATGCATCAAAGTAACTAAGGAGACAAAATGAAGAAAACAGGAGTTGTTTTGCGATATTGAAATACAGTTACATGAAGCTAAGTGTGAAAACGTGCTCAATATTATGCAGTGCTCATGATTTTCGTTTCTAACTTGTATCCGAGTAGTTAGCAAGAGTACTCACTTGTCAAGCACTTGAATACAGACAATTTGTTTTTTTATTCTATTAAAGGTATTATGATTTTACTTTTTTTGCTTTTCTAAGCTTCGTCTTATGACGTACTTTGCGCTGTTCCTACTAACAACATTATTAATCTAAAAAAGTCTGTCAAATGTAGTTAAGCGAAACAACTAAATTTTATAATTTTTACGAAAATCTCCAGTGCGTATAAAACGTATAAAACACAATGTATAAAACGCAATAGCAGAGTATCGGAGAGTGTTGCGAAACAATGTTCTTGTATTAAACAAGGAACATGCGATTTCTCCTTTATTACTATTACTTATCCAAATAAAAATTAAAAATAGACTGATATCATCTAAGGATCTTACATTTTAAAATGAAAGCACAACAAAATGGTGTCAATGGACATGTCACAAACAGGGTGCATGTGATTTCTCCTTTCTTCCAATTACTTAAATTCAATTTAAACTCAAACGGAAGAAATACACTTACTGTAATTCAGCAGAAAAACTTAAAATCTTATTTTGTTTTGTAAACATGATTTACATGAGACAATCTTTTGCATATTATTTCTGAGATTTTTGATTCCAAAAACTGTTCGTAAATATTTCGACTTAAATTTTGTGATATTTGAATGAAGTTAATTTTGTCCAGCATTTCCTTTAAAAAATATTATCCATTATTTTATACTTTATTCAATGAAATAATCTAAAAGCTCAAAGATGGCTGTCGTTCATGCAAAAAATGTTCTTGAAATGCAATGCAGAGAATGGAAGTGATAAAATAAATAAAATAAAGAAAATTAGCCATTAAAAAAATTGCGCAACAAATTTTAGCTCATTAAAATGAAATAAAAGTCAAAATATCTCTTAAATAATTTGCAGATTTTTTACACTTCTGCTTATTTTTATGTATTCGACACACCATTTTACGTCAATTTTTATTTATATTGATTGATATGAAAATCATAATCCAGAACGTTTCATCTCAGATTTTTCCATCAATCACAAATCAAATATGCTCTTAATTTTGTCAAGTTAACGATATCAATTGGAAATAAAATGCAAAATATTTAATTCAAATCCAAATTTACAGAATATAATATTGGCGTTATATAAAATTGCCTAAAAAGGAGCTTTGATTTCAATATCGTCTTCAAAATACATATAACATAACATACAACCTATTTATTTCTTGTGTGAACGTTTGAAGTGACTTTGACTGAAATGCTGGTAAGAGCTTCATTTTTAACCTCATTTTACTTATTATTAAATCATTTTTTCTTTTGTTAGTAGTTATCTTTCATTATTATGTATATAAGTTACGTTGCAAGTGCTATCTGGTTTCTATTATCCTGATGAGTGTGACAGCTATGTATAATCCAATTAAATGTAATACGAAGAGAAATTTCTGTTAAACAAAATCATAGCTCGTGTTTAAATTTCTATTTTACTTATTTTATCCTCTGTAGCACTGCTTTAGCACACTGTTTTCAACACTCAATTTATTTAGGCTAGCTATGAATTTTCATAAACTCTGCAAATTATAATAATTGTATTTTATTCCGAAACAAATGTTTTATCTTATTAGAGCATATTTCGAAGTTTTTTTCCTGCTGTAATGTAAAGAGTTTATCAATACAGCTATTCTAATGTGTCTACATGTGTTTCTGTTTCAACATAGAACGTCATGTTTATGACAGCAATACTTGTTTTTAATGGAATCTTTGTGGTTTCATGTGATCCAATAGGTGAGTTAAACTGCTTACTCATCAGAAAGTACTCAAATTGTTGTATGACACAGAAACTGAGCATGCTAATCTTTCAAAATAGATTGCTAAAAAATCAGACATTTTCAATTCTATGCAAAATTAAAATATAACTTGCCGCGCATACGTTACATCCGTTAGAGCTGACGTAAAATTTGTTTTGCTATATTGAAGCTTACATGAACGGCTTCCAACTTTGTTCTTATTTCTTCTTTTGAATTGAGCTTGAAGATATATTATACTAGCAAAATATACGAAAAATACAATATCGAGCTGTAATCAACTCACTTTGCTATATATCTTTTCAGATTAGATTTTTTAAAAATAAAATCACACAGTGAATAAATTTTGAAAAAGCTGTATAATTTATGTGACAGCTCAAACAAGTGTGACGTATTTGGGGTATGGTTCTAGTTATGCGACAAAAGCTATTTTTAAGCAGTGGAGACAATATAGCAACAACAGCATACGGAACATGTTTCCAATACGCAATATTATTTCGCTGATGGGGAATATCTAAAAAGACGATGCAGAGGCCGGTTGAGACTTGAAATTTCATAGATGCCCACACATGGAAATGGTTGAATTCTGGCTTTGGCTTTCCCTGATTTATGTATAAAGAAAGATTTGTTATATATTTTAAATTTTTACGATGTGACTATTTATTTCCATAGGACTACTAACAACTAACCGAACCATTGGATATAAGAAATCTATTGACCCTACTATCATCAGTGAAATAAAATCGAGTATCAATCCAGGTAAATATTAAACATCAGTATATCAAGCTGCGAACAAAAATACAATTGCACTTTCAAAACTTTAATGAATTTATTTGCATTGACTAACTATTGTAGGAAAAATTTACCTACAAACTTTAGTCATAATTGTAACTATTCTACCACAAATTTCTTTGAACAGTTTTTTTCACAAGCAACTTTTTATATGGATGACTGTTTTACAAACAATTATATCACGAGCATTTGTCTCACAAACAACTGAAATATTGACATCTGTTTAATCATTGCCAATGCCATGATCAACTCACTTATCACTGTCTATCTTTTTAAAAAGCACCATCTTCAACTGCTGTACCACGTACACCAATTAGATATCAGTTTTTAAATTTATGCAAAAATAAAAAATATTATCAATGTTACAATGATGTTTTTCTTTCCTAGGTATCAATGAAACTACTTTGATCCCGCTCCTTATAAACGAAACCAAGTTTTCTTCAGCATCACCGCCAGTGAAAATAATTAGCAAAGAACAAACAGCTTTGCCACAAACAACTGTTGAAATAACAGCTGCTCCAATAACTACTAACTCTACAACAGATATTTTACGATCTATTCTCCCATCGATGATTTTGTCATCATCGCTCATCGAACTTCCCCCTATTACAACAGCTGTGTCATCAACAACTAATGAAACAACAACTATGTCGTCAGTAAAGTTTTCTTCAACTGCTGCCTCACATACACCTTCTAGTAACTATAAGTTATTTTTCTTTTAGATCTAGATCTAGGTTACAATAAACAGTAAGTGTACCAAGCTATTATTAGCTAAAAATACGATTACTCTTTCACAACGTTATTATATGCATAGACTAAATATTGTAGGAAAAATTTTCCCACAAACTTCTGTCATAATTGTAACTATTCTACCACGACTTTCTTTGAGCAGTTTTTCACAAGCAACTTTTTGCATGGATGACTGTTTTACAAACATCTATACCACGAGCATTTGTCTCACAAAGAACTGAATCATTGACATCTGTTTAATCATTAACAATGACATTATAAACTGACTTATCACTGTCTATCTTTTTAAAAAACACCATCTTCAACTGCTGTACCACGTGCACCATGTAGATATCAGTTGTTTAATTTATGCAAAAATTTAAAATGTTATTAATGTTATAATGATGTTGTTCTTTCTCAGGTATCAATGAAACTACTTTAATCCCGCTCCTTATAAACGAAACCAAGTTTTCTTCAGCATCACCGCCAGTGAAAATAATTAGCAAAGAACAAACAGCTTTGCCACAAACAACTGTTGACATAACAGCTGCTCCAATAACTACTAACTCTTCAACAGATATTTTACGAGCAATTGTCCCATCGATGATTTTGTCATCATCGCTCATCAAACTTCCCCCTATTACAACAGCTGTGTCATCAACAACTGATGAAACAACAACTATCTCGTCAGTAAACGTTTCTTCAACTGCTGACTCACTTATACCTTCAAGTAACTATAAGTTATTTTTCTTTTAGATCTAGATCTAGGTAAAAATTAGCCGAAAGTGTGCCAAGCTATAAATAGCTAAAAATACGATTACTCTTTCACAACGTTATTATATGCATAGACTACATATTGTAGGAAAAATTTTCCCACAAACTTCTGTCATAATTGTAACTATTCTACCACGACTTTTTTTCAGCAGTTTTTCACAAGCAACTTTTTGCATGGATGACTGTTTTACAAACATCTATACCACGAGCATTTGTCTCACAAGCAACTGAATCATTGACATCTGTTTAATCATTAACAATGCCATCATCAACTCACTTATCACTGTCTATCTTTTTAAAAAACACCCTCTTCAACTGCTGTACCACGTGCACCAATTAGATATCAGTTGTTTAATTTATGCAAAAATGTAAAATATTATTGTTACAATGATGTTGTTCTTTCTCAGGTGTCAATGAAACTACTTTAATCCCGCTCCTTAAAAACGAAACCAAGTTTTCTTCAACATCAACGCCAGTGAAATTAACTAGCAAAGAACAAACAGCTTTGCCACAAACAACTGTTGAAATAACAGCAGCTCCAATAACTACTAACTCTTCAACGGATATTTTACGAACAATTGTCCCATCGAAGATTTTGCCATCATCGCTCATCCAACTTCCCCCTGTTAAAACAGCTGTGTCATCAATATCTGATGAAACAAAAACTATCTCGTCAGTAAACGCTTCTTCAACTGCTGCCTCACTTACACCTTCAAGTAAATATAAGTTATTTTTCTTTTACATCTAGATCTAGCTAACAATTAACCGTCAGTGTGCCAAGCTGTAAATAGCTAAAAATACGATTACTGTTTCACAACGTTATTATATGCATAGACTACATATTGCACAAACAGTTTTCCAACAAACTGCTGTCTTAATTACAGCTATTCCACCAGAGACTTCTTTCGAACAGTTTATTTACAAGCAAATTCCTTATGGATGACTGCCCTAGAAATATCTATGTCTCACAAACATTATTAATGCTGCAATGTTGTTTTTCTTTCTCCAGGTATCAATGAAACGACCGTCAGCCCACTCCTTATAAACGAAACCAAGTTTTCTTCTACATCACTGCCTGTACTAACATTCACTACCTTTCCAAAATCTATTTTAGAAACGTCGAGGATTTTGCGTACATCGCTTATCGAGCTTTCCTCTATCAAAACAGCTGTCTCATCAACAATTGTCGCAATAACTATCTCGTCAGTTAATGTTTCTTCAAAAGCTGTCTCAGTCACACCTTCAAGTAACTATCAGTTATTTTTCATTTATTTATATAAGAAGAAGAAATAGGATAGCAGCGGGTTTTAATTACTTAAGAAATAGAAAAATTTTTCCTCGTCGATATAGAGTTATTAAACTACGCGGGAAAGTTATTTTTTCTATCATCGATTTTGATAATAAGATAAATATGTTTCTGCCAATAAAATATGTGATCGTCAATTTTGTCCCATGATTTATCTTCTTAGTAGTAGTTATATTCAAAGCCATACTTGTCCTTGTAACGGTACAACTAATTCGTATTTACTAAATCACAAACTTTACTTTTTCTCGAATAATTTTTTTCAAGTCATGTTTATTCACTGATGTCAACAACTTTGATAAATGTCGTAAAAAATTTTTATTCAGCCCTCTTGTTTTTTCTTTCTTTCAGAGCAGCACAGTACAACAAGTATGACACCAGGTAAAATGCACATTAATCATTGGACATGATATAAGTATTTGTGTAATATATGCATGAAGAAAAAAGTTTGTTTTTAATGGATTTCTGTCACGATAATTAGCTAATTCCCTTTATTTCAGTCAATCAGTAATATGGAAGTGCTTTCACCAAACTCAATAATTATTATAGTTACTTTCAAATTACGTTTAAGTGGTGTAATAGTTGTTTGAACGCTAAGCCATTTAGTCAACATGTTATTTTCTCCATCGAACAAGCTTTGAAACGAACAACTAAACGTTAAAACGTATTATAAAATATTTAATATGAAATTATCTGTATATATTATACATTTTATTTTATTTAGCTATATCAACAACAATAATACCAGTGATAACAACAACAAGTAAACCCACACCAACAGGTAATACTGAATCACTCTTACAAAAAAAGTTTGTAAGAGAACTAGCAAAAAAAAAATGAAAGGTTATTTGTTTAAAATGACCTACAGCCCAATTTCATCAGTCAAAATTTTATAGTTACTTGTGATACGAGTGATGCAACTCACCAACTTCAAAAGGTGACAAAACTGGCAATATGCATACGACTAATTTTTTTTCTCTTGCGTTGATATACAGTCCCCGAGTTATTATTCTTTGTTTTCGTTTTAAAAATGCTTGATAGGATTTGTTTTAAAACTATTGTTAGCAACTTTTTTCACTAAAAGTCACATTTGGGCACTTTTCAAAATGGCAGCATCTTTCCTTCCCTTTGACCTTTCCATTAGACGTCTATGAGATTTAATTAATATAATGTATTAAAGTAAATGGTTTGAACCCGGGAGCACCGTTACATGTTTGTAACATGTTTTTTTTTTTTTTGACAAAAACAACTATAACTCTGACTTTATCAAACGCAACACTTACAAACCCAACGAACCCAACGAACCCAACGAAACGAACAACTCAGTGACAACAGCAACGATACCTTACATCAAAGGTACGTCTGAGACTATCTCGCGTATCTTACGACCATACAACATACGTGTCGCACATAAACCAATCACAACGTTACGACAAGTACTTACGAACATAAAGGACAAAGAACAACCCAACGAACGACAAGGTGCAGTTTACAAAATAAACTGCTCCGACTGTCACGCCTCCTATATCGGGGAAACTGGCAGGACTTAAACATAAGACTTACTGAGCACAAACGAGCTACTAAGAAACAAGACAAAACTAATCACATTGCCGAACATCACCGAATCACAAAGCACAACATTGACTGGGACTCGGCGAAATGCATCACTTACAGTACTGACTATAGACAACGGCTTACATTAGAAAGTTGGTATACCAACTTGGAACAAACCCCCCTGAACAGATCACAGCAATTACCGGCACCTTACAAACGACTTATTCACAATACAAACAAACGATCAACTAAAACATTACACTTCAAACTAATTCACAATGACAATACACAATTGACACCCACACACTACAACTAAAAACGTCACACCTAAATCACACATCACAACTAAAAATAAAATATTTCACTTCACACTAATCCACAATGACAATACACATTTCCTGCACATTTCCTGTACACACAATACAATGACGTAAGAACCAGACAACAAATACGGCTAACCTGACGTTTACTCCTCATTTGACTCTGAAGATGACTACCGCTAAGGTTGTCGAAACGTCAGTCAACAACAACAAAAACAGTCCTTCTCAGGACTTTATTAACCTGGACGATCATCATTTACAAACATGTAATATAATGTATGTGATGCAGTTCTGATGTATGTTGCTTGGTCAAAACATTTTTGTGAAACTGTATTATCTATCCGTAGACAAAAGAAATTAGGTTAAGGTACACCATTGAAATGAAATACGTGGAACACCACCTGTAATACAAAACCGTAATAATTCTTTGAAGCCTTGATTTTACCCAGACATGCTCGTATAGTAAATCAATTTTCAATGCACGGGAGAATCTCGAAAAACCCCACACGTGTCTGTAGTGAAATCTCGCGTGTCTGATGTATTATTGGGCCTCAAATATTTTCTTCAGATAGCATTCTATGTATTTTAGTTCAATGAGCTACACAGCAATTTTTATCAGGCCAAGTAAAATTATGACATAAAGTTAACAATGTGTAAGTGTTTAATTAGGGTATTTACTTGATAAGCAGATAAAGATGATGACGAGGATAGCGACGACATAGATGAAGTCGATTGTGATGATGACGACATTGACAGCGATATTGATGACGATATGTGATGATGATAGCAATAGCGATTCAGATGATGATTAGAAATAAAGTTAACATGTTTCTCATACCAGTATATTGTATTGAAATTTTGGTTCATTACCACAAACATACTTTTGCTTGCTACATATATACAGTGATTTAACATAAACGTATATAAGTATATAAACGTATATTTTTAACTGCTTTTTTTTTGTAGGAATTCATAGCCTTTTTACGAAATAAACATGGTATATACTTATCTATTAAAAGCTTTTCATACACTTTAACAAAAGTCATCGTAAATTTACTCGATGCTGTTCAAATTAATACTGTGGTATAATAAGTAAGTACACTTCTAATATGAGACCTTTCAAAATTATGAATGCGCTATACTTACAAAATATGAATCTTAACATCAAAAGCGCAAAAGAGGTAGAGAATCATATCCTTATATAATTACGTCAAATATAAAATATGTATCAAAGTAACTAAGGAGACAAAATGAAGAAAACAGGAGTTGTTTTGCGACATTGAAATACAGTAACATGAAGCTAAGTGTGAAAACGTGCTCAAAATTTTGCAGTGCTTATGGTTTTCTTTTCTAATTTGTATCCGAGTAGTTAGCTAGAGTACTCACTTGTCAAGCACTTAACTACAGACAATTTGTTTTGTTTCTATAAAAGCTATTATGATTTTACTTTTTTGCTTTTCTTATTTTCGTCTTATGACGAATTTGCTGCTGTTCTTACCAAAAATATTATTAATCTAAAAAAGTCATTCAAATATAATTAAGATAAGCAAATAAATTTTATCACTTTTACGAAAATCGGTTGTGCAATCATACAATGTCTACATACTTTAACAAATTCCGATCAAAGTATTGCTCTTGAAATAAATTGATTGAATTTTTTAACACCTTATTAAATCCATAATCATGCACTTACCAAGTAATTTAGCGTATAATTTTAACTTTCTTTCTGTGGTCGGACAAAAGATTTTTAGTTTGTATTTAACCAATCATTGCTCAAGTTTTATTCAATTCAATGTTTTGGCACTAGATGAAGGAATTTAATATTTGCTATTCAAAATAAACCAGCTTTGCTTTCTTTAAAGTCAAATACAAGCAATTCATGATAAAATTGATATTCAATTATTGTGTAAGATGTGTTAATATCTATAGTATTGCAAAAGCTGCATGTAGCCATTATAATTTGAGAACGTTGAATTTTTACTTGAAATTAATTCATCATAGAGTCAAAATGACTACTAGAAAAAATATTAAAAAATTGTTGATATCATGATAACTCTATTTCAGAAAAATATTTTTCATTATTTGTTCATCGTCCTAGCGTGAGAATCCCAGGTACATTTATCAATATCATTGTTTAAAATGAGTGCATTGACGAAGCATTTTATGCACTATTATTCTAGTTGCCAAGGTAGAAAATCTAATGTTTAAAGCAAATCTGATATATTTTACCTTATAGAAAATGCTTATATATTGAACAGGGAATTTAACTAGCCTATAACATGTTTTCTTTACGTCAGTGTAAGATATTTAGATATATACATTAGAGTTGAGATACTAATAATCAAAAGAACTCGTTATGAAAGGTGGAAAACATTAAAAGATGCAATAACGTATTTTGAAATAATTGTTTTGTTTTATTGGACAGACCATTCAAAAATCTCAACACGATTTCCTTGTTTGGATTTGCGAAATTAGACAGCTAAACAACTGATTGTAACGTACAGCTTAGTAATTTGTTCTTTTAATACTTCAAGCAAAAAGGATCTTAAGAAATGTTTTGATATTTAATGTTGCTAATTACACTGTTAAATAAATATTATATATAGATTTCTTATTACTGCAGCTAATTGTATAGTTTCGAGTACAATTATAGATAAACATGCATGTGTGAATTTTTTAAAGAATGTAACGAAATAGTGAGAGTACAAAGAATAACAACATGTCTTTGATGGATTCCTGATACACACATTAAATGATAAGTTAAAACTTCGTCAAAAATTATGCGTGTCTCTTTTAAAGAATGTTCTGGTACAAACTAAGTCTTTGCAAACTCGAGGTTTCCAGCCTCTACTTCCAAAATTGTAATGTAGTGATGAACGGTATTCAAAATTCATTTTGCTAACACACAAAAAACACTTTGTTCATTATTAATTCAATGTTTCCTTCCTATTTACTCGTTATGTTGACAATTTGTCAAGTGTTTGGTGCACTTGATGTACTTGTAAAAATTGTTATTGTGAGTAAAATATCGCTTTGAATTCTGTTATAGAAAAGAAATTTCATCATTTAAGTAAATCTGATTTACACAGAAAGAACTCAAAACAATACAATAATTCGTTCAGTAACCTGCGGGAGTTAATGTATTAGTTAATATCATCTTCATACAACGAATGTTTACACAAAGGTTATTTTTGTATTTTTAAGCTCCATTATTATAGTTTGGACCAACGTTAAAAAAAAACAATGAAAAAGTGCCATCTTAAAGATCTGCTATTCATTAAAATTTTAAATTTGGTGCTAAGTGACCCCATAACTTCGGAGCAAGCTGGGTGTGTCGAAGGACCAGTCTTACCTGGTAAGTGAAGAAAAAACTTAGTCAATTAACTTAATGAGTTGCACACATTTAAGTAGCATGAAATAATTTCAATATTGGTAATGCAAATAAAACTGAGATAGAAGGCATTGTTATAATAGGAAAATACATACCTTTCTCTAAAATTTTTATTGTACTACAAGTCACTTTTTACAGCCATTAACATCTTTCGACATTTCCCTGTGAAAAGACGTTTACTTCAGAAATGACAAAAGAGCAGGTTTTAGACTCTAGCTAATCTGCAACTTAGTTCAAATTCTTGACAAGCAAAGATTGTCAAATCTCATTTTAAACTGCGTATGGACGAGAGATTCTCGCCCCTATAGCAATTTACTGGATGGCACCGTGTTTCGACATTATTCCAAAGTAATCATCATCGAATATATATAATATACTAATCCTAACACGGTTTTATATGCACATGAAAAACATGTGACTTGGACGAGATTTGAGCTCACTCCTTCGGGATACTAGTCTGAGTATCTGCTATAGTGGTGAGAATCTCTCGTCCGTACGCAGTTTAGAAAATGATTTGTCTCTTCTCCAATCCCTGTGGGCTTGGTAGCTCAACAGGTAGAGCGGCAGACTAGTATCCCGAAGGTGCGAGCCCAAATGTTTTTCATGTAAATATAATACCGTGTTAGGAATAATATATTATCTTCTGTTGCAAGTAAAGCGATTTTTGATTTCTCTGATAAAGGGGTATACTACATTAAAAAAAGGAAGAATTATGTAAATTGCAAATAATATGCACATCTTCACCATTTTCATGTTACTTCTTTCATATAGGACAGTGGCAGCCTAAATTGAATATAAGAGTCCTTCCATCGCAGTCCGTACCTAGCTTTTCTCAACTAAACATTGTTTGTGATGCAAGCGCGGCAAGAAAGATTAAATTGCTGCTTAAAATTACCAAAACCACCTCTACCCCTAACAAGAATTCTCATTAATATTGCAGTCTACCTGGTTAAAGAATGTTTTTCTCCCACAAATGTAAACCAGTGCACATATAATCTGACAGCATTCTTTCAAGGCATACCACCAAGAATCAGTTGTACTGCTTTTGATGCTACTGGATATTGCAGATTTCAAATAGTTAATGTCAGCCTTGTAGAAAATAAGCTTGTTAGTACAATATGTAAATATTAAAATTTTCATAAAATTTGCAATTAAGGGTGCAAATCTTTTTTGAAAAGTGCAGAGAGTGTCGATTAGCTATACAGTTCATAGTTTGTTGATAGTTTAACTATCATACTGCAGTTATGTGCATCTTGGTTGAGAATAAATCATTTAATCGCCGAGAGATTAAATCAATATTTAAGTAAAAATTTTGACCTTTGTTAATCATTAATACATCATAAATAACTCATATGTTTTTGGAAAATGCAGTTTTCATTTCGATACATTATCTGTGCCAAAAGTTAACAATTGGCTGGTGGGCTTGTTGAAAGACAAATAGAAATTATTCACTGACTGAACATAAATCATCTTATTTTAATTCTATTTTTCACACTTTTGATTTATTTTTTGCTTTTGTAAAGTAACGATCGTTTATAACATAAGGTGCCAAAAATGATCTGATAACTCGGATTTTTTTCGAAACGTTTGCTATCGCTATGAGTTTAGAGTTTGCACAAATATCAGATTCAAAATACTGCACTACTTTATGTTTTAGTTAAAAACCAAAGACGATTTCTCAAATTTCCGAGAGAACTTAATTTTTCATATTTAATATGACAACATTCAACATGTTATTGGCTTATTGCGAGAATGAAATAATCACTAATCAGTTATGCTGCGTACTTTTAAATATTTTGATAAGGACAGTCAAAAAAGAATTTGAGTGAAATTTGATCTAGAGTCAAAAACACTTTCAATGATAACTATTTGATGTTAAATCTTTAAAAAATATGCCAAAAAACGCTACAGAAATCTTAATCAAGTTTCTATTCGTTGTGTTTGTTTAAATTACTAATATGTCATCGCGCTGTATCCTGTTTTGATAACTGCATCAAAGAGCAAAAAAGAGGAATGTACATGAAATCTTTTTGTTACCTTAAACTTTTCTTTTTTATTCTTCAGTTATATAATAATGGCATTACATTACATGTATGAACCTAGAGCTCAAGTTTCCCAAGAACATGAGCAGTTTCATTATATGTTCAAACACGATTTTCATTATTATTTTATCTGTATAAAGAAAATTAGCTAATATGTCCAAATTTTTTTCAAATGATGATGACAACGACAAGTCTAATGAAGAAATTGAAAGTGATGATAACAGTGACGATGACAGTGATGATAGTGAAAATGATGAAAATGACGACGAAGACGGGATGACTAAAGAATTAGATGAAAAAACATTATGCTACTAATAACTGCTTTACTTTTATCTACATAAAAATTTCGTTTCGGATAAAAAAACTCCACTTTTTTTCCAATAGGCATATAGTTAAGTGTTACGTCTGTTTGATCGTACGTAAGTGCATGTTCAATAAAAAGCTTTCTTCTGCTAAAAGGAAGAGATACAAAGTAAACTTTTAAGACACAAGGCAACCTGTAGTGAAAAAAAGCAAATGGACGTGTAAAGCAAAAAGAAACTTTTTCCAAATCTTTCCATTGCAAAAGATCATTTTCATGAAATCATCAGTGTAAAAACAGGTTTTGTCCTTCTTGCGCATTGAGAGCCGTTCTATTCAAATTTTTTGACAAAGATTTTTGACGAAAAAATTAATGAAAAAACGAAACTGTACCTAGTAGCTCTGACCATGCAAAGGTTACATGTGCATGGTTTTCATTGGTGGCAGCACCATGGGGTGAACGGGGGTGGACATTTCCCAGTGGTCATTTAGAATAAATTTTTAAGTGTCTTAAACCGCGAAGCAAATATTCGAGGGTGTGGGATAAAATCATTTACAATTTCTCCATGTAGAAATTGATATGCTTGAATTTAGTTTTATTCAATTTTTTATGACTCTGATATGTCAATGAAGGCAGTAAAATTTCCTATGCATATTAGCTACAGTGATCATGGCATGTTTGAAGGTACCATTTACAACTTTCTTTAAGAATTAGTTTTTGAATGTTGTAGCCCCATACCTTTGGTAACCAGCACAATTATTTCCTCTTTGCCGCATGCTTATGCTTTACTAATGCACCACATCAAATATTAATGAAAAAATAACTATTTTTCTCCACTGCTAATTTTTCTCCATTTTTCACTGCATAAAAACATCATCAAAAACAATCTAAAAAAATGTAATACAAAAATCTGAAAAAAATCGAATAATTTTGTCCAAGAAAAGTGTAGTATTGTTATAGCAGACCAAGTACATTGTGTAAATGATGAAATTATCAGAGCAACTTTGATATACGTTGTCATATTTTTTTATCATATCCCAGCTGATATATATCTATTTGCTTGTTGGGTTAAAAAATTTTTTGGCAGGAAATAACAAAATATCTATAGCTACGTATTTAATTTTATAATATACATGTAGCCACATGATATTTTGCTTTTATGCAAAATGTTTCGAATGATACTCGATCTCAAAAGGGTATAAATTTTGCTAACGATACTCATTAATGATGCTGCGAACTCATTTAAATTTTGTACGTTGTTATTATTAAAGTGCTTATATTACGAATTTTAGCCCCCCCTTTTTTATGAACTTAATTGAAAGACCTTGTTTCAATGATTTTAAATCTGCAATTATAATTGAAATTGGATTGGTGAAAGTGATTTTACGGACGTTCAAAGTCACGATTTTCAGCATTTTTTTGGCGAACTTTTTGATTGGTATGCTTATGACTTGTGACGTAGAAAGTTGAACACATATATCAACATGGCGTATTCTACTAGTAATCTTAATAAGAAACGCGGAGGAAAACACTGTGTTGCTGGCGGACCCAATCAAATTAGTTGCGCCAATGATTCAAAAACCGAAGGAATGTCGATGCACAGGGGCCGCGGAAGTATCTCAAAAGTAGGGGGGGCACTGACCGAAAAGCGCATGTGAGTTTGCAGCTTACTGTTTTAGTATATTACAGATATGCATTGTTTCATGAATCATGATTAAGTTTCAAAGTCTGCAAAATATTGGTAGACATTCTTAGAATGCTATGCGTATTCTCTACTGCTCGGCGTGCGTGCTAACAAATTGAACTAAGATGACTACATGAACAATTTTATTAAGTAATGCGATCTCATTAAAATTTCCCAAAAAATCTAACCCTACGTTCGTTTTTCAGAACAAAGTTCTTAGCGATTAAACGTAAGTCCAGTTCGTCAGTTCTGGCCTTGTTTACATGCATAACAATAAGATTATTGTAGCCTGCTGCCGTCATTGTGCTCGTGAGATGTGTCTTGACAAGCCACTGGCATGAAAAAGATCGTTCTAAAGAGGCTGCGCTCATTGGAGCAAGAAGGTAAATCTGCAAGAGTCGAACAACATTAGACATTGCCATGAGAATCTGCGATGAGTTATTTTCTTCGGTTGAGAATATAGATGTTATGGTGTCAATTGATGTCACCTTCTTTACTTGTGGAAGTCGCTGCGAGATAATTCCTTCAAGAAGCTTTAACTCCGCCTTCAGCTGGTGAAAGTCGAGGTCATTTTCGTAAAGGTGTTCAACTTCATCATTCAACTCAAACTTACGCCCGTTTGCTGCATTAATGAGCACGGTTTCGATGTTCATCAATACAGAATATGTTTTTTCATCGAAGCGCTCCTGTAGTGAAGCCAAGCACACATCAATTGCCTCAACATACTGGGCACGGTGGGCGTCTTTCGCAGTTTGGAAATAATGTTGCTCGCCGTCTCCGTGTTGAAGTCGCCACGGAACTTTCTTCGGTCTTTGTTGTGTACGATCGCCTACAAAGTTGATAGACTTGCTTGAAACAACTACTTGGTCATAAGACAAAGAGAAGTTGTCTGGTTGACGCTGCAAGTTTGTCTTCAAGGCATTTATGCAAGTAACAGTTGTTTGTGCCGTTATTGAAGGCTTCTGTAAGGCTTCTTGTCCACACACGCTGAAGATATTCTGCGCAAAACTCAAACCAAAGTACGAGGAAAACTTCTTCAATCGGCTAGCCATACCTGATGCTGTGTCACGAACGGTGGACTTGCAAGATTCTTTGGCAATGCTAAGTAATGCAGAGTAGAGGGCCTCGTAATTGTGCAAGACAGCCGAGATGGCTTTGGTTCTTACTGTCCATCAAGTTGGACACAGCAAATGCGGATTCTCAACTTGCGTGCCGCTGTCTTCAATCTCCTTGGCAATATGCTGGTATTGCACCATTCGTATTGGTGAAAATCGAATAAACACGGCCAACTGCTTGCACCTCCTTCAACGTATCGCTGATAATCCAGCTCTCCTTTACACAATCACGCAAAGCCAAGTCAAGACTGTGGTTACCGCAACGAATGTACAGGGCGTGAGGATTCTCAGAAGATATTCGGGCAGCAACCCCACTTCTGCCTCCAGCCATATTTGCTGCTCCATCATATGTTTGCCATCGACAGTCGTCTATCGTCAAACTGCATCGCAACAAAATGTCCTTCAGCGAAGTGGTGATTGTTTCAGCATCGGTTTTCTCTAGCTCGTACATTCCGAGGAAATCTTCATGGACGGACAAGTCGGTTCTAGATATCCAGCGCAAAAAACATGTTAGTTGTTCCTTGTTGCTTATGTCTCTAGACACGTCTGCAATTAGGCTAAATAATTGTGATTCCTTACGGATGTCTGCCACTATAGATCTCAGGACTGCATTGCCCATCATATTAATCAACTTGTTTATGATGTCGTGATTGAGATATCTTCCGTTGTCAATCCACTCCAACAAATCAGGTACATTCTCTGCTCTTAATTTTAGCAACTGTTGCAAGTTACTCTCAAGTTCAGTTTTACCTTGCAAACTTTGGGCTTAGCGTGCCAAATATCTTATACTACTTAGTTGTTTTAGCAACATTCTTCTTCGAGTTTACTGGGTTTTCTTCAATTCACTGACCAATATCGCTTAAATATCTCTTCTTGAATCATCAGATAATAAAACTTTCTCAGTCGCCTCTGCGTGAAATTTAGACTGAGAGTGTTTTTTAAGTTTTTCTCGGCACTTCTTGTAGTCGCTGAATTCTCCTAGGAGAAAAGCCTTTTCACCATTATCACTGAAAGTAATAAGGTCTTGACGCATCGCTCTTTTACAGAAGTAACAGGCAATGGTGCCTTTTGTCATGCAGTATGTGACCATGTATATTTCAAAAATATAGAAGACGGACAAGTTTGTACATTCCACGATCCTCCTGTACTGGTTTGCTTTCTAGACGTG